ATGAAAAGGCAGAGAAAGACCAGGAGGGTGATAAAGCAAAGGGCCAAAAGCAGGAGGATGAGCAAATGGCGACTGAAGGAGAAGCGAAACCAGACGATGCGGATCAAGACCAAGATCAAGATCAAAAGCCCGATGGCGAAGAACCCGAGGAGCCTGAGGCCGAAGACGCAGGGGCAGAGGAAGAAGACGTGCAGGCAAAGGAGGAGCTGAACCGCCAAGATCAAACAGTGGAAGAGAACGACGCACTGGAGCTTCCTGAAGACTTGGATATGAATCTCGACGAAAACGACGCAGAGGGCTCAGATGAGGATGACTTGGATCTTATGTCGGACATTGAAGAAGACAAAGAGCAAGAAGAGCAGCCTAAAGATGCGGAGACAGTTGATGATGAGGAGATGAAAGAGGACGCAGAGCAACAAGTAGAGCCAGAGACTGCGGTTGAGGATGAAGTGAGCGAGGCGGAAGAGATTGAAGAGAATGTCGGTGTCGACGAGATCCAAGAAGAAGCAGAGCCTGAGCAAGAGGAAGAGAAGAAGGAGGAAGAACAACCAGACGAGACCCATCCAGACCAGACGCCTAATAAGCAAGAGGAGACCAAGGCAGACAAGGAGAATGCGGCACCAAGCGATGTCAAGAGTTCCGGAATCGACCAAAACGCAGATTCCATGGACATGGATGACGAATTCCAAGCCAAGGCAGCTCAGCAAGATGAAGGCGACATGGGAGACGGCGCGGCGGACCAGGATACAAGTGCTGGCAACAAAGGAGCTACATCACGATCGAAGGAGGCGGTAGACAAGCCTGAAGACGGCGATGCTCAGGAAGAGGCTCGCAGCGATCCATTCAAGAAACTGGGCGATGCACTGGAGAAATGGCACCGCCAACAAATGGACATTAAGGATGCCAATATGGAAGAAGACGAGAAACAGCACGGGCCAGAAGCCGAGGAGCAAGGCCAGCGCGAATTTCAGCACCTGAAGGATGACGAAGCGGCTGAAGATACTCAGGCTCTCGGCACAGCAGACAACGAAGAGGCACAGCCCCTGGATGAGTCTATGGCAATTGACGAGGAGAAGCAAGACCCAACCAGCCACGTCATGGACGGAGATGAAGAGGAGAAAAATGATGCAGAGCTCGACAAGATGGACCTCAGTGAGCCAGCAGAGGACGACAAAGAAGCGGGCATGAACGATGTGGATGACAGTCGCACTGGCGTGAAGACAAGACAGGGTGCCTACAATAAGGAGCCTACGCCTGAAGAAGAGGAAGAAGAGGACCAGAAGCTCAAGATCGAAGAGGAAGAAGAAGACGTACAAGACGCATCCGCCCAGCTCTCGACAACTCACCTTTGGGAGGATCAACGACCCTTGCGCGACTTTTCCCAGTGTCTTGAGCAGTGGACTGAACTTCAGACCAAGTCCCACAGCCTGTCGCTGTCGCTAACATCCCAGCTGCGGCTGATTCTCACACCGTCGCAGTCTACCAAGCTGTCGGGATCGTTCCGCACCGGAAAGCGGCTCAACATCAAGCGCATCATCCCTTACATCGCCTCGAGCTACAAGCGAGACAAGATCTGGATGCGGCGCAGCATCCCGACGAAGCGGACGTACCAGATCATGCTGTGCGTGGACGACAGCAAGAGCATGGGCGAGTCGTCATCTGGCGCGCTGGCAATGGAGTCGCTGGTCATGGTGTCGCGATCCCTGACGATGCTCGAGGCTGGCCAGGTGGGCGTGCTGGGCTTCGGCGCCGACGTCTTCACGGCGCATCAGCTGACGGATCCCTTTGGCTCGGATGCGGGTGCCAAGGTTCTGCAGCGGTTCTCGTTTGGCCAGGACAGGACGGACATTGCGCTGCTGATCCGGCAGACCATTGACACGTTCCGCACGGCACGACAGCGGTCGAGCGGAGGATCGGACCTGTGGCAGCTCGCGCTGATCCTTTCGGACGGCCTGACGCCTTCGTCGGCTCACGATTCCATCCGGCGGCTGCTGCGAGAAGCCATGGAGGAGCGCATCATGATTGTCTTCATCATCATGGACGACACGGGCAAGAAGAAGGGCGACAGCGTGCTGGAGCTCAAGGAGGCCAAGTTTGTCAGCGAGGGGGGCGAGAGCCGGGTCGTGATTGAGCGGTACCTGGACACGTTCCCCTTCCAGTACTACCTGATTGTGCATAATCTGGAGGAGCTGCCGAGCGCCCTGGCGGGATTGCTGCGGACGTGGTTTGCAGAAGTGGCATCATGAAGTTGTGTAACAGCGGATAAGGTCTAAAAAAGCATGGGAACACGGCGTTTCTTGGGGAATGGATTGGATTGGATTTGTGATCATATGCCTGTGTTTGAGAGCTTAGACGGATTTCCTTTTTTCTTTTATCATAATGCATAGAATAGTGGTATTTAGATATGTTATTCATTTTCAAATAATCACATGTTAATCAGCATGAGTCGTCTTCTCTTTAACATCTGCCGTTCTGAAATCCTACATGGCGCCATTCCGACTTGCATCCCTGCACATGTCAATATATTCATATGCATCATGCAAGCCATACCGCAAGATTACACAAACACAATAACCACGTCTACCAAGGCCCTGATAACGCAATTATAGCCGTGTCTCTAGTATTTGAGTTTATTCTTCTTCTTTCATTCTTTTACTTCATCCCTGCTCAGCTAGCCAAGTCCATTGTCTCATCTGAAACCTGGAAATGAGAGCCCGGATGTGGAACATACCCTCTTTCAACTGAGACTTTTTATTCCCCTCCTCTCGTCATCTCGCCTTAGCGTGTCTATCAAATCTGCAAGGAACCCACAGTCTAGGCTGCGATAATTTGAAATACTTTGTGACTTGGCGGCCTCGGCTCATGGATCTGCCGGGCGAGATGTTTGTCACGAGGGGAGACTATGGGGATACTCGTATATGTGTGTCTCATATGGATTATTTTGGCGTCAGTTTGGAGGCTATTACCCCTCTTGTTAACGAGACCAAGACATTGAAAGAATTGATTCCTTCGGTATGTCTGTCTTTATATAAGGTATACAATAATACAAATTATTTCTTCTTCATGCATACATCCATTAGCGTAAATACCTTGGTATCGAGAATGTACTCTTTTATTAATGCCAACATCTAGATCAGCAGATATACAGTAAAAGCGCAACGCTCTTCACTACCCCCACGCCCCGGGGTTCCAAACGCCGAAAAAGGTCCGTCCGTGGGCGATCTCGGTCTCAGATGGAAAATCAAATCATTTTGATAGCTTCAAGCCGCACCAGGAAGGTGGAAAGAAAGAAAGTGAGACTCTTGCCGTAGAAAGAATAGATGAGATGAATTCCATTTTCGGGAAATGATGCTCTAAAACAGACACATTACCTATATTCTATCTATCTATTTATCTCTATCAAAACTGACATCTGACTAAACAAACACCCCCCCCGGATTCCGTTCCCTTTCCCCGCCGGCAGATCTTCAAGGCCCCAGAACTAATTAATAGCACCATCTGCCAGCAACTTCATCTTCCTTCTTCCTCTTTTCTCTCTCCTCTCCTCTCTTCTTCTTCTTATTTATATCTTCTCTTCTACTTCTCTTCTGTCTTCTTCATGCTTATTCGACGGCCCTTTTCCCTTCTAGCACACCGTCCCGTGATACTCCCGTCCTCCAATCTCGCACACCTGCGTCCCCTCTCTCTGCCGCATTCTCTCTCATCTCCCCTCAAAATGGCCACCCCCACGGAATTGCGGTTCAGTAAGTTGTTCAGAATTCGTCTTAAGAGAATCATTGAAGAGAGCTGACATTATTTTCTTTTTCTTCAAATAGAGAACCCTGCCATCTTGTAAGTTTGGCGCACCAAGCCAATCGCAATCTCGACCCCAGACTCCGTCGTCGAAAGCATCATGGCGAGAGCCTCGGCTGACGATAAACTCCAAACACACAGCGTCTGTGACATGCAAGACAAGTTCCGCAACGTCATTTACGAATTCGACAGCATGTAAGCTCTCACTCCATCCATTTCCCACCCTAAAAACACTCTCCCTCGCCCCGGCATCACCATCACCAAAACCTCCATCATCCATCCATCCATCCATCCATCCAGCTAACAACGCCAAAACAAACAGCGTCACCACCACCGTCAAACTCCTCACCTACGCCCAATCCCTCTCCATCCCCGTCCACACAACAACCCAAACCTCCGCCAAACTCGGCGCAACCGTCCCCGCCATCGCCGACCTCCTCCCCTCCCCTCCCCACGACAAGACCAAATTCTCCATGCTCGTCCCCTCCGTCGCCGCCCAGCTCGAACCGCACTCCCGCATCGCCCTCGTCGGCATCGAGTCCCACATCTGCATCACCCAGACCGCCCTCGACCTGCGCGACGCCGGCCACTTCCCCTACGTCATCGCCGACGGCGTCAGCTCCTGCAACCGCGGAGAAGTTGGAATTGCTCTGGATAGGCTGAGGAGCGAGCCCGGCATCACAGTTACCACGAGCGAGAGCTGGATGTACGAGTGTCTGGGCGATGCCTCGCACCCCCTGTTCAAGTCTTTAATCACCGTGGTTAAGAACAAGAGTAGCGAGACTAGCAAGGTTTTGAGCGTGCTGCCGCCTGCTTCCAAGATCTAAAACCGGCAAACCATGCCCTCTTTTTTTCTCGTTTCTATATTCGGTTCTGCTCCAACACTTTTGTTCAAAACATTCTGGCTACGTGCTAAATCTTCATTTTGGGTCGAGGAGGAGGCAGTTAGTTAATTCACAGGGGCATATCATCATCACCAGTCTTATGTAGGTACCTAGATACAGCGAGGTTTGGAAAATCTGGGAGGAATTAGGGGCGCTGAATTGTTTCAATTCCTAGCTACAGCAATAGACACGGCTGCGAGGCCCAAGTCAAAAATCAAACCAACCACTGCACAGAGTGTCAGTTCATCGTAGGAAGTGTAAATGTTCAAATCCACAGCATTCCTATTGCCGCTGACTGGGGCAACCATCCTTGCTAGGCGTTTTTTATTCTGCCGACGGCGACGTCTTGGTAGGCTTCGCCGGTGGTGTCATCCAAGGAAAGGCCGACGCTGCTCCTATCGGGTTGTTCGCCGATCTGGGCAACGACACTGAAGTCGAGGCCGCCCGGCCACCAGAGCTAGAACCGGACTTTGCTGCTTCACCCTTTGCCTCACCTGGTGTCGCTGGCCCCTTGAGATCCCACCTGATGCCGCCATTCGCAGCCGTGGAACTTTCACCGTTCATGCTCACCTGGCTCTTCCGTCGGCCAAGCTCAGACTTGGACGGAAGCGGGGGTTCATACGACGCCCCGGTGCGTGCTGATGATGACCCCGATTTCTGGGCTTTGAGCACCTTCATGTTGCGCCCCCGAGGTGCAGGCTGATATCCGCTCAGAGGCGGTCCAGTCTCACGTTGATCTGCTCCGCTGCCGTTGGGGTTGCGCCAAGAGCCCCAGATGCCGGACGACGTTCCTCGTCGCGAAGTTTCAGACGCGCTTGATCCGTCTCTTCGCCGGCGCTCGGAGCCGTTGGCGTCTCCTCCAGACTTTTCATTTTCCTCCTCGTAATCGGGAACACTATTCGCCCGAACACGGCCCGAAGGCTCGGAATGTGATGTAGCGGGGGAAGCCTGGCTTCTAGTTTCGCTACTTCCCGACTCTTTGGTTGTTGCTGTTGCTGATGTAGGTGTCGTGGCAGTCGCTGTAGATGTTGCGGTTAGCGGTGCAGCCGCGGCCTTGTCCTCGCCGTCAGCCCGGGTACCGTCTCCAAAGACGAATGGCGCGGCGTTGGCATTCAGCTTTGGCCGTTCTGGCGCAGCGCTGCTGGTGGTGATGTGGCGGAACACCTCTTCGTCCTCTGGGCGAATAAAGGGAACGCGCAACCGGTCTCGCTCGTTGCTATAGAGCACCATTGTGTTTTGAGAGAATAGAATATCGGCCGCGTGTGCCCTCAGAGCATCGCTTCCGATGAAGATGCGGACGGCTTTCGACACCTGATTCGGCTTCGTCTGTTCACTGCCGCACATTTCGAAGCAAACCGACATGGAGGGCACCGAGCCTGCAGCGGAGTCTGACCGACTGCTATGGCGTGTGATGACGGCCTCTGCAAGATAAACATCCAACCTGGCCCTGTAAACTCCATTGACGTCTCGGTGGAACTCGCTGAGAAAGTCTAGCTCTTTTACGAGCGAATAATCAATTGTGGACTTTTGCGATCCAGTGCAAATGTCTGCATAGAGCAGCGTTCCGTGAGCGTAGTCCGTGGTCAGCCAACAGCGAACAATGGAAGGGACCGTTCCTAGGACGTAAACGGAGGCTGGAAGCCCCGGCATGTCAAAGGAGGAATCGTCGTCGTCTTCATCGCCCGTGGCAAAATTTGTGTCGAGGCCAATGCTACTGGCTCGGCCTGACGCTACAGAATGGTGCGAGTGAACCGAGTGGCCGGCCGAGCTATGCCTACCGTCTGACTTGTGTGACAGGGACCGTTCCATCATATATCCGGGACGGACTGCGCCAAAGTCTCCAGAGTGACGGTTGTTTTGGGCACCCCAGCTTGAGCCGTGCAACGCGCTCTCGTCAAACCGGACGCTGTTTGCTCGCGAAGCCGCACCACCGCGCCGAACTGGTTCCTCCTCTGCAGGTCCCAAGTGTAGAGAGCCCAGCAGCTGCTCTCCCTGCTCATCCAAGTCGTCGAACACATCATTCGTTGAAATTTGGACGGGCCCTACAGAAGATGTTGTTGTTAGTAAAGATATGAAGAAAACATGCATTCAGCATAAACAGTACAGAGGGCCATGGCTCACCATGCTGTGGCGTCCCGGCCAGAACTCCTGGAAACGGTGAGTTCCATACAGATTTCAGTGCAGAGTCATCTGCCTGACGCTTCTCTAGTCTCACGATTCGTTCCGCGTGGTTGGCTTGGGCATATTGGACCTGCTTCAACTCCATCTGCAGGTTGTACAACTCGTCCCGAGAGACAGAAAAGCGGGGATCCATGTCCGAAAGACTTCTCAACAAAGGGATTAAGGGGACATGTGAGGGTGAAAAAAGACAAGTTCAAGCTGGTAGGAAGGGAGAGTGTATACTTGAACAGCGGGTTTAGGAGAGAGAAAAAATATTAGGCTTAGGTATCGACACAAGGAAACAAAAGGAAGAAAAAGCAGGGTTCAGGCAAGGTTGCACAATGTTGAAGCCACAGGGGTAAAGAACGAGAAGGTACCAAGTGTCGCAAGCCTGGGCCTTACAGTCGACTCGGCGGTCGTAGAGAGGTGGTGTTGGTGCGTGGCTCTTTTGGATTTATTCCCTCGAGTATTATCGACAGTTCACAATCAACTTCGTCGGCCACATCTCCTTGCCCTACACCCCGGGGCCACACTGCCGATAACGCAGAACGTGCGCTATGGCCTGGGTGGAAATCAAGAATTTGGGCACTTTGGATATTAGATGTGTCGATAGAAGTGAGAAATGGTTCAAGTGGCGGCGAAATCGCGTGGCAGGTACTGTGTCGTCACGGACACAAGGCGGCACCAATATTGCGGCTCTAGCCACACCCAAGAGGCCTCGTATGCGGGGGTATAATGCTAATAAGACGTGCAGGACAATTCCTGTGTATACGATAACGCGGCTAGGACAGAGCAGTAGCCAGATACAGAGGCAGAATGTATGTCGGTATGTGTATGTTGGATGCGTATGTAGTAGAGCAGCTCGACAGTTTGCTTTTGTCAGGCGCAGGTGCTGTATATCGCAGGGAGAGTCGCGACGAGGGCGCAGCGTCCAACGAGCAACGGGCAACGGATATGCTGAGTCAGTAGGCGGTAGGAATGTTTGAACTACACGAGCGAGCGGGCGAGAGGGGGGCAGCGTTAAAGAAGCTGGCTGGCCGTTTGAGCGGAGGCGTTGGAGAGGGAAAGGCGACGAGTCGGAGCAGAGACGGGAGAGAGGAGAGACCGAAGAGGGACAACCGCAGAAGGAGACGGCTTATCGATTGGCGGGCTGTGGCATGTGCATGTGCATGTGCAGAAGGGAGGTAAATAAACGGCTGAGGGCAAGCACAGCACGCGGTTTCAGGTCCAAAGGCGGATGGGATGAAATGCCTGGGCGATGGATGATGCGAGGTTGTTGCGTCTCTCCACAATCCAGGATTCCAGCCCGAGAAAAACACCACCCATGACCAGGGGGCTATCGATTGGCTAACAGCGGCCCTTACAGCGCAGGGCAGCCCAAGTCCAGCCATTGCTTACAGCGCCGTAGCGGGTAGACGGCCGGCTGTAAGCTGGCGCTTCCCCGCAGACAGCCCTGTAAGTCCAGGTTCTGACTGACAAATGCGAGTTTGAGCTTGTTTCTCATGTCCCATGCCATCCCATGCATTCAGCATGATTCCTTCTTCAGATGACGTACTTTCTCAGCTGATTACTGCACATCAGATTTCTCGATATAAATTCGCATCCAATTTCATGTCATGTATAAATTTGATGCATTACGTCAGACAGCTTTACCGTACTTCGCATCACTCATTTAGTATCTATCTACACCTTCTACCACTCCCTCTATCTATTGGATATCTACTATACCAACATATCTATAGCATAAGCATGTAAGTAATGAGCGGTTCGTCTATCCAAGAGAAACGCGCACAGGAGGAGCCAGAGCCACCTTGGGAGGGTTCACCACTCTCCAGTCAGGCAGCACATAGTCTCCCCTCTCATCGGGAACAATATCTTGCCCAATATGCGCCTTGATCTCGTCGAAAAACACCTTGTAGCCTTCTCCGCCCATGTGAAGCCCATCCGGAAGAAGCGTGGTCAGGCCCCCCTGCTTCCCATTTTCTGGCGACCCCAGCCACGGACCTCCAGGTGTATAATCTCCGGGAGCCATGGAAATCGCCTCGCCCATAATGGCCTGCCAGAGATCAACCAAGACCACGCCGGGGTTCTCGCGGGCTACCTCCCGGGCTTTCTCTGCATACGACGCAGATACGGCCGAGCTTCGGATGGCTTGGGCGTGGCCCTGTGCCATGTCTAATTCCTTGAGCCTGATTTCATCTGCCGGAGGAGGAGTTACCAGCAGGATCTTGGGATTGTGCGCCCGTACCCGAGGATCGTTGATAATCTTGTTCAAGTTCTCTTTGTATGTTTCAATGGGAACATGCTGCGAGGTAGTCTCCAGAGGAAGAACTGCGTCATTTGCGCCCAAGAGAATAAGCTGGTGGTTTCCCCGTCTTATCAGCGTTATATACTCTTGATGAGTCAGACTTTATCACTCTGCATTTGCACTCACCAAATACGCAATCTTTGGTGACGAAGCAGATGGCTCTGAGAAAATCTCGGGCAAATACTTGACCACATTTGTCGTATTCCATCCTGAGAAGCCGCGGTTAACCACGTCGAAGCGTCGTATCAGCCCTGTAGATTCTTCGTTAAATATCCCACTCTATTTCTGCGAGGCCTGCACTTGGAGGCCTTACTTGTTTGAAGAGCCGACTGGAACGAGAAGCCGCTCAGAGTGAGAGCCGTAAACTCAATCAGGGAGTCCCCCAGGAGGATAACTTGAGGATACGGTTTCTGTGCACAGTGAGCTTTCTACAGAAACTACCAGAGTTATTGAGTCACTTACCGCCATTTTACCACATACACTACAAGAGATCTCTTCCTTTGAGTAAATTGTAGATGCGGAAGTAATGGTCTTTACGAGGATGCGGGGGGTTCAACTGTTAGGACTCGACGGAGTACGGAGTATTGCCCGCACTTATATCAATAGTAGCCTCCTCCCCACTTGAATCTCACCGAATAACGAAGTTTGCCCTTTTGCTGCCTTTGTTAATCTCCAATTGGTCGGGTATAAATGCAGTGGAACACGGCACCACACAACTGGTATGGAGTAACTCAGATACGCAAACACTGCCTCAGTTTGTAATTCTTAGTCAAGTAGAATAATAATGCCTCTAGGTAGACTTGATATTGAACATACAGGAACTGTACTACACATGGATGTCATTCCATCTAGCTGTAACATCGAAAGCTCAATAGTACAAAACCAGCTGAAGAAATGGTAGGAATAGGTGGCCAAGCGAATTCTTTAAATACGATGCACCATCGCAAATATATTCCCAGACCAGCCTCACGCGACAAAAGAAAAGTTGCAGACGGCTAATTTCATCACAGCACTACAGGCAGCCTACACATGTACTCCGTACTGCGCGGATCAATGGATGTCTTAGTGTAATCGCTGGTGCTCCAAATTTAGTGGTGAAATGGATGACACCAGCCACGTGATTGGACGTGGAGTACATTCTGCAGCCAACATGTTAGTGCGGCGTTATCGATAAGAAAATTATCAGCAAGTCTCCGCCAATCTTCCAGGTCTTGAAAAAAAAAAAAGTTCAATAGGCTTCAAGGCGCCATAGTCAAGAACGCCGCGTTCCTGATTTTCTCCCACCTCGAGTCCGTTTTCCGACCTGGAGCCTCAACTTTCGACATAATGGCGACCTCGCTTGCCGCGCAGCTGGCGCAGGTTGCCGCAAACTCCAAGTCGAGTTTGGACATCAAAGCGCAAAAGGCTGCCCATTCAAAGTCTCTGATCTGGGAGCCTCGAGTTGCAGCCGCCCAGAGTTATCAAACTCTGTATGCGACATGCCACCAAGGCTTTGAAGAGCTTTGCCAATTGGACGATCGATTCACTGCCTTCCAATCAACACTATTCAGTGAAGAGAGCCAGAACCAAGATCGAAACCAGCTCACAATCGCTGAGAATGAAGAGCTGGACCGTCACATCGAGGCCTTTCTCAGGCTTGTGGGAAGTCGGCTGAGACTGATGCCCGCAATCAAGGCCATTGAGTGGCTGGTTCGACGATTCAAGTGCGTTTATTACCAAAGCAATGCAATTGCTGTCCCCCCTCCAGTTGAACGGGAGTTAGCTGACCTGTCTACCCATCTGTAGCGTTCATGTGGATAATACGTCAATTCTGCTCATGACCTTTTTGCCATATCATTCCATCACCGCGTTTGCAACTCTCCTATCCATTCTCCCCCCGAAGATTCCGAGCCAGTTCCGATTCCTCGATCCCTATATTCGATCTCTCACGCCACCTCCCCGATCCATCTTTGTTCACCAGGCCATCCACCACGTCGACTTCGTAACTGCCGTGTCTGAATACGTTCTCGAATCATGCCGCAAAGGCTATCAGTATCCCGCCCTCATCACCTTTTGGGGCGGGCTCGTAACCGAAGCCGTGAGTGGAATCCTGGATCGCACCAAGTCTGGCCGAGCTGCGGTGCAGAGCGACAGCAGCCAGGCGTTGTTGCACAGACTGGGCCCCATCTTCGCCGAATCGCTCGTCATGAGAAAGGTCCCCAACCTCCAAATTGCCTCCTACATGGCTGTGACCGTTTTCGTCTCAAAGGGCGACCTGCACGACAATGCTGTTACGGCGCTGATACAGCAACTCGTTCACGGCTGGACTGCCGACACCGTTCGACCCGGTCTTGTCTGCTTGACGATCCTTGCTCAGTTCCGATCCGCCAAACAGATGAGCAGCAAAGTTACCAGAGCGCTTATGAAGGTGCAAGATATCGGTAGCCTTCTCGTCGAAATTGGCCAGGAGCGTCGTGTAGATAAGTTGGCGAACGGATTATGCTTGGCGCTGGTCGAACGATTGGTAAAGAAGGGCGATTCACGAGGACTTGCAACCATCACCACGATTCTGGGCAGCAACATCTTGAAGGACAAGCAGGTGTCTGTCATTTTCAAATCGCTGCTCTTAACGGCTCACGAGCTCAACGACGAAAACGACAAGGACGGTTCTCTGAGAAGGGATGTCGGATCTACCCTGATTTCTTTGTCTCAAACCACTGGATCGTCTGGCGAGGTTATCCAACTGGTCATTAACGAGGTCAAATTTGATATCGAAGAGCTGGAAATGAAGTTGGACCTCGTATTTCGCACTAGGAAGCTTCCCGAATCCACGAGAGAAGATGGGGCAGGTGACGCCGCTGCTCAAGCCCAATCACAGGACCCTGAGGCACGCCTCGCCGAGTTGGCCAACATCTCCGAGTCTCTTGCTTCATCTCTCTCAACAGAGGATGACACAGCCTTTGTTAGCCTCAGTGATTTGTTTGTGTCCATCGTTTCCGACCAAACGCCGCGAAAATCGGAACTTCTTGGCCAGTTTGACCAGTTCCCCAAGCTCAAGCGGGAATCAGCCTTGGCAGACTGCACATACTTTACCTTCTTTATTAGGATCTGGTGCGGACTATATCCAGCATTGGCGCGTGCTGCGGCATTGGATACGGTTCGGAACAGATTAAAGGCTGCACAAGGGTCTACGGTGGATGTCCAGGCCCTTATCCCTTACACTGTTGCGGCTCTGGGTGACCCTTCCAAGCGAGTGCGCCAAGCAGCAGCAGATCTCATCACCGTAGCAGCTGGGCTATACAAGCCTCCCTTTGCTAAACAGTCAGTAAAGGCATGGGGAGCCGAGTCTCTCTATGGAAAGCTCAAGTCCAAGGATGTCGCAGCCCTGGGTGTAGATGTTGTCGCCAGATTCCTTCACCTCCAGCTTCTGCCAGCAGTTGAAGAGTGCGTCATGGACCCAGAGCACATCTCTGCCGTTCTCAAGTCTGCCATCGAGAGCGGCAAATATCAACTCGCCCCTGAGCCGTCTCTGGACAAGAAAGATCACCTGTCCCAGTCCGGCAGACAGGCGCTACTAACCTTCTTCGCCTCTCACATTGTTTCGACTCCATTACTACTTGTGAAGAGCAGACTCCTCAAATCCCTAAACGAAATCCGCGGTGTCTCCAACGTCACACGAACACAACTTCTTCTGCCTGCTTTGCAATCTTGGGCTAGCTTGACGGATTCCGAGGCGACAGAAATCTGTCTCTCTCAACAGCTGGACAAGTCTGTCCTGGATTCTCAATTCATTGACATCATTGTTCCCAGCGACGCTGCCGGGTTGGAATTTGTGTTTACACTGCTGAAGGGCACTGCAAGTGACGAAAGACCGGGCCTTATTCGGGCGGCTTTCTCTCGAATCAAGAAGATGTGGGCTTCGATGAAGGACGAAATGAAGTTTTTGGTGGCGGAACAGTTCTTGGAGCTGTCTCAAGAACCAGAGGCTGCTTCCGACAATACGGAATCCGTCATCCCGGCCGAGGCTGCGGACCTTCTCAAGTCCGTGCCCCTGACGACAGATATCCTATCCTTCTTCTTGGACTCGATTCAGACGGGCACCAAGATGATTACCGAGCCTCCTCCCAACAAGCGAAGGCGAACAAGCTCTTCCGATGCCAACCGCGGTCTAAACACCCAGGTTACTCCCGAACTGAGCCGTGCGCTGCGCAAGGTTACTTTTGTTCTGCAAATCGTCGACAGCTCGGATCCTGTATCACATCCTGAGCTGCTGGACGGTCTGTTCACAGCTTTATCCGAGCTTCAACACTTTAGGACTGTCGTCGGCTCAGAGCTAGGATACCTGCAGAACCTGATCCTACGCAGTCTTTTGGCCATGATGCCAGCGTACAAGGCCAACAAGAATCTCAAGGTGGACAGCTCTGGCGGTTACGGAGACTTGCTCGTGAGCTGTATCCAGAAGTCATCAAGCCCTGTAGTCCAGAACGCCGCGCTGCTGCTGATCGCAAACCTGGCCACTATTGCGCCGCACCTGGTGCTTCACAGTGTCATGCCTATTTTCACCTTTATGGGCACATCGGTGCTTCGCCAGAGTGACGACTACTCTGCTCACGTCGTAGCGCAGACAATCAAAGAGGTCGTGCCTCCGCTAATTGAATCGCTACGCCAAGGTCAGAAGAGCCCCGTTGCCGGCGCTTCAGACATTCTAGTCAGCTTCACGACGGCATACGAGCATATTCCGGTGCACCGACGGCACGGCCTGTTCGTAGCACTGGTTGAAACCATGGGACCCAAGGACTTTTTATTCACACTGGTGAGCATGCTTGTCGACCGCTATGAACTCAACGACGACTTGCTCCAGTTTGTTTTGGACCTTCTCAATGATTTCAGCATCGAAATCCAGCTGGAGACGCTGGTCAAATTGCTCGACCTCACTTCTGATCTCTTCAAGCCCAAGCCTTCCTTGTCGCTTATTCTGCTTGGTAGCGGTGATGAAGATGAAGAAAAGGACGTTGAGAAGATTGCCCTTCGCCAGCTTTCCGTGCTCCCTAGTCTTTTGGCAAACCGAAAGCTCAAGGTGCAGATTAGCAAGCTTGCCGACCGAGATGATATGGAAACATCAGAGGTCCGCCAACTCTATGCAACTCTGCTTGAGGACGTACTGGTACTCGCGGATACGGTCAAATCGAACAAGAGCCTGCACAGCCGATGCGGCAATGCACTTTCTAACCTACTGAACCTCCTTTCAATTGGTGAATTTATCAAGGCCGTGGAGAGCCTGCTCGACAGACCCAACCTTGACCTGCGCCAAAAGGTCCTTCGCGCGTTGGAACTCCGTGTGGGATCGGAAAGCAACACGGATCCTGCGTCAAGGACAGCCTTGCTCACCTTCCTACCACAGCTTACGGCGGCGATCCGGGAGTCCAGCGATATCCGCTACAAGCATACGGCCGTCACCTGTGTTGATAAGATTGCTGAGAAGTATGGCAAGAAGGATATCGAGGCTGTGGTTGCGGCTGCATCAACAATTGCTGGAGAGCACTGCCTTGGCCAAGACGAGAAGCAGCTTCGTATCATGGCTCTCTTGTGCCTCACCTCTCTTGTCGACGTGCTGCAAGACGCCATTGTGCCGGTTTTGCCCATTGCTATTCCTCAGGCAGTTACCTATCTCAACCTAAGCTTGCAAGAGGATACACGAGATGAAGAGCTTCACTCGGCCGGCTTCGGATTCATCAGCGCTCTTGCTGAACACCTGCCATACATGCTCTCCACTTACATTGGCCGGATCCTGGAGGTCTCCAACAAGTCAGCGGAAGCCGAGCTTGATGCGGAAACAAATGAGGCCCGTATTGGCTGCCGCGAGTTCCTTGCGAAGAAGTTGGAAGCGAAGGAGATCTTTACAAGCTTGGACCTGAACTGGGAGAGCGCCACATTCAATGGCTTTACGGTAAGATATGACAAAAAGAAAGCAAGTTTTGAAGAAGAGAGCAGGGCACTAATTTGTGGGACACAGGCTACGTCTGAGTACATTGAGATGCTGGGAATGGCCATCGACAAGCACCCCAAGTCTGCCATTACTAAGAATGCCGGAGTTTTGTCCAGCATCTTGCTAAAGGCATTCGACTTGCGAAGGCAGATACTGGCCAAGGGCGAGACCAGCGATGCAACACTTGCTCGTGTCACTGCCCTGGAGGATTCTATGAACGACAAGGCGCTGAAGATGATTTACAAGCTCAACGATGCCGCTTTCAGACCTATTTTCGTGCAGCTTATCGAATGGTCTAGCACTGGACTCCCCAAGAACGACAAGGTTGGGTTGGCAGCTCGACGATACAGTGTCTACGGGTTCTTACAGTCATTCTTCGAGAACCTCAAGTCAATTGTGACCAACTATGCCACATACGTGTTGGAGGATGCCATCAAGATTCTGAGCAGCGTCGATGTCAAGATTAGCGGCGAAAAACAGCTTTGGAGCCGCGTTCTCACCACACTGGCCAAATGCTTCGAGCATGATCAGGACGACTTCTGGCAAGCGCCATCGCACTTTGGAACAATTGCCCCTGTGCTGATGGAGCAATATGCCCATGCTGCATTGGTCAACGTTGATGAGGCCCTAATTCCCACAACCGTGGAGCTTGCAGCGGCGGCAGACTCGCAGGCTCACCAGAAGGAACTGAACTCGGCGCTGCTCAAGCATCTTCGATCGGAAAAGGCAGCAATCAGGTTGGCGGCTGTCAAGTGCGAGCAAGCGTTGACGGACCGACTCGGCGAGGAATGGCTCTCGATGCTGCATGAGATGCTTCCTAGGATCAGCGAGCTGCAGGAGGATGACGACGAGGTGGTTGAGAGAGAGACTCACAGATGGATTGTCAAGATTGAGGGCGTTCTTGGCGAGAGCCTGGATGCCATGTTGCAGTAATTTGGGAGGGAAGTATATAATGAAACAAAGGTGGACTGGCGTGTCAGGAAATGTCACGCAAGGGGGGAATAAAAAAAGGCTGTCGATGTGAATTATATGGTGTTGTGGATATAAATAGCTTAGATGGGTATATTTCCAGATCTCAGCAGCATTTGGCGCAAAATACAGATTACATTTTAGAATCATTGCAAGAGAGTAATCAGTGACTGCCGGCATGTTTAACGTATGAAACTTGTACGAGATAGATTTTGATCAACTTAACATTGACCTCTTAGAGCAGGATTGTCTCAGGGGAATCGTATCTGGCAATTTAGAGTATTGAGCCAGCGATCAGATAAACGTGCGGGGAAAAAAAAAAAGTTCGACAAAATTTGTTCTTGATTGTTGATTATTATTTCATTGGGGGGGTTTCCCCCCCCCCCCCTTGATCATATAGAAAAATGAATCCTCTAATTCCATTTGCCGTTGTTGGTGAGCTACTTCAACATGGCGTCATAATAAAGCTCATGTCCTATGGGTCCGATCATAGCCGCCTCCCGGGTATCAAATTACGCCCTGCGAGTCTGGAGCAGTTTCCACAACACATTTTCACCTCAAAAAAACAACCACCATTTCTTTCTCATTCATTCACACATTTAATATTGACTTGGCTCTTCTCAAAACATTTTTGTGAATATCAATCAAATAAATTAAAACACCAAAATGGCCAAGGGCAAAGTAGACTACGGCGTCTACCTGGTAACAGACTCGACGCCCGCAATCCTAGGCAACAAAGACCTCACCAGCATCGTCGAGGCTGCTCTGCAGGGCGGCGTGACGATTGTGCAGTACCGCGACAAGCTGAGCGACCGAGAGACGGCAGTGAAGACGGCGAGGGCACTGCACGAGGTGACGAAGCGGTTTGGAGTGCCGCTGCTGGTGAATGACCGGGTGGACGTTGCGGTTGAGGTTGGTTGCGAGGGAGTGCATATTGGACAGGATGATATGGGTAAGTCTTTATTTTATTCTTGTTTTACTTATTTTATATTGTTGATAAGCATGAGATGAAGGAACTTATCTTGTTGAGACTCAAAATTGTTTTCAGTTTGGTGTAGATATATCATGGAGCAACAAGAAAAGCTAACCGCTATGACTCAAAAAACAAACAGCATACGAAGAAGCTCGAAAACTGCTGGGCCCTGACAAAATCATTGGCGTCACAGCCAGCTCCATCCAAGAAGCCCTCAAGGCATGTGAAGCCGGCGCCGATTATCTCGGCCTGGGCACCGTCTACGCCACTTCAACGTAAGTCAGTTGTCTCACGAGAACTCTCCCCTTCTCTCCCCCCTTATATCAAAACATGATAACTACTATACATACACACACATATGTATAACAACCGAATGACATATTACACAGCAAAAAAGACACAAAATCCATCATCGGCCCCGGCGGCATCCGCTCCATCCTGCTCGGCCTCTCCTCCGCCGGCCACTCCTCCATCCCAACCGTCTGCATCGGCGGCATCAACGGCTCCAACGCCACCTCCGTGCTGGCCGAGTCCAGCGCCGCCCCCGCAAAGAGCCTCGATGGCATCGCCGTCGTCAGCGCCATTGTCGCCGCTGCGGACCCTGCGGCAGCGGCCCGGGATTTGCTGGGAAAGGTCGTCGCCGGCCGGGTTCCGGATGTCATCAAGGCTGTGGCCGCTTCGACGCCGTTGTCTCATAACATGACTAACCTGGTGAGTCTCTGATTTTGATGGATGAAGTGCCAGAAAGAAGTTATAGAGACATGATTGATTGACTGTATTCATGCTTAGGTCGTGCAAAATTTCGCCGCCAATGTCGCTCTTGCTGTTGGCGGAAGCCCCATCATGGCCAACTACGCCGAAGAGGCCGCTGACCTGGCCAAGCTGGGAGGCGCCCTCGTCATCAACATGGGCACTGTGACGCCTGAAGGCCTGAAGAACCATATCCAGGCACTGCAAGCATATAACGCCGTTGGAGGACCCGTCGTGCTCGATCCTGTTGGGTATGTATCATAACTCTTCCCCCTCCCCCTTCCCCCTATTCAACTTCACTTCATATGACATATCAATTTGATCCTAATGCTAACATCACACGTCTACAGCGCCGGAGCAACCTCCATCCGCCGCAACGCCGTCAAAACGCTCCTCTCCTCCGGCAAATTCACTGTCATCAAGGGCAACGAAGGCGAAATCCAGACCGTCTACGGCGCCGCCGTCACCCAGCGCGGCGTCGACTCCGCCTCCTCCCTGACCATCCCCCAGCGCGCCTCCCTCGCCAAATCAGTCGCTCGCAGCACCGGCGCCGTCGTCGTGCTGACTGGCACAACGGATGTTGTTAGTGATGGCGTGCGGACGCTGCGCGTGGACAATGGACATGAGTTTTTGGGCAGGGTTACAGGCACGGGATGCACGCTTGGGACGACGATTAGTGCCATGGAGGCTGCGTTTCGGAGTGATCCGTTGATTGCGGCTGTGGCGGGCATGGTTTTGTTTGAGATTGCGGCGGAGAGGGCGGCTGTGAGGGATGATGTTAGGGGGCCGGGGACGTTTGTGCCGGCTTTTATAGATGAGCTGAGTGCTGTTCGGACGGAGACTGCAAAAGGAGACGTTGCATGGCTAGCAAAGGCCAAGATTGAGGCTCTGGCGGTAGAGTGAAGAGTGTAAATACGTATTAAGTTAGAGTGGTTGACATATAAACAAATAAAAGGAGGACAGGAAGTCATAAGGTATAATTATGAGAAGAGAAACCCTATGATATGCATGTTCCCTGCTGGGCTATAATACAAAAACGCTAATATAATCCAATGCCCATTTCTGCTCGCTTCAATACGCAAAACGCCTGATGATACCGCTTTGTCCAGTCTGTAGATCGATCCATATCCATATTCCACACAACTCTTGATGCCATGCCCCAATCTTACAAGCCAACCAAAAAACATCATATTAAAACGCATCCATCACCATCGGCTCCCCATTCAAGCTCCACGCCGTATCATTCATAAAGCTCTGCCACAAGTCATCATCCAAATCCTCCATCCCCATCATCATCCACCCCGGCCCATCCTCCCTCTTATTCACCACAGACGGCGGCGACAAAGACGCAGAATCACTACTGCTCCTCACATCCATCTCCATCCCCAATTTCTGCAGCTGCAAATCCACCAAATCCCTACCGTATTTTAACAATTTGTACATCCTATCTAACGGATCCTCCTCCATCCAACGATCGCTCTCCCTCCGCGCTACGACCGCGCCCACGACCTCAACCTCCCGATCCAGCATCTCCCTGATGCCCAGCTCGGAGACGATATACCTGGGGTCCCACCCGGGAAGCCGTATGATGAGCATTTTGATGCCCGTGATGATGGCGTAGGCGAGATCCGAGGCGTTGAGGCCGAGGAAGTTGCGCTGCTCCTTGTCGCTGAGGTCGCAGCACTTGACGGCTGCGTGGGCGGTGTAGAAGCGGCGGAGGGCACGGAGGCAGGACCAGAGGAGTTGGATGCGGTCTTCGAGTGGGAGGCCGACTGAGGAGCAGTGGGAGTCGGAGATGGACATGTCGGCGAGGAGAATTTCTGATATGGCCATGTGGCATTGGATGGTGCCTATGAAGAAGTTAGAATGTTTATTCATGGAAATATTATGCGGAAGGGGTACTGTTAAAAGAATAAGAGAAAGGGAATGAAAAGAACTTGCCATTATCAACAAGATGAGCTGGTAACGATGCCCGATATGCATCAATCTGCTCCTGAAACGTCTGTATCACCATCGTCAGGGGCAGCTGCATCGGCTGCGGCTGCGTAGGATCAAACGTCATGGCCATAGATATTGACTGCGACAGCATCTGTATCTTGACCAGCTTCGCCAAGTATATATCAGAGGGATATTCTCCTGGCGAAGTAAGCATGTTGCAGAAATTGTCCAGTTGTGAAGTGTTTATAAAAGCATCTGCCTTTTTGTTCGTGTTGAAGACGCTGTGCAGTATCATCGTTAGAAAAATGAGAAAAGCAATTGATTTGGAAGCTGATCTTCCGTCGTCCAAGGGTTGCTGAACTTACATGGCGTTGACGTAGTATGTCCCCACGTATGCTCGTGCGTATTCCAGTTCTCCCCATCTGATCTCGTCTTTGCTGGTAGGGCCGGTGGCGCCACATAGGCATCCGGTGTTGGCTGTATTTACACTCATCGATCTTGCGAGGAAGAGTAGATTGGTCAACTGTGCACTCCTCAAAGCAAAGTTGTGCCTAATTTGGGTGAATCTACCATTAGCATCGCTATATCCTGAAGCAAGAGGATTGCAGCAAATCATTGGCCGCGATGGAAAAAAGGAGTTTACTCACCAGCCGATTATCAGCAACAGACCCTGTAGAGTCTCAAGTCTCTTACTCCCTTCCATCACCATTAACCTCCCCAGCTCAGTCATCACCTCCTTTCCCAACCGATGCTGTCTCGGCCCATCAACGAAGCAGCTCACCATCATCACCACGCTCCACAAAAACGGCCTCTGTCGACGCAGCTCCGCCGCCGTCAAATGCTTCGGCACAACCACAAACGGTGCCAAGGGCGCATGCGTATCATGAAACTGAAGCAGCAAAGCCTCCGCCTCCGCCGCATCGGGCCACAGCCGATCAACCTTAACATAGTCGTTACTCCCGGCCTCGGAGCTCCACCCCGAAGCCTCGGCACTCTCTGACCTCGGCGACGGGAACAGATACTCAAACGTGACAATGCTATCACATTTGGTCTTCTGCCGCCGCTGCGGACGCTGTCCCTGTCCGTGGGGCCGTTCAGTGAGCGACTGGCCATTGGTCGATGAGGTCGACACCGACTCCGGCCCCGTCGACAACGACGACGACGGCTGCTTGGGCCTGCTGGGGTTTACAGCAACGACTCCATCGACAAACTGCGACGACAGCTCGTCCAATCGCTTCTCCAGCTCGGCCACCCTGGATCTCTTCGGCGCCTTTTTGGCTCGGGGCGGGGCGGGCCGCTGCGAGACGCATTCCTTGTTTAGTCTCTGGCACCTAACAACAACAACACAGGCAAACGTATTAATAAACCAATGTCCCTGCCGTAACACAGCAATAACGTAAACAACAGAAAAGCCAACCAGGCCCAAAGAGAGATAGGATAGGGAATGTCCCTCCGGAGCCGCACTGACAACCAAAAAAGAAAATCCCGTCCCCGGGTCCCTCCGAAGAGGAGGGAACAACAAACACCCCACGCATGCACGCATCTCCCGGGGAGGGGATCGGGCTCCGGAGGAATACAAATACAAAGCACCACCACGGGCAGACTCAAATGCAAGAGAGCTCTCACATACCTTTCACACTTGCTGCTCCTCTCCGGGCCGGGAATGCACCGCGCCTTGGCCTTTGCACATGTCGTGCAAGCCTTCGGACCTTTATTAGTGAGCTCCATCGCCGGGGGCTGGGCCGGGACGGTAGGGTCTTTTTCTTGATGCTTGATGCCGAGGTTCTCTCTTCTCTATTATTTTGTGGAGGGCTGGTTCGCTTGTACTTTTTGGATTTACACACAAGGTATTGGAAATCCCCGGTGCAAGTACTAGGTCTTTAAGTTAGTTACGGAGCCGTAGATGGCCTTTGCTCCGTAAGCTCGCCGCGTGGAGTTGCTCCGTCCTTTGATATCACGGAGAGAAAGTAGTAGTATCGTTGATAAGTGATAAGGGAGACAGACGAAAGAGAAAGACACCAAAAACAAAAAGGTAAGTTGGGTGGTGGTGTGAATTTTTAGCACGGGGAATCGAAACAGGCAGCCATTCATCCAAGTCAGCACACGTCCCAACAAAACAAGCAGAGAGAAGAAAAAAACAAAAGAATGCCAATGTACGAGAGAGAGAGAGAGAGGAAAGGGAATCTTCATTCATTCGGGGGGGGCTTCTGCAGAAACGGAACAGATCCAGAGAAGGGCTCCATGAAGTGCCTGAGAGACGGAGAGTCGGAGTTGAAATTGCACCGGACGTCCGTCTCGGAATTTGTGGGGCTGACGTTCCGCGGGTTGCGGCTGGGCTGGGGCATCCGAGACATTTTTCCAGCTCCGGGAGGTGCTAGGCCAGATGGGGAGAACGGGCACTGTACTCGTACAGTTGTTGCAGCTGCGAGACATTCCATGGCAAAAGTGACAGCCAACATGCAGCATGTGGGAATGACGCAGTTTGCAATCATGGGCGTCTTATTGGCCAACTGGAAAATGTCAATTACAGATTTCATTTACACAGGGCGTTAGTTCCGATCCAAGACGATACGAGTACACGGAGTAAGACAAGGTACGTCATCACAAGAGAGAGATATAGATAGACACATACACAAACACAGACACACAAGGCACAATGCAGAGAGGCACGAGAAAGGTTATAGGCGGCATCGTATACGACGCCAAAAAACTTATTGTATTCGTCAACCCATCTTATATGCAGCTTTAGCTGTCGTGGGAGCATAAAAAAAAAAGTGTCATCAAAAATGTGGCTATATAGAGAAAGGAACTTGATTTGCAGCTGGCTCGAGGCAAGCCGCGGCCATGGCATGGCGGTACTACTCAGTCATTTAAGCCGAGACGTCCATCACGCGGTTGACGTTGTTTTCCTCGCGGGCGAGCAGAGCCTCGGTGATGCCATTTTCAGGAACACCGGCGGCCTTGGCCTCCTGCGTGGCCTGCTCGATACCCAGCAGCTTATCAGTCCACAGAGGCTCCTGGACGTTGTCCGGTTCGCCGACGCCAATGAAACCGCCCTCGGCAGCCCATTGCGAAGTGCGCTTGATATCAAGGCGGGTCCAGATCTCGTCAAGAGCAGTCACGAGCTTCTCGCGGAGCTCCTTGTTGTGGCCGGGGGTAGGAGTGACTCGGAGACGCTCCTGGCCAACGGGGACGGTGGGGTAGTTAATGGCCTGGACGTAGATCTTGTAGTCCTGGAGGAGGAGATCCGAGGCCGCCTTGGCCAAACCAGCGTTGCCGACCAGGATGGGAATAATGTGAGACGGGTTAGGAATGACGGGAATGTCGCGGGCGTTGAGCTCCTCCTTGACGGCGCGAGTGTGGAGCTGCTGCAGGCGACGGTCGCCATCATAGGCCATCTGGTACTCGATAGAAGCCCTGGCGCCGGCCATTGTCGCCGGTGGCAGAGTCGAGGTGAAGATGAAACCGGGAGCGAGCGATCGAATCATGTCGACAAACTTGGCGCTGCCAGCAATGTAGCCACCAACGCATCCGTAGGCCTTGGCAAGAGTTCCGGTGAAAATGTCAATGCGGTCCATGATGGTTCCGCGAGGCCTGCCGTTGGCATGAGCCTCCCAATCCAGGTGCTCGGCGACACCAGCGCCGGTTGGGCCATACATGCCGACGGCGTGAACTTCATCCAAAAAGGTGAGAGCGCCATACTTTTCAGCCAGATTGCAAATTTCCTCAATCGGTCCAATGGAACCGCACATGCTGTAAACGGACTCGAAAGCGATAATCTTGGGGACGTGCAGAGGTAGCGACGCCAGCTTGGCCTCGAGATCTGCAATGTCATTGTGCTTGAACACAATCTTCTTGGTTCCGGAATGGCGGATACCCTGGATCATGGAAGCGTGGTTTAAGCTGTCAGACAGGATAACACAGTCTGGAAGTTTGCTGCCAAGGGTAGCCAGAGTGGCATCGTTGGCAACATAGCAGGAGCTGAAGACAAGCGCCGACTCGGTGGCGTGGAGCTTGGCCAGCGTCTGCTCCAATTCAACGGCATGCTTGTTGTGTCCGGAAATATTTCTAGTGCCTCCAGCACCGGCACCATACTTCTCCAGAGCCTCATGCATGGTGTTGAGAACGTGCTGGTTTCCACCCATGCCGAGGTAGTCGTTGGCACACCAGACGGTCACCTTGTCCTCCTTACTGGCCATGTGGGCAACCGGGAACTCCTTGGCGAGACGATTGATGTTGTTAAAGTAACGATACGATTTGTCCTTGTGCTTCTTGTCCAGTTCGGACTGGTAGAAATCTTCATAGGAAAACTTGCCGGTCGAGCTGAAGACGGACGGAGTCACGGTGACCGGCGGCGCATCCTTGCGGGCTGCCACGCCGGGAGGAGGAGGCGGCGCTGTAGCAAAAAGAAAAACATGTCAGTTGAAATTGATTCACAATAACAATAATAAACTTCAAGATAAACTCACCATTCTTGCGTCCCTCGAGAATTGGGCTCTCCACAGCCCGGGCCTCCTGGTTACGGCTCGTGTGAAGCCTAGCCTTGCCGGTGGTCTTGGTCTGCGCCGAAAAGGCACGAATGCCCGCCGCAGCGCCGTACTTGGACGATTGAACAGCCATGGCCTTGCCCATGACGGGGCAGCGATGCGCATACAGCTGCAGCTTGGACATGGTGCCGCCCAATGGCGAGGCCTTGGGGCGAGCCACCGTCGACATGGCACGCAGGGTCGCGGGCGATGCCGACTTCAGGAACGGGCACATGGCCTTGGATTGACGCAGGACGCTATCCATGGCGAAGAAGTTGTTGGTGTTGATCAGAGGTTCGCTGGTTTGCAAGATTGATGATGGGAGAAGCCTAGAATTCGGGTTGTTCCAGGTTCAATGTTGCAAAGTAAGCGTGGCAATAATTGAGGAAGCTGGGGAAGAGAAAAGAGAAAAAAAAAAAGCCCGTGGTGTTTAGTCAGTGGTGAGACGAAAAAGCGGAGGAATAGTCCAGCCACAGAAACCCCGTGTCAGGTCGCCTTTCCAGATTTGTCTGTCCACAAGCACAAAGCACAAAGCGGTTGCACTACACCTCGAGTCCCTGCAATTGCTTGCAAGAAAAAGGGAGAAAATGAAGATACTTGTCCAGTCGATGCGAGTGGAGGAAAAAGGAAGAAGAAATAGAAGATGCAGAAAAGTGGAAGACAATGGAAACTCGTCCATCCGAGGCTCGGGGACAGCGCCAATATCTATTCCCAGACAGTCTCAGACTCAAGACTCACTAATACGACACCACCCCACAGCTTCACTTTCCGAATGCCGGAGTCCCCCAACATACATCCAATACTGCACAGTACACAGTACGCCCCAAATACGCCCTCTCAGCTGCCATTTACGCCTCTGGCGATTCCGGCCTCTCGCTCGCTGCAACTTCTAGAAGCCCCTGCAAAACCCGCCCGTTATAGCGCGTGCATCCCAGCCAGTCAGCCGTCAGACCAACCCGCTCGCCTCGGCGTCCCTCGGGTCGTCTGACATTGTCTCGCTGCTGATTGGCCGACCTTCCAATGCCCTGCATCTTCGGATCTCCGGTTAGGGCCATGGCAGTTGGGAAAAGAATTGAGCCCTTTTTGTCTGTCGTTAGTCTTATATTCTCCGGTTTTACGGAGTGCAGACAACCTTGTCGTCATTCTCGTTGCCCGACTACGGGCTACATGCATTACAGCGCTGTCCTTTACTTGCTCAGCCGTTATTAGTGCTTCAGATGTGTAATTCTCACTTGTCAAGTCCAAATGCTCTGCATCAATTCCCCATTGCCAATGACTCAAATTGCTCACTTTATGGACTGATTCTCCCAGTCCTTCGTACGATTTCTACTGTTCTAGACCGCATACATCCACTAAAATCGCCTTGGCTGCCCATGCAGCACAATCTCCATTTCCTACATATATATCATCTTCTCCTGTCCTATTAGCTAGCGGTAAATAGAGAGAGTCCAAAAATCCCATCCCGTGCTGCTCTAGAGGTCTGTAATGAACTTGGTAGAATCGAATACCATCCCTGATAGAGAAGAAGAAAAAACGCCAAACCACAAGGCCAAGCAACACCCGCATTCTCGCCGTTATACTCCGTATGGAGCATTGGTGGGTATCTCGATTTTACATAGACTGACATGAGACTAAAAGGAGCACAAGAAGAAAAAAAGAAAGAAAAAGAGGCTTAAAAAGTTTTAGCCGCCCAAACGCCGCACTCCGCCGCATAAATGCCGCAAACACCGGAATGAACCCGCCTCACCGTCCTCAGTATTGTATCATATGCGCACGTTTATTTCTTAAAGATTTTGGCCATTGGGCTGGTGGAGTGCATTGTTTGCCCGTTGAGGTAGCCGAAAGCGACGCTCCGTCCTTTTATCGGCTGCTCGCCGCATTACCTGCGCATCTTCGGTAGCTCGAGCCGAATGTGGCATCGGCCGATGGATATTGTTCAAGTTCTGTTAAACCCCGGTGTAAGCACAAGAGAGGATATCAAACACGGCCAGGAGGAAAACATCAATAGGAAGAAAATAATGACAAACCTACACTTGGGTCAGGTGTCTCAAATACCCGTCTCAATTGGGCCAAAAAGTCCTTCTCCGAATGACCGTTCATAATTGCGATCCTATTTTGGATTTCCTCTTCCGGCGCTGTTGCTAGGTATGTTGGAGTGCAATGGCCCAATACTATCGCAAGCATAAACCGGCGATTATTTCGTATATGGCTCAGCAGGAGGCGCCATCGAGCGTCGTCTGGGAGAAACCCATGGCCCTGTGCTTTTTGGGCCACGGTAATCCCCTCGGTAAGCATTCTTGCTACGTCAGGCGGATTATCTTTGATTTCTGAATGAGCTTCTATCATTTTAGCCAACTCTTTCTCGAAATCGACCTTAGCATGACTTCGAGGCTGGCTGAACAACGATGCCCCTGTGTTAGTCGCAAGTGCCGCAACTGTTGACGTTGATCCTACTGCTTGTCCCATTTCCCTTGCTGCACCATTCGATGGCGTTATTGGAAAGATAGATGGAGCATTAGATTTCAGGATATGTGTGTTTGCCCCGGTCATTGGTAACGGGGCTGACGACGAAAACTGCGGCATGTGCGCCTTTGCTCTAGGTATTAGTCATGGGCTCTTGGTGATGAAGGATCTCGCATCACTTACTTGAGGGCCAAGTGGCATGACACCATCTGCCTGTGTTTGCGTAACCGGCATAGTGTTTATGTTTGATGCCGCTGTATCGTCATGAGCAAGGCCCGATGACGGACTCAACTGTGGTATATACAAGTCCTCCATCAAGCGTGCGTTGACAGCGGCCATATCAACCCTAGAGGGCCTGGCGGCTTCAGCCATCGCTCGAATCTGTTCTGCTCTTTGTTTCTGGTCCAGCATCATCCTGTACTTCTCAGGGTTGGTGTGCCTCATCCGCTCCAAGTCGTGCAGCTCTTGGGCGTCTTTTCGCTCTTCAGCTGTCAGTTCATTGGTGGGATCTTCTTCTTCAAATGTATCTGTCGAGATGATTTCGCGAATGGTACCTCCAGGTTGAGCATGCTCGATGAGCTTGTCCAGTATTCTGTCTCGACCTTTTAAGACTCCGAGGTCCTTGGCTGGCTTCGGTTTTATTGGCTGAAGCAACTCCCCTACTCGCTTTCCCCAGCTAACGGGTTTCTTCTTGTCTACCACGCGTGACGCGAGTTGCATCTTGAAAACAGTCTTGTTTTGCAATGCCTCCTCAAAAGCTCCTGAAACGACAAACTGATAGACGTATACCGTCTTTTCTTGCCCAAATCGGTAGGCTCGTCCCACCGCTTGTTGCTCTGTCACCGGATTCCACTTGAAATCGAAGATGACAACACGGTTGGCACCGTAAATGTTAAGACCAACGCCACCAGCCCCTGTGGAAATAAGATAGATCTCTTGCTTTCCAGTATTGAAAGCTTTGATCTGCTCCTGCCGCTTGAATGCGGCCGTGGAACCGTCTAGGCGACATACCGTACGCCTCTGCTCCTTGAACAAGTTTTCGAGATAATCCAACGTAAGTAGGGATTGGCTAAATACGAGGACCTTGTCTCCTATGGCACGTGCTTCATCCAGAATCATCAGAAGAAGCTCAACTTTTCGTGACAGAGCAGGATTGGCATTATCAGCCTTGCTTGTCTCCTTAAGAACACTAGAAATCATACTCTGGGGAAAGGTTATCGCCGGAGCTTTGGTCTTAGCAATGCAATCGTCGTCTGTGTCGTCTTCGTTTTCGTCGGGTTCTTTCAACTGTGCCGCTGCTGGTGTCCTTGATGATCCTGGCACATCTGCCTTGGATGACATTTCCAACACCTTTTGCCTGAAGCAACGAGGATGATTGCAGATGAGCCTGAGGTGATCTGTGGCGCCAAATACCTTTGCCTGTTTCGAGTCCGCCAAATACGGCGCCATTTCGGCCAAGTAGAGGTTGTAGAGTAGTTTCTGAGTGGGGGTTGGCTCAACGAATAGGACGAATTCGTACTTGGCAGGCAGCTCATGTTTGACACTCTGAGTGGTGGCTCGTTGCACTTTGGGTGCTACATTGAGCTTCAATACTTCCAGCATTTTCAGGGCTTTTCGTTTTTCTTCCCTTGTACTGTCATGCCACAGGCCGCAATGGATTGGGTTGCCGTATATGTCTCGAAATTCTTGTTCAGGGCCGAGGAAATTCGGCGCCACCCAGTTGATCATCCAATAGTACTCTTCGACATTGTTGGACAGCGGCGAGCCGGTCAAGGCAATTCGGCTTCTAGTGCGAAATTCCTGGCAAGCTCGGTGAATATTCGATTCCGGATTCTTCATCACATGGGCCTCGTCACATATCACCATGTTGGGCGACTGTGTAAGTATCTCCCGCATGTCGTTTTTTGACCGTTCAAACAATTTGTGCCCAACAACCAACACTCCGCCATCTCGCTCCCAGGTCTTGATAATTGACATGCGTTCATCCACTTTCTGAGCTGACTCGACTTTGAACACATTGCCGAGTAAGCCTCTGGGCGACCACATCAATATCTCGTCGAGCCAGTTATCAACCAGGCCAGCGGGGCATAGGATAAGTGACTGCGACTTTCTGAGCTCTTGGGGAACCTGTGAACGCACAGATTCATCATCTGAGTTTGCAGCCTCGGTCACAGCTACCAGAAATGTGATGACTTGCATCGTTTTCCCCAGGCCCATGGTGTGAGCGAGGAGACAGCCCTGGCGAGTCTTTCGCTCCTTTGCGTCGAGGACAATTTGGTCCCACAGAAACCGCACTCCATTGATCTGATGATCCTTTATGCGCTGTCCGATATCATCATTCACATAAATGAATGGTTGATCGTCCTCCTTGCTTTCGTTTATAATGACTCGAGACTTATCCACAGAGAGAGCGTTTGAGTTTGCCAGAGTAGCTCGCACTTTCTCTCGGCGAGCCTCAATCTCTGCAGCACGTTTCATCTCTCGTTCTCGAAGAGCAACGCCCTCTTTATTTTGGATAATTTCTTTGACCACGTGTTTGCGCACCTTTGAGGGCGTATCGGTAACGCCAAGCTGATGCTCATCAGCTTCGTCTAGCCCTATTTCGTCGTCAAAGGCATCGGTTCTGTAAATTTGGTTGCTCTGTGGGAATTGGGGCGCCCACTCTTTGATAAACGCATGGAAAGTAGAGAAGAAAGCCTTTGCGCGATTGATTCTGTTCTTGTCTGTCTTGTCCAAAGCCACGACTCGCTTATCTATGCATTGACGGCACCGCGTGCAGCTCAAGAAGAGTTTTGTGACATCAAATGCAACGGTCGTTGTCTCTTCTTTTCCAATATCAGACTCTTGGGCAAGAGGATTCGTTTGGTGGGAGTGTATCGAGGCCTGCCAAGCATCTTCTGCTGTATTGTCTTGCATTAGTCGAAGAATCCATTCACGGCGAGTTTGTGGAAGCTTCCATAGCAGACAGAGAACCAATCTCCAACGATCTTTCTGCTTTGCCCAGTGCCTTGGAGAATGTTCACCGATGGTCTGTAGGCTTCCCAGATGATCCATAGGCGGTACCTCTTCGGGCAAAACGATTGCTAGCAATGACTTTTCTGCGATGACACCAGCTTCTCGCACTTCACGTTTAACCGGAGATGTCAGATCAATGTATTGTATCGCCGATTTACTGTCTGTGATTTGTTCATCAGACTCCAGAAGCGTAAGATCGATGACCATGTCAGATTCAATATCAGATGGTATGTGACTTGGCCGAAATGGTAGTGATTGGGGAACATCTTCAAAAGGCTCTCTGTCGGCCATGAACAAGTCATCTTCATCGCCATCATCAGGCACAATGAATTCATCTTCATCGCCATCAGGAGGCACAAGGAATTCCTCTTCATCAGGTACAACGAATTCATCTTCATCAGAACTAGTCAGCACTTCATCGTCGAAAGGATCCATGGGAGTCTTTGCGATAGATAATTTTGGCTTCGGCTTCGGCATATCCGAGGGTTTAGGCGGAGCTTCGCGCTGCTCCAGAAGCTCAAGCAGCCATGTGTGATACAGCTTGTCGCTCAAACTCTGCTCCATGACACTTGCTTGTGTTCGGACCTCGCGCTCTGTTTGCCAAGTGTTGTCGAGTATTTCGGCATAAAGCTTCTTTATTCGCGTTTCATAACGCGAAACTTCTCTGCGCGCCTTAAATATCTTCTCTTTAGTCCTCTCTCCTCGCCTAGACTTTTTCCAGATTTGGTGGGCTTTGAGATTGTATTTAGGCAGCTTTGTTTCTTTCCATATAGCTTCCATGGCAGCCATCTCTTCCTTCAAAATGGATCCCACACGCTCTGTGGAGAATTGGCGGGCCTGTTCACGCTCCCTTGCAGCAGTCTCTGCATTCTCTTCATCGATTTCTCGCTGCGTCTCTTCATCCCAAGAATCCGGCAAGTCGTCAAGATCAACTACAGACTCGCTTCTATTAGAAGGGGTCGGGGATCTAACAACAGCATCACCCCGTTTGAGTGCCGCTTCCTTTTTGGAGTTTTTGATCAATTGCCTTCGTATGATGCTGTTGGTGACAAGCCTTTTCCCAGGAGGTATCGTGTATTTTGAAGACACGACGGCAAATCCGCCCTTGACATGACTGATGTGAGGGACGTCAGGAGAATCAACATGAGATAGCACAGTTTGTCGATGGCGGCCTTTTTCGCCTAGGTAGGCATAAACAGGAGGAATTCCTGTAGCGGGACGCTCGTCATTATTGCTTTGTTTCTCAATTGTGCCCACCAAATTTAATGGTACAGTTTGCGTTAATGCAAGTGAATCCGAATCAGCCAGAGGTTTCGTGCTCAAGTTTGTTGGCGCTAATCGTCTCCGCTTAGAAGGCTGTTCTTCGCTTTGCTGAGCAGGCGGCGGGCTTTCAATGAGATTAAGAGGAGGAGCAGATGCAGAGTCTGCCTTGACACAATGATCTGTGTCTCCATTCATTGTTTGCATGATACAGTCCCCGTCAAATTCTGCAAAGAGGTTGTCGAAGGATGTAACATCTTGAACATGTCTTGTATTCATCACTTCCTCTTGGTCTGTCTCATGCTTGGCTGGATTGCCATGTAGGCCTAAATTTGGTGATGCATATGAATACGGCTTCACGGGAGGTGTATTGGCTATCTCGCCTTTGACGTCACCTCCTTCTTCGTCGAGGTTGGTCGCATCGCGGCTCTCTTTCAGCCATTTTTTCTTCCACGAACGAAAACCTTGACTTTTCGCTTGAAAACCAAGGATGGCCTCTGCTAAACCTGCCTTGCTGCGCGCAGTGGTTATGCCGAGAGCTTCCTGCAGCTCTCTCCTTCCAAAAAGAAGCTCGTAGGTGAGTAGTGTTCTTCCATCGATGTCTTCAGTAGCTAGTTTCGCGGCCAACGCAGCCGGATTTCTGACCCATAGATGGCATTGAGAACATAATTCCATTGAGAGAGTATCTGGGTCCCAGTAGAACGGATCATCCTGGGTCGTAGTACCCATCAGGGCCACGGGTGCTGTCAATGCGAATGAATCCACTATCAAGTGTGTTAGCCAGTCACATCTCGTAAGCCTGAGCAAGATTTGCTAGTCATTTCATCTTCAAATAGAAAGAAGAGCAAGGTTTCAACCAAGGTTGAATGTGATGTAAACAAAGATTGTGGTATAGGAAATAGAGAGCCAACTCACTACTAGGATTTCTCCCGCTGAAAGCAGCGTGTGCATTAGAACAGAGAGATGACGGTTTTGTGAAGAGGGGAAGGAATCCTTGAAACAGGTCAAAACAGTCGAGAAGAAGATTAAAGAGAGATGATTAAAGGGAGAGATGATGAGAGGGAAAGAGACGGATAGAAATGATAAGAGGTGGGAGCGTGCTTGATATCTGAGGTTGTGAGGAAGAGGAATATTGAATGGCCCGTGCCCTCACTTGATCTGCGAGAAAAGCAAATAGAAAGTAAAAGAACCGCAAACAATTCTAGGAATCTTCCCAGAAAACAACAAGAACAAAGAAATGCAGCCCTGCACAGACTACTAATGACCAGATGCGGGCTGCGTGCTCATAAGTTTGTTTGCTGTGGTGATCGCATCTGTGCAGGGTCGATACGCGTTGGCTCGAGTTTGTTGGTTGAGAAAAGAGAACGATTCACAGCACGCTCTCACGTGACTCTCGAATGAGCAAACCACAGACGCAGCGGATCAACTCTTCTCCTTGTATATGCCCAGCTGCCACGAGCGCGGCCGGGCGCTTTATATCTGTGCTGTTGTTTGGTTTTTTTCTCTCTTTTTCTTCGAATTCTTTTTCATACCGGCCTCAGCCCACCAAAGCTTAAAAAGATGACGGTCCGGTGTCAGGGCGTCTCAGCCATGGCGGTAGTGCCAAAGCGGGAACTGCTAGGGAGGCGGCTAGTAGTCTAGGGTCTCAGACAAACGTGGTTTACAGGGGACTGGCGCCTAGTTGGGGGAGCTGATAGGCGATCGCGGGGGCCGAGGCGGGCACTGGGTTGCGCTGCGTCTGGACAAGGCATCTTTTTTGCAGCTGGGATCCAACGACAGAACAGACAGATAGGCATATTGAAGAGTCCAGAAGGAAGAACAGCGTATATAGGGTTAATTATTATGATTTTTCTATACATATGTAATAATTATAAGCTCATATAATGAATTCTGTAGAATGCTGATCCAAATTCATCGTGATGCCTCTCTACTCTCTGGAAGAGCGAAGAAGAAAAAAATTCAAAGACGCAATTAATAAGCCACTCAGCGACATCGCGCCCTAGCATCAACGTCCCATCCGCTCAGCCTATCCAAAGACATGCGCAACTATTACACAACCAACAACCACACTTGAAACTTCTTCACCAAAACTGCCGGCCGTTATCCAGGCCCAACAACCTCCAACTAGCCAGTTTTCTCCTCGCCAACGAGGCCTCCTACCCGCCTCGTCTCATTCCCAGCCGTCATGGCTTCTCTCACGAGCGGGGCATTCCCCCCACCACTAAAAGAGACTGAGAAGAATGCTCTCGTCGAGGTGGTCAAGGACTGGGCCATTGCCAATGGCCTCGCTGTTCGGTCACCCCCCACGGTTGTTCCAACTGAGGCAGATCCAGCGGGCATCACGGCCGTCAACGTCCCCGTCACTCTCTTCCCCAGTCCATTCCCGAAGAAGTGCTTCGAGCAGGGCCAAGCAGTGCAGCAGACTTACAATGAGCTGTATGCGGCCGTGAGTCGTGACGAGGCATTTCTGGAGCAAACAGTCAAGGAGTGAGCAGCAGCAATAGACATCTTATCTCTTTTATGAGCTTCATCAGACTAACATAATCTGCTTAGGGTCATAGATGGTGACGACTTCATCCGCAACCTGTGGGATGTTCATCTCAAGGTCAAGGCTGAGGGCTACACTCAGGTATCTACTATATTGCATTTTGAAATTAATTCCTATCTATGAACGTCATACTCATTCATCACCCGTGCCTCCAGCCTCTGTCCTTGGGTCTGTTTAGATCAGACTACATGGTTCACCAAGATAGCTCAACGTCTCTCCCTTCCGTCCAAGCGAAGCAAGTTGAATTCAACACCATTGCCGCATCATTCGGTGGTCTCTCAGCTTTTACCTCAAAACTACACAAGTCAGTTCATACCTGATTCTTTGATATGATCACAGAAGCTAAACTTCGCCCATAGATTCCTTGCTGATACCGAGTACCCCCTACTCCAAAACGCCTTGGCACCCAACTCACTCAACCTTCCCGACAACCAAAGCATCCAGGGCCTGGCCGGCGGTATCCAAGCCGCCTTCCACGCATACCCCAAATCAGAACTAGGTTACGCCAAGTGCGTCATCTTCCTGGTCCAGGGTGGCGAGCGCAACATCTTTGATCAACGCCATCTAGAGTACCAAGTCACTCAGTCATCACCAACGATACCAGTTTTCAGACTTGCCATTGCCGACATTCTCAAGCACACCACCCTTGCCGACAGCCCGAAGCGCCAGCTCCTCTATCATCTTCCACGTGATCCCTCCAAGGTCTTCGAAGTAGCCGTCATCTATATGCGATCTGGTTACCACACCAATGACTACCCTGATCAAACGGCCTGGGACGCCAGATACCACCTAGAGCGATCTGGTGCGATCAAGTGCCCCAGCATCCTCACCCAGCTCGCCGGTACGAAAAAGGTCCAGCAAGTGCTCGCTACTCCCCGGCCATCATCTGCGCCATCTGTCCTCAGCAAATTCATCGACGACAGCACCCCGGCCGCAGCCGAGCTCTGGAAAACCTTTACCAACATTTACCCCATGGACACATCCGAAGCCGGTCTAGAAGCACGCAAGAAGGCCCAGGATCCCGAGCTCTGCAGGGCATACGTTCTCAAGCCCCAGCGAGAGGGTGGAGGCAACAACATCTACCGCAGTGCCATCCCAGAGTTCCTCAAGACGCTGCCAGAATCCCACTGGAGCGCATACATTCTTATGGAACTCATTGTACCGCCTCCCGTTTCAAACATCATCCTTCGCAACGGCCACCTAGAGGAGGGCGGCATCATATGCGAGTTGGGCATATACGGTACTTGTCTCTGGAACCAGGGCACCGGCGAGATACTCCACAACAAGGGTGCAGGATATCTGCTCCGTTCCAAGGGAGACCAGAGTGAAGAGGGAGGCGTTGCGGCAGGGTACGGTTGCATGGACAGCGTGAGCTTGGTATAGAAGGTGAATAATTAGAATCAAACAAATAAAGCAGAATAAAAGCCAACATGACTCGTCATCACAAACGTGTTGGGGAATCGTAGTAGAGATGCTCCGGCAAACTAGCCTTGGGAGCGCACATCGCATAGAAGCTAGCAAGAGAGCTGAGAGTTCATCCACCATAACAGATCGTACACCATATCATCAGGCAATACAGTTACATAGTAGGCATCCATCCGCCCTTCAATTCGCCAAACACCGATCCCGACCAGTTGCAGCCAGCCACGTTTGTTATCGATTTACTCGCCCTGTTCAGGGAGGGAAGGGCGCTTCAGAACCTCAATGTTGCCTGCAGTTTTTATCACCATTGAGTTAGCAAGCTGCTGAGATTATAAATCTTCGTAAATCTTGGAGAGGAGGATGGCTTACGCTGGATGATGCTGAGGCCTTGTCTGTTCTGGCCGTTGGAATCGGTATAAGTGTTGATGGACGCATCGCCCTCGACATAGACCATGGAGCTGGTAATCAAGTTCAATGTCAGCAACGTTCTCTCGCTATATATACTTGAATCGTCGTTTCGCGCGCAAAACAAAAGAAGAACACAAATCACATACCCCTTTGGCAGACCCATGATAAAGTCCCTGCGGGGACCGTCGACGAAGCCAGTGACGCGGAACCAGCTTGTCTGACGAGCATCCTTGGGCCCACTGTTGCTCGCGACGGTGTATCTGACGTATTCCTTGAGGCTCTCTCCAGAACCGGCAGTCATGCCCTCGGGCGAGTCAGCCAAGTGGCCGATGATGGTGATGCGGGCGACGGAGCGAGGCGAGGTGGTGCTGAATGCGCGAGCAGCTCCCGCACTAGCGACGGTGGCGCGGCGCAGCAAGAAGGACGACATTGTGAAGTTATTATCAGTAATCGACGCAAAGACGGAAAATATCGAAGGAAAAGGTAGTTATGGAAGGGTAAAGAAAAGTAACAAGAGGTTTTCGTTGCTTTGGTTGTTGTTTTTCCGTTTGTTCTTCTCCCTCGTCAAAACGAACGGCCCGCGATAAGATCAAGGACCCATGCCCAAGCTCTCTGAGCAGTGATTGGATGGCGGGGTATTTTTCCGGCCCCCGGTTGTGAGATCAACACGCCAGAATGCAGAAGCTCCCCCTTGCACAGATGCAGAGCATGTGGTTCATATGCCTCTAAAGGGATGAATCGCTATATGAGGTACAGCTTCAATAACAACGTCGGTACCTTGTAGCTTCTGGCAGTCGTCACTGCGGGGTGACTAGCACATTGCTCTGTTTTTAGCATTTTTAGCAGCTGCTGCCATGTACCCGGCAAGTACCCAGGCTGTCGATGTAAGTCAGACCTCACATGTGCAACAGCATCAATAACAACACGGAAAATGCCCAGCATAACTCTGCCGTGAATGAACAGCACAACTTTGTATAAATCGTGCATGCAAAGACATTATCGTATCAAACACATTTGGTCCCTCATCCCGCAAATCAAATTCCATCTCCGGCTGCCTTTCCGCCTCTCCGGTGAGCCTCCAATCCTCCCTCCACCAAACCCATCCATCACAACAACCCAAACTCAAGTCAACCTTGAACCCTCCCCCTTGTCACGGCATCAAACAGACTGCCCACCCTCCAAATTCATACCAACAAGTCCAAGCCACAGCCGTCTCTAATCCTAATCCTCCCCTATTTTTTCTATTTTTTTTTCCCACGCCTTGCCTCCAATCCCAAATCCCGGGAGCCGCTGCCGCTGAAGGTGCGGGATGGCGGGCGCACAGACTTTCCCAATCCGGTCGTCAATAGACTCCCAATACGGCTCTCAATAAACGCCTCCAAACTGAGACAAACTTCACAAAACTTGCTTACGCCGTGTGATTGCCCGCGCTGTGATGCTTCATGTCCAGGCGCATGTTAATTAAAAATGTACTTTTACTTGCTTTTTGGCCTGCGCTGTGCAGCTCGTATCCCCTGCAGTGCCTGCTGAGAAACCACTTGCAAGGAAATGGGCTGCTTCGAGCTGGATCTTGAACCTGGTCCTTGATGCCGTGTTCTTCCCCCCTTCGCAGGCTGCCGCTGCAGTTTGCTGTTCTTTTAGCGGTCGATAGTTTTATCTTGGCCACTTGTATGAGCTGGTGATTGGGTTTTTCTTTTTATCAGGATGGGCGTTTTTATTACTTTGGAGCATTCAGGTCGCTTAGATGCGTTCGTAATGAAATGTCCTCGAGTGATGCTGCTGTGCCTTATTGTCTTATTGACTGTATAAAAATCAATTGCTCGACTCTCTTTTGTCAACCGTTCACCTTTACACAGTGATGTGTTATTGAACTTGGATTCATTCATATGCAAAGACTCTTTTTATTTCGTCTGCCTTCAAAAGTTGTGCGAATTTCTCTTCATCAGCGTCGCTCTTCTTCTACATCTTCTTCTTCTCTATATATCATCTTCATCAATATCACCGGTATCACCATCTCTTTCTGCGTCATCTAACACAAGTCTGTTTAACGTCACGATACCCAACGATCATCATCTCAACTGCTCCCTTAATTAACACCGCCATCATGAGTGGCATCCCCCTCCATCCCATCATCCCTGATTCCTCCATCTGGATGCTTGGTCCAGCCCCAACCGTCTACACCAGTCCCTCCCTCACAGTCAACCTCGTCTGCCGCATCTTCTTTGGCATCCTCGCCAACCTTATCTGCCTCATCCCCCTTCAACTACTCTACCGCAACGGAGAATTCGCCGCCGTCGTCTTCATCCTCAACATGGAGCTGGAGAACCTACGCAACATCGTCAATGCTCTCATCTGGCGGAACGACGACGTGGAATCGTGGTGGCCCGGCTACGGCTTGTGTGATGTCGACGGTTTCCTGCACAACTTTTGTATCAGTCTCTACGCCACATGCCTCCTGGCCATCATGCGGAACCTGGCCATCCAGGTCGGTAGTCTGAGAGCCAACCCGCCGTCTCTGAGAGAGAAACGAAGACGCAACATCATCCAGGCCCTCATCATATTCCCGCTGCCTCTGGTGCAGGTTGCCTGGACGTATCCTCTTGCACAGCAGCGATATTACGTTGGCACTTTGGTTGGGTGTTACTGGCCGAATGCATCTGCCTGGCCTACTGTCGTCTTCGAGATTCTCCCACAGGCAATTGTGTCTCTTATCACTGCCGGCTATGCGAGTAAGTATTGCAGTCAATACCCGAAATACACAGCTTCATAACCCTTTGGAGTCATCAGCTAACATCTTTCCTAGTCTTCATTTACATACGCTTCCGCCAAATCACCAAGTCAACTCAGTCTGCTCTCTCCAGCAACCCCCTTGCTCATAGCCGCAACCAACGAGCCCGCCGCCGCCTCTATCTCATGGTCATCTCCATTCTTATACCCTTCCTTCCTGTCGTCCTCGCCCTGGCAGCCATCAACGTTATCAACACTTGGCCATTGCAGCCTTTCGACTTCAAAGCCATTCATAGTAACGAACGAGCGATCCCCTGGTCCACTATTATATATCTACCCAGCAGCCAGATAGGATGGATGTTCATGAACATCTGCTACGTACCCATCATAACAGCTATACCAGTCTTCGTCTTCTTTGGCATGACCAAAGACGCTATGAACTGTTACCGAGTCATTCTCTTGTACGTGGGGCTTGGGAAGGTGTTTCCAAGTCTATACGAAGAGTATAATCCCGACTCAAGAGCCCTAGCCTCGATGTCCAACGGCTGTTCAAACAGCAACACGGCATTAACAAGGTAATCGCCTCCCAACCAGTAGTCTATTGCTTCAAACACAGAAAGAGAAATGCTAACCAAGCCGTTACCAGATCCTCCAAAAAGAATCCAACCTCCTCGGGCGTCCTCACAAACATATTATCCAACCAAACCACATCGTCAACTCTCCAACAACCTCTTCCTACGGCATCCCTCCCCATACACAACCAAGACGTGCCCATTCAACTGCCTCATCCCAACCCATTTCTCTTCCGCACCCGCCTCAACTTCTCTCTTCCATTCAGCCTTTCGCTCTTCAAGGCCCCAGAGACAAAGACTTCTTCAACCCCACTAGAACCACTCAGCTATCAACCCACTCACTAATTCGCTTGGTCAGACGAGGAAGCAAAGCTCTTCGTCCCTCCTTCAGCTTCTGCTTCGGGACAGACTGCTTCGGACGATAGAGGTAACAACGAAAACGATCATCTTGTCATCACGGCTCTTCCACCAGTGCTAGTACTTGACTCTACACTGGACCGGTCCAATAGCGAAAGGAAACATTAGATGTGTTATTCATATCGCTCTGGTGGTTATGGGTATGAAGAAAAGGAGGTACATTTCTGTTTCCATGAAGCTGAGTCTTTCTAAGCCGTTCGGTGTCTTTGCCTGTGTCTTCTTTTGAAAGCATCCAACCCAGGAAACCTCTCTTTGATATATATGGTATTATAATACAAGTGTACAATGCACATAATGAGGAAAGAGAGGAGAGAGCTTAGTCGTATCATACTCACTTGCTTCATCCATGTTTTTAATTAGCTAGTGCCATGAAAAGGGGGAGCTTGGACACTAAGTTATAGTCGCTAGTAGCAATTTATATTTCCCATTTTTCCTCGAATAATTCAGCTAATTGTTCGTGCAAGTCAAATATCCTTGTATTATTTTATTGTATTTTCTTTCTTTCTCTCTCCATGTTCTAGTACAAGCGAGTCTAATGTAGATGGCCCGCGACTACTACCTAGGCCGAGCTCTCATCCGAAGCCATACCGCCAGTATCCCTTTTGTATCCATCCAAAGAAAAGGAAATTGGTATCGCCAGCATTATACGTTTTAGTAGCCAATAACATCAATACAAACAAGAAAATAAACATAGAGCCTGGGTGAAACCCCTCTTGTATGACGCCATATTGGCTCAATATCCGACAACTCCTGATTTCCTTGATCATTTATGCATCTCTTGCAGCACTCTGCATCTTGCGTATGACTTCTCGATGTGCCTCCAAGAGGTCACCACTCCGCATACGACTGTCAAACATGCGATCATTCCATTCCTTTTGGCGTCTCTGCATCTCCCTTCGCTGCATTTCGGCTTCCTTCTTCTCCATCAGTATAGTGCGTTGCACTTCTATGTCGTCAATAAGAGTAGACGTCGATGCAAAAGGTGTCTCGCGCCCCATACTGTTGGGTACACCAGGAGTCATAGATTGAAGGTCGTGAGCTATAGACTGTCTGAAGTTGGCAAGCTTTGTCTCCCGAGCTACTCCTGAGACCATAGATTCTCGCTTCGGCTGATGGGAGTTGAATTGCGTATTGCCCGAAACCTCAACACCACTACTGGTGCGATTCAGTCTGAAATTCGACGGCGGCAAATTCGTCATGCTACTTTGGCGTAGAATTTCTCTCCGTCGATTGAGCGGAAGATCATCAGGGTCGGGACTCAGTACTCGGTTGTATACGGGATAGTTATGGAGCGACTCAGCATCACCAACAGATCCTTGCGTATCTATAGGAAACTCGGAGACGTTGTAAACAAGGTTGCCCTGTGACCTACTCCGGAGGACAGATTCTCGTTGGCCAAGCAAGGTATTAGGGTTAGAAAAGGACACAACGCGAGGCACTATGGGCCGGAAAGGTGTCGAATTCGATCGGACACGATCTTGTTGCATTGCCTCTTCGGAAATGGGCACACCAGCTGCCTGTACTCCATCCTGTTCTTCGACAATCGGAGCAAATCCTGTGGAAGTACGTCGCAGGGTTGGTGAAGCCGGCTGGAGAGAGGCATCCATGGGGGGCGATCCAGGGCTCCCATTGGGGCTCGCAACATTTAGAGGCGCTGCAGTTGAAATGACCACATTAGAAAGATGATGCTTCTTTTTACCGCTTCTGTGGTTTGGTTGAGCAAAAGAGACTTGTGCTGTCTTGGAATTCGACATCTTGGCGGCTGGAGGAGAGATGATATCGCCAGCGACAGTCTTCTGAAGGTCCTCCACGTCGACATATCTGGGGACTTCTTGAGCATCTTGTTTAGATGCATATGGGTCGATATAGATGGCTTCAGGTTCCGGGGTATCCGCATGGCTGAGATGTTTGGTCCACTCGTTCGTTCTATACGAAAGGGCAACTCTGGACAAAGATTCAGGCAATCGGTCCTTGGTCAAACTAACAAGATTCGAGGTCGCTGAAGAAAGAGATGTGGCTTTTTCAGTGGGCTCGAGCGGCTTTAGAACCTCGGCGCCATTGCTTCCAGTTGCTGTAGATTCCTGCTCACGAGGCAGCGAATTTTCTTCGTTAACGTCGGCCGCACTTTCAATTTTAGCTTCTAAGCCCTCTTTACCCTTTTCCTGATTCTCATCCATTCCGCTTGGCCCGACATCTTTTTGTTGTAGTTCTGTGTCTGATTTGGGCGCGATATTTTGCTCGGCATCGTTTTGGGATGCCTCATTATCTGCCTTGGTATCACTGTTCTCAGCGACAATTTCTGTTTCCGTCTTTTTTAGTTCTCCAGTCTCTTCAGCGTCGCCCAATTCTGCGGTAATCTCGATACTCCTTCTTTGCTCGTTGCCAATGACTGAACTATGCGCATCATCATCGCTCGAGCTGTCGTAGTCAACAGTTGCAGCCAGGGACGACTGGTCATCATCGTGGTGGGGAATGACAACCGGCTCAACTAACTCTTCAGTACTTTCGCCAGTCTCTAATTGACGCTCAGAGGAAACATTTTTCTTCTGCTGCGATAAACTTCTCAGAAGCGTGACTGAACCTTGTGAGACCCTCTTGACAAGAGAATCTCGTGGGAGAGATGCGGGTGCGATAGCTTCGTCGTCAGCAAAAGTTGCAACAGAAGATCGATCGCCAACAGATTTCAAGTCGTCTTCGCTCGGAATCTTGAAGGGCAGAGGTACAATTTCAGGTGCCGTTGTGACGTGCCTCTGTTGAGAGTTACCATCGGCCTCCGAGCTTGCTTGGGAGGGTTGCTTCCCTTTTGCCACATCCCCCTTTGAAGCGGATCTCTCGCCATCATAAGATACTGCGTCAGATTCTGGGAAAGTTACAACTTTCTCCTTGATCTCATCTTCGTTGTCGTTTGGCGACTCCATTATTTCATCTGCAGCCACTCGCACCATGACCTTGACGCCCTTGGCTTTTTCGGAGTACACAAGCCCATCTGACCCAGTCTGTGCAGCACTTGAGTCTGAAAGGTCTGCCATCTCGATACCATCAGCTTTGAGGCCTGTATAGGCAGATCCAGAGTATCCAGCGGGAGAGCTCTTGCTGTTGCTGGCACCATCGGTACCATCCGAGTATTGTGAAACTGTACTTTTGCTGTTGACCAGGACTCTGCCTGCATAGACCTTTTCCCACTCGACTCGTTCTCTTGCTGCTTGCGCTTCGATGTTGCGGCCAACAATCGCTTCTTCCTCCTCCAAGTATCTCCGACTCTCAGCAAGACTTGCGGCCTTTCTTTCGCGCTTCTCTCGAACCACTTTCCAAAGTTTCACTTGGGAAACGATTCCAATCAGGCAGATTATGACGATGGCTGCAATCTCGACTCGAATGCCTCTAGTGATGGGATAGGTGTCTGCACCGAGGGGGAACAGGTTATCATTAAGATTCCAGATATAGGCCCAGAATTCTTTCAGTCCGGCTCTGCTGTAGCAGTCAATGCCCAAAACAATGACCGTCGCGCCTCCAAAGGACATCAAGAAAATCATGGCCCAATCCCGAGTATAGCGACTGAAATAAAAACAGAAGCCAACGACAGACATGCAGGAGATGAAAATGGCTCTACCGATCGTATCGTGTATCAAGCCTCCCGGTGCCAAACAGAGGAACCACATGCTGAGGCAAAAGCCGCCCAGAGCACACCCCAAACCTTCGGTCAAATCCTTGAAGATCAGTGATGCTCCGCCTAGCGCACAACCAGACAAGGTAACGGCAACGACATATGCTCCCTGAATACCTAGACTGACTGGGACATTCATGATGTAGACGATAAGAACCGAGATTCCGAGTGCAGTGATAAAGGCGGCCGAGAAGAAACAGTTAATCCATCGATTTTTGATGCCTACTAGGGTGTAGACAAGACCGGTGAGCATCAAAATGACGCCGGCAACACCCCATCCTGGAGTTATGGTAGGTTGGATTGGTAGATGGCCGGCCGGGATCGTTGCTAGCACCCTCCATATCAGCACAAGGTTCAATCAATGTAGGATATAAAGATTTATTCTCACTGTTAAACAAGGTCGAGCTATTGAGAGGTGCCTCTGGAGCAATCGACGTCGTTGTGATTTGAATTGTCGTCTCCGCAGAGGCAGTTGTCTCGGGAGCCTTTGTGATGGTTGGCTCTTTAGGGCCGTCTGTTTGTTTGTGCTCGTCATCCGGCTTTTTGGTAGCCGAGTGCTGAGAACTTGGCTGTGGGCTGGATAATGAAACAGTGGGTGATGAGATGGAATGTTCATCTCGTCTCAGCGCACGAAAGCCCTGGGCTGTGGCCAATTGAAAACACAAGAGGCATACGAGTGCCTGTAGCCTCACCATCTTCAACATCCTCGCTGTACCAGCCCGATCACGGGTACCGCCAGCGGTAAATGTCGAAACTTCTAGTATCAGAAAAGGCTCCCGCTTATAGCTGCCGGCTCACAAAGCATTATCCGAGAGAGAGCTACTGGTTGTAGCAATAAGGGTAAGAAAGGATTACTTTGAATGAAGCGAAGGAGCAAAATCACGAAAGAATGTATCGTCAGGTCGGGGTAATTACATGAAAAAGAAAGAAAAACTGCTTTCAGATAGCGCTAATACGCTTGCGAGTCAACACCCAGGTCAAGTTGGCACGGGCTGAGACACGAATGGTAGCGGCGGTAGGAGATTGGCGGAGGAGGACGAAGAGACTGAATAGAGATGTCTCATCTGCATCAGGAGGCACAATGGGGGGAGACGGTCAAATAACCATGAAAAATCGAGCGAGACCTGAAAACACCAAGCGAGAGGAGGGAAAGAATATGGGGCAAAGGCTGGTGGTGGCCAAAAAGCAACGAGCGTCACAATTTTCACTCTCTTCCCCCTCCGGCCCAATAGTTTGGTTTGGTAATACCTGCATGCGGACAGCATCAGTTCCATCGGCACGGCATTTGCCCACATGTCTAGTGCTTGCGGTTCAACCAGCACCTGGTAAGCCTTGGACGTGTGGCACATGCTTGTACCGTACTCGTCAGTTATGGCTCTATTCCCTGTACCTCTGACGAACGGACCCAAAGTCAAACCCGGAATCGCGGGACATGCTCCCAAGGCGGGTCCATCGTGAGAATTGAAAGCTGCTAGTTGCTTCTAGTTGGTTGGATAGCGGGCATCTGCCATGGCGCGTGGCTGTTGGGCCAATTTCCCGGCTGCAGCGGTGGATGCAGGGCTGGTGGAGAGATGAAGTCAAGAGCAGAGGCTCGCAGCTCTGGGCGGTACCACCAAGAAGCGTGACGCCGTGGTGCAGGCGGATGTACTCGTACTCTCCGGAGGGAGGACTCGCAGCATTAGGACGCATTAGCTAGTCCCCATCAATGACGCTTGGTGTTATTCTGGTGTTGTTTGGCGTGAGCAGCTAAGATAAAGACGAGATGATCAATCGGACAAGCTCAGCCTTGGTTGGAATCACAAGTACCTCCAAATTGTACTGCAAAATGCTCTGTGCCCAAGATTGCAAGAGCGAGCGGGCGCGCAAGGGCCAGATGCGGCTTCGGCAGAGATGCATGCAGGAACCTGGCCGATCTCATTGCATCAGGTACCCGCAAGTACCTCCGCTGCCCCATGCTACCGCAAGCTCTACCGCAAGTGCTGGGCCACTAGTGGTAGTAGTGGCCCCAGTGGTACCTGAGCTGTGCTGCTCCAGCCGGCCCAGGGGCAGGAAAGAGCTCTGGCCGGGCGGGGTTGTTCAGCTACTGCCCCTTGCGCCAAAAGAACGCCAAGGCTGGCAGGAAAGCCGGGCGCGGTGCCATCCGCTTTCAGCCAGCCAAGCCAGAAGCTAAAATGCCGTGTATGCGCCACCCAATTGGAGCTGCTGCAGTATTTGGCCGGGTTCGACAGAAGAATTGGTGAGCTCGTGGCAGACACTCATTTGTCAGTCCATGATATTTGACTGTTCATCCCTCACTCTCACTCAGAAGAGGATCATGATGCATACAGTATTACAAGCTCCTTGATACTGGGCAAGTCAGTGCCTGGAGATATCAGATCAGTCCGTTTGACTCGCACCACCAACGCCATCTCGTCATCCATTACCCAAATCGAGACCCAGCAGTGCTCGTCGCAGGGCGCCGCAGTAGTACGAGGGCCTAAAGCCTCAACTCGTTGTGTCACTCAAGGCCAACCGCCTGGACGGCTAAATCCTCGACTGCGTCGTCTTCTCCCCTGCTGTACGGAGCATTCGCCGGAGAATTCCATGGGTACTGATACTATTTATTTCTAGATACACTGACTGAGCCCAACCAGAAGTGATCCGTGTACCCGAGATCTCCGGTCTCATTTCCCCTAAGTCAAGATCTTAGGTGCTCTGTCTACCTATCAAGCTGTGTCTGGCATGGCATTGGCCTCTCTTCAATCCACGCAACAGCTCAGTTCCTATTACCGGGCAGCAGCTCAAATGTCTATCGTGTTCCGTATCTCATGACGCTTTCCCTTGCATATGGTGAATGATCAGCCATTGGTTCGCTCCCGAATCCTACATATTGCTGCAAGTACCCCGTATTTTGTACTGCTAGCAAAAAGCAAAAATGAAGCTGAAATCCTCCCTTGCACCGCATCCCTACGCAAAAGACGCCACTGATGCATCATCCTGTTGGTACGGAGAGATGCACTTCGTGCGAACCAAGGAGCGTCTTTCGCACTGAATATCCTGGCATCGCAATTGGGGGCGGAGCAGCCGCTGACCACCCATGGTCCTGGAAGTGGCCGGTTGCGAAACACTGCAATGCAAGGTTCAACAGTTGTCGAGTTGTCTGACCAGGCATTTCCTTGTCTTGTCGGATGTGGTGGCATCCAAGTCTCATCACGTCTCCAGCGGCTACGGAGTCCCGATAACGCCAACTGAATCCTGATTCACACTGTTACATCGCAGACAGACATGTTGACCGCTGTATGTCTGTCCACGAATGTCTCTCCGCCACTGCCTGCTAGAGAATCACCGCCTGCACAATACACCATTTTCTTCAGCGTACACTGATCGCAAGTACTCCGTATGCTCTATAAAAATCCCAGCCACGCACAGCCGATCGTGCCCATCGCCACTCGTTCTTGTCCGTACGCAACCAAGCATATATCCCTTGCATGATACGATGTTGGCATGCAGGAGAAGCATGAACAATAATCTTCTGCAGCCAGGGATTTACAGAGCACATGCACGGAAGAACAGCTCTCTTCTAGCAACAACACATGAAAAGCAGCGACACTATCAGCCATCCATGGACTACTCCGTATGAGTCCTGGTACGACTTCAAACTTTCGGGCCCAGGACACAGCCAGCCAGCATTCATGCAATCCCTTGCGCCACGCTACATTGTGCTCTGAAATTAAAAGATCCACTCCGCTGGCGTGACTCGATGTCGAAAGATGACTGGCTCGTCGCGATACACAATACAACAGAACCTCTTCCCACGTTCAGGCCCGTACCTCCCATGAAACCCGTTTTATTTTCGCGATCTTGCAGCAGCAAATCGGCCTGTTTAAACTTTGGTCGGTTCATCAGTGATCACTTTGGGTGCACATCTCCGTCGATAGTGAAACCTTACCATGAGCGGCCTACTGGGAATTGTGTCACGCTGTATTTACTCCACTTACAAGCAGCTCAACGATACACACACCGTTTTCATCTTCCAGCTTTACCTGCTATAGTGGAAGACGCGAAAAGTGTGGACTGCACCACATGCTTTTTCTTCACAGCATCGAAGCCGTGCTCTGGCCCTGAAGCGGTGTCAATATGACACAAAAGATTTAGTTGGTTTTGGCGGCGAGGCAACGCCTACTGTTGAGAGAAATGGCTTACGAGTCCGTAGGGTAGTATACCATCCATTGGTGTTTGAAGAAGTTTAAGAACTGCACGTGGTACTTGAAGAACGCAGCAATACGCATTGCATCTGAATACATATTCGTATCAGCGAGCTTCGCCAAATAAAAGAGGGGAACCTAGGGAAATGCTATGACGCGTTGTTGTTGATCGACCAGAGCTAATCCCATCGTTCGCTCATACACGGCGCTAGAGAAAGCTCAACTCGAAGCTATTCTGTCTCGCTCGAAGTGCATGGTGGTAGTACATAATTTCACCTGGCCGCTTGGCATAACAATAATAAACAATCACTAAAGATCTCGTGACATGTAAGATTTCAAACTCAAATAGACATTGCAATTTCCGCTGCTGGAGTGACCATGAGCTGAGGCGCCTCACCTGACAAATGAAGCCATCGCCGTGTGGTACTACCTTCTTGTAACCCTGTCCCCTCCCGAATGTTGAGCTAAAAAGCTGGTTTGGATAACCCGAAAAAGGGTTTTTAGGAACACGTGCTCATGCGAATTACCCGATAATGATTTGTATTGTTTTTTTTTTTATAGTTGATAGGCTTGAGCGACATGATATCTGACATTGGGTTCAAAACATCGATTTGTGATAGACGTGACATCGCGGGGAGCTTCATTTTGAGCTGAGAGAGGCGCTTGTGGGGGAATGAGAACAACTCAGCGCCACAAGCGAGACACCCGTAAATAATTAAGTTAGTAGTAAATATACAAATATGCAGGCGAGGAAGTTTATTCCAGCTGGAAATTAAAGGCGGCCCATCAAATCATCACTTTGCAGGGTAAGCGTTTCAGGATCAAACTCTATGGCAGAAGGTAGTGATGATTTCCAAAGAGGCAATGCTATCAGGTATCTCCTTTAATGATGTACATGGTCATAACAATAATATCCATCGTGATTCAAATACAGCCGTTGGCCAGTCTGCTGTACCATTTGCTTGCTAATAAAGAAACATTAACAAGCCCCAAAACAAAACCCCAGCAGAAGAAGCAACATGAATTGAAAAAGGTATCATCTCTTGATTATTCTCGGTGGCACTCGATCGCCGTTATATTTTACCGATACTGGTGGCTTCCCCGGCTTGCTCCGCGGTGCCCGAAGGTTGGCAGATGGCTGTTTATTTCTGTTTGCAAATGCAACTATAGGTTTCAACGGCAGGGCGAGTATCTCCAGGAAAACTTTGAATGGAAACGTCGCCGCTGTCACGATCAGTTTCCATGCCCACGGGAGCCAATTGCTTCGTTGATTCGATTGCTTTGCTGCCGCAGCCGCCAAGGATATGGCGTCCTCCAACCTTGCGTGCATTTGAGAGAACCTAGCCTCTGTCTGTAGCTGCAGGAGTGTCGCCTTCTTCTCATATCGCCTTACAGCTCGATTCAGAGCGTCCAGCTCTGGCTGGATAGCATTTCTCACGTCTCGGCTAACCGTCGCCGTGGTCGTACCCAGGGACTCTCCGTGCCCAGCGATCACGTTGCCTTGAGACGTTGAAAGAGTTTCAAGCCTTTCTAGTCTTCTGAGCATCTCCTCAAGTAGCGTTTCGGTACCAACTCGTTGACCAAACGGGCTATCTTGTACTATTTTCTGAAGGTGCAGCGTTCGAGACTGGACCAGAGTGATTATATGTGATAGTACACGCAGCTCTGCTGCCATAAGGAAAATTGTCAAGTTGAAGTTGGAAACAAGTCCCTCAGATGGCCGACTCAGTCGTCCTCTGATATAATGTAGGAGGTATGCGCTAAGCATCGGTAATACGAAGCATGATGCGAGAGCAAGACTTTCGTGGCGATATAGCTCCTTTAGAGCAGCCTGTTGCTGTTCTGTTACCACCTTCTCTCTCGTCTCTCTCTTTTCTGAGTTGGAATCATCTGCTTTGTCTCCCTCTCGCTCTTCAGGAACGTCGTCCAAGGGTGTGCTAGTGCTCGGAGCCTTGGCCTGAGAGTCGAGATCGCTGTCCGATTCAAGGGCTATATGAATCGATTGCTCTTCAAAGGTACGGACTTCCTGCGCGGCATGATACCATTGCCTACAACAAAGTATGAGCTTGGTTATTATGTTTCCCACCATATAGAGCGTGGTAGACGCGATAGTGGTGCTACTACATACCAAGGCTGCGTCACCGACCAATGAAGGAAGATGGCGGCGAGGCCCAAGAGCATAATGTCGGTGACGACGGAGGTGCCATTCTGAAATAGAACGCCGGCGATGGCGGGCAATAATGCAAAGGCCAGCGACAAAGATGCTAACGGCGATGAATCGTGATGGGATACCTCGCCGTGAGCGTGCGGCCGGGGGTTGAGGATGTCGCGTGCCTCATTTAGGCTGTAATCCGAAAAGTTGGAGCTCCTGCGCGGAGGCGCCTCTGAGGACGAATCTGAAGAAAAGTGCCACGACATGGAGCCGGATCGCATCGAAGGCTCGTCTAGAGTTTTGACACGGCGGATGGAATGTCCAGGAGGAGCGTTGCTGGCGTTTCCGACACCGTGGCCGAGGCTGATGCCGGAGCTTGCGGCGAATCCGGGCCGAGCTGAGGATGAAGCGGTCGAGGCCTGACGGCCGTCGTCTGGCATTGCTGCCGCCGACATGGTTTAGGATATGCACGATTGTGCAGGATGTCAGCAGAGGATCATTGGACGAGTGGCAGGGAGGAGAGGGAGAGATGGAGTGGTGGGCAGACACGCACCGTCCAGTCAGTCGTTACGTCAACTGGAATTCGAGGCCGGGCTGCTGTTAGCGGGTGTCAGTGGATGCTCCAGCGCTCTTCCCTGCTAATGGCTAGCGCTCCCGCATGGCTGGGCGAGCTAGAATCTGGGGTACAGCGGGCTTGTGCTGATTTTAGCAGTTTTGACGTAGTGGCGGGCTGCGGGCAGTAAAATGTCACCGACTGATAGCGGTACCTTAATATATAGCATTGATACAAGGTCTAGTGATAAGGTAGGGTTGGATAAGATGGTGTGATGTTTTGATGTGTTGATGCATCTTAATCTTTGATAGTATTCTCAAGATTGATAAGAAGTCCATCTACGTGTGGTCTCCCGCAGTGATATGTTTGTGCATTCCTCGCACCAGCTACCCCATAAAGCGGCGCAACATGACACGACAAACAGCACGTAAAGTCTCCACAGGAACAATTCTGGACGAAAGGCTCCGGGCGCCAAAAGCGCCATTGATGATATGAATGGAATGAATCATGTACATGTAATTGGTCCACTACCTTGAGTGGTTACCTGATTTTCTTATATATCCGCTAGTAGCTTACCACTGGCTTGTTAATTTTTTCATGATTTCGCACTTTTCTAAGCGTCATCATATAGTCATCTGACCTCAAGGCCTGCCCTATCGACCACAACTCCACCGATCAAGAGCACAGCATTTACAGCATACATACTCAAACCTGAAATAAATCGCGGTAGATGGATCGATTTAGATCAGGCACCAAGCTTGTATTCCATCGTTCGGCCTTACACTGCCCATCTCATTTCCCCAGACAGCAGCAAACAACTGCGGGCTGACAAGTCAGTTCCCAGAAATGAGGTCCGGCCTAGATCTCGCCCCGCCTCCCAGCTCTGAACAGCTCTTGCAGATCATCGCCTACGTCATCTCCCAAGTGCGCATTGAATAATTTCCCTTCGTGGTGATATTCCGCATCACCGCAATGTGAACAGGCAGGGCAATCTCGAGAAATCCGATTCTAACCTTGGTTCGGACAGTGATAATAGGAGACTTTAATTGAGTGCTGGCCCCTGTCCCGCACCGTGGTGACTAGCTGGCATTTCCCACCGGGGAACAGCAATGACAGCGGCCCGTGCAATATGGAAGCGCACGGTTCGTTCAGCCCCCTATTCGGAATTACTACTGCTCGATCGATGGCGGGCTGAAGGGGTTTACGATCTTTCAGTTCTTTCTCCGCATGAAGCCTGGTCGGTGAGACCCGATAGAATTGCCCGGGATGACCCCTGGCACCATTGTTGCTGCTGTAGCTGAGGCTGACAATACGAAGCTGTTGCTATCATTGTTCCATCCAGTCTTCTGTTCGACACCCCAGCCTATTCGTAGATGTATTGCCATTCCCCGGTAAACTCAATCCTTCGGGCTTGGCTCTTGGATGAAAAGCCCCAGCCTGTACGTAACAGAGTTGCGTCCTCGGACAGAGGTGAGACTAGGCTAGAAACGCCTCTATGCAGCAATCAGGAGGTAACAGTGAGGGCTGTCAAATCGCTCAATAGCCCTAACTAACCGGGTGGTTCTGCAAGCCACATTCAGAAGCGAGTCGTCTCCTAGTCTAAGTGAGTGGCATGATGTGAACCGGTGTGATCTCTCATGCATTATCATCATCCATGCTGTGTGTTATGCGTGCCTCTAGATCTTCGGGATTGCCGCGAGTGATGATGCAAATTTCTGTTCGCCATGGGTCTGATCCTTAGAATAGCAGCCCAGTCCCATCGTGGCATTTCGACTGTTGGGTTGTCGTCACAAGATCCACGATAATAAATGACCCTTGGCAGGGCAAAATTAAGTCTAACGGTTCAGCTTCGCCTGCTGCTGAGCGCCACCCACGCAGAGTCCTGAAGCCATGCCGCATTCTCCTAGCTAGAGCTCACTCGCAGCGGCTTAGGCAAGCATCCATGGATGTAAGTAAGCACGGCTTCTCGCACTTGAGATGCTGCATGGATCGTCAGGGCAAAGGCGTGTTAGTGGTTTGTGCAGGCGAGCAAGCAAACAAGCATCAAACGCAGATAAAGGTGAGGCGGCTCCCAGGCCCAGGCCACAGACCATTTCTTCCTCTGGTACAGGTCGGGTAAACATAATTTCTTTTTCTTTTCCCATTCTCGCTCTCTTTTCTTTTTCTTAGTTTTCTTCTTATTTTTATTTTAGAAACCCACTTGAACTCGGTTCGTTAATTAGACCACCAGCAATGGGCATTTAAAAATTCTATTCTTCCCTCAGCGTCTTCCACCAAATATTTTCGATGCTGTCTTATCGCGCTTGATGCCAAATCGATAAATATGCAATCACGCAACATCCGCGCAAGAGAATTAATCACCCGCACTAACCCGTTCGAGCGCGCGCCCCTGATTAGCCGATACGAGTACGGCTTCAACGCCAAACCATTCTCAGCACTTCTCCGGCTGTGCATTTCCAACTCAGCGTTGCGCTCGACGGCCTCTGCGGAAGAGTCTCAATTTTCTACCGCAGCGACTCTATCGCATCTGCGGCTGCTCTTCTCAGAGTCAACGGCACTCTCGAATTCATCTGGGAGCAGCTTTGCGCTGGTCTCGCCGACTTCTAGGCCCGACGCGACCTCGCCATTTCTTCGCTGCGCGGTCGTCCCAGCGGCCGTGCCGTTTCCACCATTCCCACGGCTTCATACGAGCTTCAGGCAATTTCAACAGAAACCGGCCCGCCCTCCCTAGGCGCGCAGGCAAACCCTCGCTCAGACGCCGTCCCAGCCTTACCCTCGGTCTCTCACCAGCCTCCTCGTCCCGACGCTTCCAAGGTGACGGAACCTGCGTCGCCACAGCCCGTCTTGCATAAGCGGAACCAACACTCGATTTTTCGCAGTCTCACAACATCGGCCACAGGCCCGACTCGACTTCAACGCCTTTCTTCCGCCCGTCTGTGGAATCCTACAAACTCAACCCCCAGAGCTCCCTCCCACAAGCGACGCCCTTCAAGCCCGATTGGACCTCCCGTCCCACTACAGCACCCGGCCCTCGATCAATCTACCGACACTGCCGACCCAAACGTCACCGGTGCTGGCGACTATCCCCTGCTGACTCTCACCGAACACCGACAGGTGCGGCACTCTTCGTCAACACCACTCAGCTTTCAGTTCGACCTCAACACAACGGATAATAAGCGCATAAGCTTGCCTGGATCTGTCCGGGCTTCGTACGACGAGAGACGCTCACAAACCCTCTCCCCAACCCGGTTTGATTTCCAAACGAGGACCAGCGGCGATTTCACTAGCGAATCGCCGCCACCTATCAACAATCACAAAGTTGATAAGGGCAAAGGCATCATGCTACCCGAAAATGAGGAACCGAGGAGGTCCCACTCCAGAGACTTGGAGCGAGGACCTGATGTAATGGACCACCCTCGCTTCTCCAACGTATCCTTTGGGGATGGTATAGGATCTGCAATCTCGTCATCCAACTCGTCAATCATGGGCGAAGAGATCCAGCCAGATCTAGGGGAATCGTGGGGACCGCAGCACCCTTGCTTCCCTCACTTAAACCCCCATGTACCATCAGACTCTGCAGAATATGCCAAGACGCGGATAATCCGAATCCGCCGCGACTGGCTTCTCCAGGGTGATCTTGCTCCCACCTTTTCGAACCTTTACCCTGAGATTCTGGATCCTGCTGGGATTCCCGAGCCTGAATTCCGGCGCATCATAGACAAGCTCAACAAGGAGCTGGTACCAGCTTTTGATCCCTACAATCCCCGCAATGTACTCGACGCGGTCCTGGGCCTTGTTACTGGATGGCTTTGGGATGACTTTGGTATGACTGGCATCAAATCCCGATTGAACAACTTGGAGTTGTGGATAGAAAAGTGGAATCGAGAAAAAGAAAAGACCACACCATCCGAGGAGGGCATTCTCCCTCCAAAACTCATTTCGCTCCGGCGCACCGGTTACATGACTGTAAGTAGACTTCTCGCCTGTCTGGGATTTTCTGACGGCCAATGCTAATGATTCTCGTCAGCTGGACATACAAATACCAGACCCAGAGATTGCACCGGCACCGAGTAGCACAGGCGCTGCTGAGTCAATTGCAGCTATGCCCTTGGAACCAGCACCCGTGCTCGTCGCATGAACAACCATATGCTAAGACTTTTTTTTCTTTGTCTGTTTGAAGATTTGCTGCCTCATTCCTCTTCTTATATTTATTCTTCCATCTAATATTCTCACGACCAATGGAGGCGCCATGAGAAGAGCAGGCTCTTTTGTTACGATTTGATCCTTGAAAAACTTGTTTTTCAGAGGAATGTTTATTTTGATACCATAGGCATCGCACGGCGTTGGGGTTAGCCTTGCTTTGACGCTGCCTTTTGAGGAGGTAGCGACTTTTTTGTTTCTTGGATGATTAGATGTTTGTCACTTGGTGAAAAAAACGGGACGTGACGGAGGGTGAATGTTGTTCTAATGTCCCGACTGTATAAGCTTATGAAGAGTTCAGACGATAGGAGTAGCCGACGTATTTAATAGCGGTCTGGATTGAATATACTATTGTGATTATCCAAGCATTAAGACTCCCCCCATTCTCACATCTTTATGCTTCGCACGGGAGTATGCCGACCTGACGCCATTGTATGCCTGTCTCAAAGCTCGTTGTTCCCCTTGCATCTGATGCTTTTTCTAGGCCCTCGCCCCCTTTTCCGTTATCATGACGCTTCCAAGAGATTCCAACCCATCATCCCACCGACGACCGCCTCAGTTATCCTATTCTGGCTATTCCAATATGCGATGTCGGCAGATATCTCTAGCGATCGGCCGACGAGACCCGCCCATCATCGCCGGTAATAAGACGCATTTTGCTCCCGCAGCATTCCTGCGCGGTCTCAGAACTTGGCAGCCCTTTCGGTCTTTAAACGTATTTTGACCGACCGGCACGGTATTTTATCTGCGGCCCATATCGTGACTTTTTCTTCTTTCTTTGTTTCTCTCCCATTTTTCTCATTTTTTCTCTGATTAGTTGAATATGTGTTGGCTTTCATTTTGACATGCTCTTGATGACTTTATGACCTTTGGATGGTGAAATTTTCTCGCTGGTTGTGTATTCAGTATTCTGCTTCTTGGATATTTACGACAAAGTGATTGGGAGCCATGGCTGCTACGACATTAACGACCACGACGATGACGACAGTGACGACGGACAAGAGTAATTGGAGGGAAAATAAGGCCTTGGTGTGGATTTGGAAGGGGGTCGAGTTTGTGGCGGCGCAGTGGTTGCTCATTGGATTCGGCGTGGCATGTGTGCTTGGATGCTTCTTCCCACGTGAGTTTTCCCTTCTTCGTTTTCTCTTTTTCATTTTCTTCCGCGATGCTGGATTTTCTTCCTCTTTTCTGAATCGGATTTGGCCTCGGCAATTGGATGAGGGGTGGTGTTGTGAAATAAGAATAAGCTAATCGTTTGGTTACGTCAACAAATACAGATGTCGCAGAACATGGGGGTGTCATAAGATCAGAGTATAGCATCCTATATGGTGCTGTAGCAATCATATTTCTGATCAACGGACTACAGCTCCCTCCGGATAAGTTGAAGCAGAACCTGACAAACTGGAGGCTGCATATCATGGTTCAGGGCTGCAGTTTTGTGATTATTCCCGTGATTATGCTGGGTGAGTAGGGACCGACTATACGGCTACTGTCCCTGATAACCGTTATATGTGATAAACTAACAAGATCATGATATCTAGCCTTTGTACACATCTGTCTCGCTGCTGGCGCTCTACGGCACGGCACTCCTTCTATCCCCATCATCCTCGGCATGCTTGCCACAGCCTGCCTCCCTACCACAATCGCCTCCAACGTCGTCATGACACGCTCAGCAGGAGGCGATGAAGCTGCGGCCGTCATCTCCGTCGTCATTGGCAACACACTCGGCTCATTCCTCACGCCAATCTTGATATACGGCTTCATACCGCGCGATTCCGTCTTTGACAACTGGCGACCTGCGGACCCGAGTACCCTGGGCGACATGTATGCCAACGTGGCCAAGCAGCTTGGCTTGAGCGTCTTGTTACCCCTGGCAGTGGGACAGGCGGTGAGGTGGTGGAAGGGGGATCTTGTGGCAAAGGTGCTGAGGGTGACGATGTTGGGGAAGCTACCGGCCGTTTGCCTGATACTGCTAGTATGGTGAGTTGGGCATATTCCAAGCTGAGTATTGCTGTTCAACTAACAAAGAGATGACGAAAGGACTACATTTTCAGGCGCATTCGGCACTGGAGCGCTCTACAAGCTATCTAAAGAAGACGTCATTTTCAACGTCTTCATTAATATCGGCCTCTATATTATCTTCACCCTCATCTGCTTCTACCTCGCTCGTCCACCCGCCTTTCTCGCCACATACGTCAACCCTCATGTCAAGGATTCTCGCCTGCCCGAACGCGTCAAACGTATAATCTCGGTTAAGAAGATGTCTAAAGAGCAGACCATTGCTGTGTGCTTTTGCGGAGCGGCCAAAACGACGAGTTTGGGTATTCCTTTGGTAACGTCCATGTGGACCCAGGCGGATGATTTGACAAGGGCGTTTATCACGATTCCGGTTTTGCTTTATACAATCGAGCAGGTGAGTTTTGAGATTTGCCATTTGATCTGTGTTTATCTGCTAACAGGCTTTTGAATAAGGTCTTTATGGCTCAAGGTTTAGTTTATTATTTTAGATGGTATTTACGACGCGATCGAAAACCAGGTGCTGGTAATGTAGGAGTTATTGACGAGGAGCAGCCTGCATCGACAGGAGATCACGAAAGCGATATTACGGCTCATGATAATGATGATAATGAGGAAGAAAGAGTGCCGGTAGAAAGGGTTGAAGAGAAGGACACTGTGAAAAGCGGATAGAGGGGTATATGTTTAGATATTATAATAAATGTGCACCTAATGTGCACCTAATTCTCATGAAGTTCATTGCTTGGAAATTGCATCGTATTTGAAGTCTCGGTTGAACCCAACCCCAAACTCTCACGGCTCGGCAGTGGCCAAATCGTGTTGGTGGCGTCTGCGGTGGTTAAGGATATCAAACATGGAATACTTTTTGTAAGGATCTCGTTCTGACATCGAACTCCGTTTCATCTCCGTTTCCATGGATTGTTTCTCGTCCATTTCTCTCGCTCTGCGTCTTTTGGCCTCACCAAACACGCTTTCTCTTGCACGAGACTGCAAGAGCTGGATGCGACGGCTGTTCCAGACTGCCCAGGCGATGACGCCCGCCATAGTAACTAATGTCAGAGGACCTGTCACAGCCCAGTAGACCCAAAAGTGACTGTTTGCAACCTGGTGGAGTTCAGGCTCGGACCAGTTGAAAAGCGGCATTGCAAAGAATGACTAGGAAGAGAGTTAATATGTCTTGCTTCAAATAGGAATTTGCTGGCCACCCACGGGATGGCCAGATAGTATATAGCTTACTGCAATGAAGGTGCCTGGTAAGAAAAAAGTTGTGAGCAGGGCAATGATCTTCATAGCTGAACTGTCTTGCTTGCTCGATACGGCCATTTCTCTGGAATCTTGCGCTAGACTGACATTGATCAGACTATCCGCCTGAGCTATAAGGTTGAAAAGCTTTTTATGGTCAGCTCTATTTCTTCTCAAATTGCATCCTGGCTAAAAAATGAAGTCCAGGTAAAATGTACTTACGACGGTTTGTTGCGCTTCCATTCGTTCCTTCATGGCACCCATCATATATGTGTGTTCCATATTGCTCAGAAGGAATTCGATCCGTTCATCTAATATGTGGTAGGCTGGCGCTAGTTTCTGCTGATATTCCTCTGGAATAACTCCACTAAGATGCTGGATTTTCTGACGTAGAAATAGAGCCATGTAGCGAGACGAAGTTATTGTTGCCAGTGCCAGATACAGCTGACTTTGGAATTTACCTAGTCCTTTCACTAGGACGCGGTAGTCATTCTGCGAGTCTGTCGCATTCTCCGATGTGCTAAGGCCATATCCCGTCATTTCTTCTATTTTGTTTAGATCTTGTGAGTTCTTCGCCAGGTGACTGACTTTCGTCTCAAAGGTTATCTCGACGGCTAGCAGCGGCAGCAGGAGAGGGTGGCTGCAATTCATGAATTGCTCGGGCATCTTCTCAAACTTGGCGAAGCTAATATTTTTAAGTTCAACATAGAAAAACCCGCGAATGATGTTCGTTTTAGGATCGTATCGAAGCGCCGAACCGATCGAAGCCCAGTCAGTGGTTCTTCGAATGATAAAGACTAGCTGCAGTCAGTGCCTACTCACACATGTATATACTGGGCACATATGTAGGCACCCAGGTATAGAGAAGTCAAATACCATAACTGTTGTCAGTCTGCAAAAACATGCCGCATGCACCGCAGTCTATAGAACTGTAATGCTTCTGAAAATATGGCAGCCCAAAAGCAGCGTTAAACTCTTGTATCTCGCCATTTGTCAAGTATGGAAGTTGGCTGGAATCGGCACAAGGCACCACTGCCACCTTGAAGCCGGCCGATGGCTGTTGTCCATTTCGCGTTGGGGTGGGCTCTTTCAGCCACGAGTTCATGGTTTCTGTGTGGAAGCCACCGAGTTCGTATTTTTTGGTTGGTTCATCGTCTTCATATTTCCAACATTCAATCATCGCGACATCGAAATTGGCTTTCTCCGAGGGCGACTCTGGAACATATGGACACCAGTCAAATAACCATTCTCGGTTTCCCTGGCCTCCAAAGCCCGAAGCAGCTGAGTCTTCCAACATTTTATTTTCCTGGATTTGTCAGGGCGAATCTGCAGTTGGGCCTTGGATAACCCCTTAGCTGACGAGGATTAACCAGTGGTCGGATGCAGTATAATGTGTAGGATCCGGGTGGGCACTCGAGGATAACCGTTGGACGATATTTGCGAGATATTAGTTGCAACTGGACAAAGCTCCTTGGCAAGCCTGGTTTATATCCCAGTGACACGTTGGTGCCCAACCAAATGAAGAGACGAAGAAAACAAGGATTGCGATTAAACTGAGGCTCAGCTCGATTTCGCAGTTAGCCTCACAGGATCAATCCCCAAACACTAGCCCGCTGCAACATGCGCCAGGATCTGATCCCAGTTGAGGCCAATCACATCACGCATGTAGTGGGCGCAGCAAGCGCAACTACCGATGCGACGGGCGGATGTCTGCCTAGCTGCACCGACATGGGTATCTCATGACTGATATTCGCGTATAGCATAGGAGGCAACCTGCGCATCATGCTTCTCTCCTCTACAGTATTCTCTTATTGTTCAATACTTCTAAATAGAGAATACTCTGTAACCATCATGGGATTGACAACCCCAATAGTAGCTATAGCTTCGCTTTAGCCTCAATGTAGACTCCAACAATGATACCGACGATGCCGGTGACGAAGAAATGGGAGAAGAAGGCGAAAAGAGGAGGAGGATTATACGTTATTTGAAAGGAAAGTCACCTTCATCGACGCCACGAACTTGCCGGCGTCTTGGCCGGTCCTTCCGCCACATGTCACGGCAGTGGCGCCCGGCGCCATCCGGAGCGGTAGACCTGTGTGACTTCGGCCCGGAGCACGTCGCCGGCCCCAGTCCCCGGACGAAACGGGGCAAAAGGACGACATATCCAGGCCAAATTTTTAACAAAAGAACCAAACCATAGATGCGATCGCCGAGATCAAAGTAGCTAACGACAAGAAGGGCAAGAATTTCAAGATTTGAATAATGTGCAAGTTGTTGACGGTAGGCAACATTCTGCCCTATAAATGTAAGGCCCATGTCATATAAGTGCCAGTTCTAATACAGAGGACAAGTACGGAATACTTGGTGTTCAAGTTATTTTAGCACTCAGCATGCTAATTAGTTAAATCTATCTGAAACCTGTCTAGTACTGGACTATTAGCCTTATTTATATGTTGAGGTTGCTTCGTCGGTGCAATCGCCGCACAATTACATCTCTTTTCAACATCTTTGCTGCCATCACCGTTTGGAATCAATGCTGCCCACTGTTGTCTAGCTCTGCACGGGTCCACGCCAGTTCGGCGTCCGCGCCGTTTGCAACCAAGAGCTGCACAATATCCGTATGACCTCTATGGGCAGCCATCGCCGCCGCTCTATGTTTATAACCCGCGCCATTTGCAATCAAGAGCTGCACAATATCCGTATGACCTCTACAGGCAGCTGCCACCAGCGCCAAACCTTCATCACCCGCGCCATTTGCAAGCAGTATCTGCACAACGGCTGTGTGGCCTCCGCGGGCAGCCAGAATTAATGGTGTGGTTCTAGATATCATCATGTATCCTTTCATTTACCGCTGGAGGTGTCCGGGGCAACCTATTGGTCATAAGCAGCTCCCGAGCCAAATCATATATCCCGAAGTAAGAGGCCAGGTGTAACAGAGGCAGATTGGAGATATCTTTGAATATCAAGATATGGCTCCTTTCGCGATAAGACTGCCACCAGTGCTTCCGCACACTAGACGTCTTTTGGAAGAAAGACCTTGAAAACCTGAATGAAATCTTATTATCCGTATACGAACACCGACTTGCGTGTTCTGGCCAGTGCATTGTAGCGTATTGTAATAGAGGTAATTTTTGCAGGACTGAGGCATCGTTTATATCTAGAGGCGTATTGCGTAAATCGCTCTTCTCAATATAGTCAAGACATGATTCTGTTAGGGTAGCATGCGCATGTTCCACGTCAATCTGGAACTCTTTGAGTATTGGGTCACAGTCGACATCACTTTGTAATAAGTAATCCCTCGCTGATTGATGGACAAGGCTAACTTGCTCATCGTGGATTGTGAGAATATGTCCGCATAGAATGATGTGATCGAAAATGGCCTGGTTCTTGCTGATTTTCGTTGTGGGCGGGAGATGAATAGCTTCCCTCAGTTCAGATAATGCCAGGGGGCGAACGGCCACGGCAACCCATTGCAAAATGTCAAAGATGACTGATCGTCGACTAGCTTCAATCTGTGCCAACATTCGGCTGTAAATTCCATGCAACCCTTGAGGAATTTCCTCTAAAGTTTCCATAATCTCGGTACAGGTCCTTTTTCTCGAAAGCTCTGCCATAACGAAGCCGACCCATAGGAATGTGCCTTGGGCTCGCTCTAGAAGGGTGGTCTCTATACTCTCTCGAATATCATTGATGCCTCGTATCCTTTCTAGTCTTCTAACGCTGCTGGCAATGAAATTTTGGATGTCGCTATTGACATATTCGTTGTTATCAGGATCCAGTTTCACTTGGGGGAAGACATCCAATATGCCAATCTTTCGGCTAACAATCGCTAATTTGAATCGCACATCACTTGGCTTTGAGCTTTCCAAAAAGTATTCGTAGAATTTATCAACCAGTAATCTTGATGACTTCTCATCGCATTCATCAAGTCCATCGAGCACGCAAAAGACCGTTCCAAGGTCAGGAGCTTGCAGGACTTTTTCCAATACCATCCAGAGAGCGTTCGGAGACTTTAGCGTCTCTTGAGTCTTTTCGGCACTTTCAAAGTCGGACAGGATATGGCTAACCAAGTTTGGGCGCAATCTGACTAGCTGGTATACCAGACCTCTAAGAATAGCCACAGCACTGCTGTGCTTCTCGTCTGGGGTACAGAAAAAGAATAACAGAAGTTCTGTGGCTTTGCTTTCTTGAGTGCGTCTTTCAAGCTCTTCAGTTAGGAAGATTGAGAGCATTGTTTTCCCCTTGCCGGGGCCGCCAGTAATCCAGAGACATTGCACCTCGCCATCAAGCCAGGATCGGTAGGTTTCATTGTCTCTGATCCATTCGCAGGTACCTGCAGTCCTTCGGCCTTTTGTACCTTTGAGCGTTTCTCGATCAACAATTGGGTCTGCAAGGAAAAGCGCATTTCGACAAGCGTCGGATTTGCTTTGAGGTGGTTCTGTATGGTCGGGAGGATCAGCGAAATGTCTCCATCCAGGTAAATGTAGGAATGAGATAGGCGTGACGAACCAGAAGCGTAATAGTTGTTTTCCTGATGAATTTGGACGTTATTTTCGAATGAATTAGAGGAAATACTGTAGTTTTCCATTGCTTAGGATCATTTGTCAGCGTGTCAATTGTCGACGCATTGATGCTGTGAGTGTGATGAGGGGTTTGAAATACTTGGGCATGCCGTGCTCGAGGTAAGGCTGCAATCACGGGATCAACAGCCAGGCGAATTAGAAGCTGGAATTCCGGCCGCACATATCACCGGGCACTAAAAATAGCAAGTATTGGTTATCGTGAAATGATACGGTGTGTACATGTAGTGTACATGTTGTGTGGTTTGCATGTATCAACCCGAAATTATTCGTCTTTTTACTAAAGGCTTCGCTCAACACATAGAACTCACTTAGATACCTCACCCAATGTTTGGTGAGTGAACCCATCACCCTAGCGACTGCGTGGAGTTTGAGCATCGAAACCGGATGTGAGAAACAGCCATTTTTTTACGACTACAAGCATTTGACCAGGTAGTTGTTGCGCAGTTTCCTGACTATCTTCTTCTATGGCTACTTTCTACCACTATAATGGTATTCCCCTAGTATCCGTTACTATAGCTATAATAATTTAGTATTTGCTACTCTATCCTACATTCTGCTACTATTTGATATCATCACTGCCATTAAATCTGCATGCGGGATGCTAGATAGGGAATTTGAAGTGTCGAGCAATCATTCCATATTGTTTCGGCGAGTAGTAACTCTACGCCAAAATTGTGCATAAAGCCTTTCATGCTTGTTTTCTTGTAGATGGGGGTTGCCCGCGCCTGTAAGTGAAGCAAGCCATTTAGGATGATGAAGATCTGTTCCCGGGCCAAGGTCTTTATAGCAAGTATACTTTATATAAAAATTGCGATTCCGCAACTTTAAAGAACACTCAGCAACTAAGTGGCATATCGTGCAAGCAGTTATCTTGGCATAAGGCCCTTGAGTATTGCTCCATGTCTCCGTTAGATGGCGAGAACAGCGTGGTGGATTGTAAATTAAGCATTCCTGTACCTTGTCCAGGTTGTTTTCTATCAAAAACTCCGGGGCAGAGATGGACAAACTCTGATGCGGGCAGGCATCGAAGCGTTCGGGTGAATTTTCGTATCCTTTAGGCAGAGAGCAGATGATTTTTTGCTTTTGTAAAAAGGTGCCTCGGTAAAAATATATCTCATTAGACCACCTATAGCTGGTAGATGTGACAGAGGTACATTGATCTTTGTAAGATAGGTCTTTAATACGGGCCTTCTCGACTTCGTCTCTAATTCGACGACGGATGCAACGTAGATTATCCAGCGATAGATGGTAGGATATAGCAAAATGTATAGGCGCAAGTGTGAGGGCTGATTGCGTGGTAGGCGATGGTGTTCCCGCATTGGAATCTCCGGCTTCCATCTGTATGAGATACATTCCATTCGACCACCATGTGTGGAGGACTTGAGGTGTGCTTAGTGCTTGCAAAGGGTTGCAATTCGACGACCGTAGTGAGTTATGCCTGCGGCAGCAGCCTTGGTGAGATACACAAACACATGAGGTGCTGTAACGGAATCCATCTGGGTCATCAATATTTTCTGAGGCTACAGTTGCTTCTTGATACGACGGTAGCATCGTCTGGATAGAATCGCCGTCATTTTCAAGAGTGTTGTCGTCTTTGGAATCGCCGACTCTGGAATTATCCTCTCTGGGATTATTATCTCCAGCCTCATCATCGTCTCCAGCCTCATCATCGTCTCCAGCCTCATCATCGTCTCCAGCCTCATCATCGTCTCCAGCCTCATCATCGTCTCCAGAATTATCATCTCCAAACTCATCATCTCCGAAATTATCAATTCCAGAAACTCTATCTTTAAGATCGCCGTCTTTGAGCATAGATTCTTCAATCAAATCGTCTTTTAAATTGTTTCTTTTAAACGTGGAGCACTCTCTCGAGAAGCGGTGGTTTCTTGATCCGATGATGGATGGCTCGGCTGAGGAGACTGGTTTGGAGAAACAGAGGTATTGCGCTCACGTCGATGTCTCTGCGAGAAGATGAGAGAGTTCGTGATACTAATAAAATGGAACACAGCCATGGCGATGAAAAGCGCCTTCCTAACAGTAGAAAAAAGGATACGCTGCTAGAGAAAGTGGGAGAGTATCGCATTCTATATATAGTGTATTAATAGAGTATTATTCTATTTATCGGGTCTATGATCAAATTTTGCTCGGGTTTTTTTTAACTTTAGATCTATTATTCAAGCTTTTGATTCATATGCGGCCCTTTTATTATACATATGCTTTAGGGCTTGCGTTATCGGTATGGCTGGAATTTTATTACTCAACCGTCGGTGATGAATCTACCCTAGGATTTCGTTGCAGTCATCTTGCATCGGCTGGGTGTACTGTTGGTTGATCTAGCAATCGCCGCTTATCATACATGTATTATTAAGATCCAAGAAATATGGCAAAGCAAGGAGCGTTCCCCTGAGGTAAATAATCCTTGAGCTCTGCGGACACTCACGCGTGTTTGCTGGGATAGAAATATAACCAAATGAGGCACACAAGAGGGATACAACACAAGACAAGCGATCCCTCGAACTGATAGTCGTCATACTTTGTACTTTAATACAATGTCAATGAACTTAACGAAGGAGAAATTATGCGGTGGGTGTCATGCCAGCGCCCCCTCGTTCAGTTCAACATTTCAGCTGCGGCTGGCTTTTCGAGAACCCCTGCCTACCCATGTAGGCGAGGCCTAATAGTTCGCTGTGCTAACAACGCCATAGGTCACTTGAATGCATTAGTTCTCATGTGTCATTGCGCAGTGCTCCCTCATTCGCCAGAAGATAGCTGTTCCTTGTGAAGTGTGGGAGGCTGCATGTACTAGTAGTGGCACTTGGGGTTTTGTCGGCTGAGGGGGGATGTTGCATCTGAAGGGCGATGATAGCTTGAGTTTATCTAATATACTTGGATTTATGAGTAACTTTTCATCTTTTTTTTTTTAATCGTCATTGTTCTTAAAGTTCAACTGGGAGGCGCAAGATAAGAAGACCAGTAACTGAGACCAACAAAGTACTGAGGCACGATGCCGCGATCAGATCAAGGTACCAAAAGTCTCACGGCGACTGAAGCATAATATAACAAGGCGCTGACTATTTTCAGATCCAAATGTGTTTTGGGCGGATAATGATGACATGAAGCAAAAAACTATGGCGTATGCACAGAGGGCAAGGCGTATTGCCGAAGCTGAGATGCTGAAAGAAGAGACAACTCATCCGTGGAAAGAGGTGCCGCACAGCGTATCATGCACTTACTATATATATGAGTTTGAAGGGGATCATGTTGGCTTAGAAAATGGCCCGCCTACGTTTTCTAATTCACGAGATGAGTTCATGTATTGGGAGAATACACCAAAAGACGGCACAGCCGAAAAGAGAAACCGACGCATCATCATCTTGGAAGACGTCTCCGCGAGGCTAGCAGAGATGTTGGGAGTCCTGCTAGACATCCCTCCAGAGTTTTTCCTGGCACACTGCGACGAAAGCGTGGACCTCAATATCATGGATGAGCAGTACGTCAAACAAGGCAGCTCGACGTATTGGAGAGTACCGGCGCCACAAAGACGTTGCCTTCCCAAGGGATTTCGTGTTGACGGTTTTGTCGACGTCTTTTGTGGAAGTTTTTACCGCGGAGCAGGGATTCTAGACAAGGGTAACAATTGGTTGATGTTTCGTAGTTTGGTATCTTATTGGGGCAAGTCGTATGGGAACGGCTCATGGACAGGTTTGTCTCTTTCCCGAGTTGAGAGCAGGTGTAATATGCTAACAAGGGGCGATATAACATACAGCGGTTTTCTTACTAGATCCTCAGCTTTCTCATTTGAATCTAAATGGACTTGAATCGGTTGTTTTGGAGGATTGGGAGCCTGGACGCGATGTTCTCCGCGAAGTGATGGTAAATTCCTCGCAAAACAACCATGCTCAAGTGCACAAGCGCTCAATATTTAAACGCTCTCGTTAAGGCCTACGAGAACGTGCCCATGGTTTTCAACGACGATGTGTTTTCAGCGACTTACTTTGCTCACAATTGCATTCGCGCAGTGTGGGAAGAGCATGTCTGGCGACGCGAGCGTCATTTTCATGATGTTCTGGTGGAAGATAAACGATTTTACCGGGTCAGGCAAAAATGGACCTACGAGAGTGACGAGGCCATCAAGGCGTATGATGGCCTGATGCAGGAGCGGCAGAGCATCAATTTTGATAGCATGGAGCTACAAGCTATCACTTGGAAATTCCGACTCCGAGATGCTGGTTATTTATCACCGGAAGATGAAAAGTTTCGGCGTATCGCAACAGAGGAGAGCGGCGCTTGGAGGTTTCTCGAAGACAAGCTTAGAGGGATGGATGAAATCATCAGCAGTCACATGGAAATGTATACCGTTCGTGCTAATATGGAAGAGGCCCGCGAAGCCAAGATTCAGTCCCGTGAATCTTACCTGCAAACAGAAGCCACCAACAAAATGGCACGAAGTTCAGGCCAACTCGCCAAGATAGCCACAGTTGTTGTGCCGTGCACCTTTGTGGCGTCAGTCTTGTCTATGAATGGAGAGTTCGCAGCTGGTGAAAGGCTGTTCTACGTCTATTGGGCCATCTCCGTGCCAGTTACGCTTATACTGTTGTTCTGGGTGATTGATAACGAAATGTCCAGGGGGGTGAATGATTGCAAAGAATGGGTAAAGTCTATCTGGAGCTGGTCACAAAGCTGGAGGAGACCCAGCCAAACAATAGATGTGACGGAGGAAAAGCCAGAGGTTTGAGTGCGTTTCGGTATCGGAGACATAATTCTGATAAGGAGTGAGGACAATGACTATCAAGAATGTTTACTGGGATTTATTTAATGTATGATTATATATTAATTACGATAAGATATCACAGAAAGATGACAATAAATAGTACATATTTGGAGGGCTTAAAAGACGGAAGTTGTTTCCTCTAGTCTTATGGCAGTCAACCCTTTGGCTGTGTTAATTTCATGGTAATAGACCGCAAGGCGCCCTATTTTGCGCGAGTCATGTATGTGGTAACTGTTAATTCTGCAATACAAATATTAGACACAGCTTCATGCAAATCGCAAGACTCATTTCTTTTCGTTTCTGTTCCCAACATCCATTTCTATCGTGATTCGGAGATTCAATCCCTCGCAGAGCAGAGTTCAAGAGTCTCCTATCGTCGTCTCCGGGCATCATCGAGCGCTTCCGTAGCTCAGTTGGTTAGAGCTTCGTACTAATACTTCAGCTTTCAGCCCAGTCTTGGTAATGCGAAGGTCGCAGGTTCAAGCCCTGCCGGGAGCAAATCTCCAATGCGCTTATTTTTTTGCTATTTTTTCTCTCTTTTGAATCTTGTGTGAAAATTGTCTCTTCAGTGCATCCCATGTTCGTACGCATGGTTGCGTAGGTGAGCTTTCATCTCCTCTTCGATCGTTTGTTGGAAATTAGTTTGTATCCCGTCGTTGCTTAGAACCGAAGAATACACCGAGGTCTGGCTCCAGAAGAATGACACGAAAGATATCATTTATCGACAATTTATTTAATGATATCATAAAGTCATCGGTGCTTCAATCGAGCTCATCTGTATTCCCCCTGCGCAGTGAAAACGACGGCATGCTTATGCCAACAGTGTCGTTTACATCCGGAAAGCTCTCCATTGTTAGAAATGGCAAATCGTCTTCATCTTCGTTTCCTTCACCGATAAAGAGTTCTTGAACTGACTCTGTGGAAAACGGAGCTGTGGCCAGTACTTTAACATCACCATGTTGCGGGCCTGCTCCATTGCTATGCTCGGCCGCGTTGCAAAATCCAAGAAGCATTTTCACAATAGGTAGCATATCGGATTCCAGTTCATCAGTTTCATAATCCCCAATACCATCAATGATGCACACAAGAGTGCGATCTTGGCGGAGCAAGTGTCGAACCAGAGAGACAAAGAGGTCGCATAAATGCGAGATCTTGCAGTCATCCTTGGAAATACTATCCAAGTCTATCGCCATATCCAGCGGCATAAACTCAAATGGTATTTGCTGTAGCAGCTGAGCAATAAAGCTCCTGATTATCGCTGCGCCGCCAACATTGCTGTCTTCTTCCTCAACATGGAACCCGCAGAAGAACACCAGAGTTATGTATCTCTCTCTCTCTCGGAGCATTTTCACCAGTAAGAGGCAGAAAAAAGACAGCGGAGAACTTCGCCATGTATCAAGATTCTGTGGCGAAAAGTGGCCGTGGATTAATAGTCGTCTTGAGGTGGGAGCGACGATGAACTGGCGGAATTCTCGTGTTTGGGTCACTTGCACGGCACGGGTGTGGTATTTCCTTGGTAGTCGATAACTGTATTCCTTGACAGCTAGCAGGTCTACACTGTCTAGGTCGAGTGGGATGTTCAGTAAATCCAGAATGATCGAAGAGCTAACGATCCTCGGCTGTGGCGATACAGGCCTCTGTTGGGCTGCATTAGGAAAGCTGTCGAACCAGCCTATTTGACCAGTGTGTAGAGAGATCTGTTGCTGTCCTGGTTGAAAATATTGTTGATAATTCATTGGCAGAACTGGATTGAACTGGAACTGAGAATTGAAGCTCGACGTTTGTTGGGTTGGCCATGGTAGAGTCTCTGGGGGCACTGGAGTTGATCCTCTGGAAATCTCTTCCAGTCTGCTGAGTATACTTTCTTGGTTGGCTAAAATCTGTAATTGTCGCTTTTTGTTCTCTTCGGCATCATTAAGCATGATAAGGACATTGTTGCATGCTTCTAGGGAGACTTCATGTATATCGTTGAGCATTAGTGTAGTATACCTCGATTGTTCTTTGGCATCATTATGAAACCGTTTAGCTTCTACAATGGTGTGCACTGTTAGAAATCGTCTGCAATGTCCGATTCGTAATCGAAACTTACCGGTTCGAATGGCTGCGAGATTGAACTGGGTGTACAAGAGGTGTGCACTCTGTGCTTGTTGAATGAGCTTTTCACTATTAATCTTAATAGCCTCGAGGCTTCTAAGAAGAGTCTCTTGGTATCCCTTTTTCCCACGATAAAAAGCGGATAGAAGCCGTTTTACTTAGCACGGGATGGTATCATGTTAGCCTTGAACCGCTTAAAAGTGCCCGCCGTTGATGTAAAGGAACATACTTTGCTTAGACAAGAAGAATACGATAGCATCCTCGATGGCCTTCATTACTGTCACTACCAGTGAGATAGTTGCATCTTTTACCTTGCTACTGTCTGGAAACGTAATCAAATAGACCTCGGCATCGTTGAAGAGTTCTTGGATCTCCGCTTCATCGAAGCTGGACGTAACTCTTTCTCGCACTTCAGATGCCACTTTATACGCCTTCATGTACCAAGTCAGCAATGATACATTGCGCATGCCTAATGTATTATCAAGAAATATAACTAAGCTTACGTTGAGAAGTAGTTGCACTGCTCCAAGCACAGGAGAGATGTATTCAATGTTGGGAACGAGGTTGACGACATTCGATGTCGGTTCAATAGCACTATCACCTAATTTGCGCAGAGCTCGCTTGCAACGACCCTGAAAATTTACTTGCGTACCATCGTAAACCTCACGCGCCCTGTGGAGCTGGGCATTGATGCTTTTCCATGTCGTCTGGTCTCGGATGCGATATCCTAGTTTCTCGAGCCCATCAGGTTCTTTTGGATACTTGGTGGTAAATGCCGCAATTGCCTCGGGGAAAATAAGGCCCCAAAACTTTTCGGGATCTCCAATATCTCCTAGTTGAGATGTCGGACTTAGTTGGTTCTCGGTTTGACCCTTGTCCTGGTTTCCGACCACGCTTTTCCCGTCTTTGCCAGATTCATCTCGCACATATTTCTGTACAGTATGATCGTAGTGGGAATTTGTATTTTTAAAGACGCCGTGGTGTTCTGGAAGTTGATTATCAATATAGTCAACAGATGGAGGCTGCAGATGAACCGGTGGAATCGACGAAGATTTAGTCGACATGGCTGTTGAGTTGAAGACAGAAACTGTTATACAAAGTGTGGATATGACAAGGAAAAAGCATCTTTTGTCTTACAGTTGACAGAACCGTAATCCCAAAAATACATTAAAATAGCTGCTAGTATTGCCACTTGCTATGAGCCATCCCTTGATATGTCCTATCACTCACTTATTTGCTGTCACTTTTCAACACCCTTGTGAAACAAAAAATCACTTACCCCTCTTTCTAAATATATTTTGACAGGCTACTATTCCTTTAAGCTAACCTCATACACGTTGGATACATAAGCGGCTGAGTTTTTGTTCCTACCAATTGCTTTGCCGACCCTCCATGATTGCACCACTCCTTGCTCTTTGCAACCGTCAAGATATTGCGCGGTGTTCTAGTTGTCCCGTCGCCTCACGTTTCAGCCAATGGTTCCTTCTTGGCTGCATTGCTGCCTAACTCTTCAAGTGTTTGCATGATTATGGAGCTTATCTCTATTGGACAAGATGGCGCTTTTTTGCTGCGATCCCTGTCCCAGCGTTAGTTACATACATATAGAGGTACCTTGCCTAGGAGGAAAGACACACTATAGCAAGGATATCGCGTTCTCTTCCGCGGCGTTTCGAAACTCATTTAATTACTTTACATTTATTTCATGTTATTAGATCTACACAAATACCATCTTTCTCGACAATTACTTGCCATGGAGGCTTCCTCGGCTGATGTTGCGAAAAACACTGAATTAAATCAGGGCGCAGCAGTACCCCCAAGCGTCACCATGGCAGAAAGCCCAGGCACACATGCCACTGGTCAGGCTAATGGGCACCAAGGAAACATGGAACAGTTATTGCTCAAACTGCAACAAAGACTCAATACTGTAGAAGAAGATGCCAAGCGTGAGAAACGCGATAGGGAGCGACTCGAAAAGCAAATGCTGGGATTCGTCGAGAAAATCGCAAGCGAAGAGGGCCCCGGCCTTCTATCTTCACTAACACTGATGCAAGAGAGGACAGAAACCCTCATTAATAAAGGCAACACTTCGTATAATTCTTGGCGTAAATTGAGAAGCCTAAGGACAAAGCTTCGGGATATCGAAGAGGAAGAAAAGACCAAGGAGACAATGACCAAGAAAGAAATGGAATGGGCAACATATTTCGACGTGTTGAAAACTCAGCTACAAGATGCACGGCCTGGAGCGCACATTCCGACATTGGAAGAGGTTAACGGAATCAAAACAGAGGATTCAGATGCTGAAGACGATCCGGATAAGGCCATGCCGAATGTAGTGCAGGTGGAAGTGAGTCCAATGGATTGGAGCAGTTTTAAATTCCAGGGTCATCATGGAGACCAAAACAGAGATCATTTCATCATTGAAGTCCTCACGGAAGAGCCTTCGATCACTTACGACGGCTATAACAATCCCTGGTTCATGCGCTACGCCGAAAAATCGCAGAACCCAGCAATAACCGGAGGCGGAAAAGAGCAAAAGGTCTCGTCATGGGCTGACATCGCCAACAATGTTACCCGAGGCAAACAACTTGTGCCAGAGCGAATTCGAATCAGATCACAGAGCATCATAAAGATATTCAACAACATCTTTAAGAACAAAGCCAAAGATTATCGCATGAACAGCGCTCTTGTCATGATTCGACCTTTCCGAGCACTCGTCTACTACAACCAGGAAATTCGTGAGAAATTCGCACAACTGAAAGAGAAATTCGGCAACGGTGAAGTTTTACTGGAGCAACCAAAACCCTCAGAGGACCAGGAGGAAACAAAATCCGGCGCTGAAGGCAATGAGACAGGCGAGGATGATGAGTTTACAAATTCGCTGACGGCATACCAACACATGTGCTGCCTCATCGACTTTATGGATAACACGATCCAGGCCAAGATAGATTATCTATCAGAGACTCAGCCTCGCACCATTTCCTTCAACCACCTGTGGTATCTTTTCAAACCAGGAGACGATGTCGTAGCACAGGGCCGACGACAAGCTTACCGAGTTATAAGCATCACCAGCACGGGACATAAAGTCACTCCTCCCTGGCGAGCCTGGAGAAAAGACGAGAGCGAACCAGCAGCCCATATCACTCTCTTTTGCGTTTACATCGACTTTGACGGAAAACAGCTCGGTCCAGTATCGAAGTCATTCGTCATTTCAAAATTCGATGGCGAGAAGGCGATTACATCCCTCGAAGTGTATCCCATCCGATTTGCAGATAGCCCTACTTCAAACTACCAGAGCCGCGATGACTCCGCAAAGGAGGATTCCAAGGCTACTTTCCAACAAGAGCTCATCGACCGCGGCAAGATGTTTATTGACGTGGCGAGCGTGAAGCACATGCACTACAATGGGTTCACCTTGGAGGCACGAGACGAAGTGGATAGCCAAGTCATGGTTGATTTCGCAGAGGCCTTTGCTGCAACACAGTCAAGCGGGTGGCAGCCCGAGATCGAATCTCTTATTGGAAAGGATTTGGGAGGATCAAGCTCATCTGAAGAGGAGAGCTGTTCAGCTGCCTGTTGTGCAGGCGAATACATCTACAATGACAATTACGTTGACAAGACGAGGAACGAAAACTATATCGCGAGTTTGATGCCTGGCCCTGATGAGCCCAATGACGAACCATCGGTAGCCATCTACCCCCGTTCTTTGAAGGAGATTACGGCTTCCAAGAATTCTCTGACGAATGATGACTTGGTCATCATGTCGTATCGAGTCTTTGGCTTTGTCTTGCGAAGCCGCAAATGGGGTATGTGCATCTCACTACGAAGCAGATACAGAAATGTTTACTAACTAGATGCGACTAATAGCAAAACTCGATCTCAAGTATTTGAGTCCTGTCAGCGAGGGCTCTAAAGAACAGACGGCTTTTGACCAACTGGTGCTTCCCAAGCAGCATAAGGATATAGTCTACTGTTTAGTTGACCAACACTTTCGAAATAAGGAGGCCCGAGTTAGTGACAATGAAGAAGTCGACATTATTCGAGGAAAAGGTTGTTTGGTGTTCCGCCAGTATGATCTACTTACAGAACTTGCTGACTCTTGATATAGGAAAGGGTCTCATTCTTCTTCTACACGGCTCCCCTGGAGTGGGTAAGACGACTACTGCAGGTAAGTATAACACTTATAATGGCAACCTAAACATTAACTCAGCCTATTTTAATGTGTGCATATACTAATTCGATGGCCGTTATAGAGGGTGTGGCTGAGCGTTTCAACAAGCCTTTGTTCCAAATCACATGTGGTACGAGTTCCATATTCTTTTCTTTATCTCCGTATGCAAGATGTATTCGGATGAGAGACAGTTGTTGACGTATATAACCCCCCTCATATAGGTGATCTTGGTGCTACTGCTAGTGAAGTAGAAGCAGCCCTGGAGAGAAACTTTAGTCTTGCCAATAGATGGGGATGCATTCTTCTCCTAGACGAAGCAGATGTTTTCCTTGCCCAGCGCTCTCCAAAGAACTTTGTTCGAAATGGACTCGTTGCAGGTAAGTTTCCCTCAGTATATATACAAAAGAAATAGTACCTAATTTGGCACGCAGTTTTTCTCCGAGTCTTGGAATACTACGCCGGTATCCTCTTCCTCACCACGAATCGAATCGGCGACTTCGACGAAGCCTTTACATCCCGAATACACATCAGCCTCTACTACCCACCCCTCGACAAAACATCCACACGCGAAATCTTCCGCCTCAACCTACGCATCATCAAAAAACGCTTCGAAGACAAAGGCCGCATCATCAACATCAACGAAAAGGACATCCTCAAATACGCCACCGCATACTGGAAGAAGCACGAAAACATGCGTTGGAACGGCCGCCAAATCCGAAACGCTTGCCAAACCGCCCTGGCCATGGCAGAATTCGACGCCCAAACTGCTTCTGGAGGTGGTGATGCTCATGCCACGCAGGTGGAACTGACGCATCATCATGTTCAGATTGTTTCGGATGCGTATCTTGAGTTTATGCGCTATCTTAAGAGTATATATGGGTTCAGTGCGGACGAAGTCGCCAAGAATATGAGACTCCGAGCGAAACATCCCAAGGCGGCTAAGAAGGATGAAGACGATGATGATGATACGACTGACACGAGTGATGATGAGGCCATCTATGGTCCTACCAAAGGAACTCAGCCAGCTATACCTCCTTCAGCAATTAGCGGTATGGTTCCACCGATGACTGGAATGCCTCCCATGATGGCCGGTGCAGTCCCGAATACAGGCCATATCCCCGTCTCCACGGGAATCGCAACACCTTCTTCAACCGCCGAATCAGCAGCACCTCCTAATATGATGCCGGCTCAAGGCTCATACATTATGGCCAATGGTCCACAGGGCATGTATTGGATGCCCCAACAATTTGCACAGGGCCAGAGTCATCCCCAGCAAGCCTTCATGATGGGTAACCAACAGGCGATGTTCAATCCTGGACAACAGATGTCTGGTCAGAATTGGCCCAATGGGAATGGGAACGGGGCCTGGCCAATGATGCAGAACATGATGCCTTCTCAGGCTGTGGGGAGAAGTAACGAGGGGGCCTCTCCAGTAGCACAATCGTAGCCATTAGATAATGAATAATGAATGCTAGCAGTTGAGAGATCAAGATCCCTTTCTTTGTGAAGGATAATACTGTGAAACCTGCGTATCAATGCCAATTCACATACCTACTCTACGGGAGAAGTATCGAGAAAGCCAGGGCAAGATGCCTCCCAGCTGTGTCACTCCAGCTCCAATCCTATTTATATAGGACTATAGTTCTTTTTTTGTATTTTCTATTTTTTACTCATTATATACCAATTCCCTGAGCAATCCAGATTTGTCATGTTTCAGTTCTTTCTGGTTCATATCCTTTCCATCGTGAATTCATATTTGCATCCCAGCACAAAAATGTCAAAGGTATCAACACCCGCTTACTCCTTCGCAATCAACTCGTCAAACAAAGGCTTCAAGCTCTTCGCGCTCTTCTTCGGGAATCGCTGCTGTCCATTCTCGTAATCCACATAAGTCACACCAAATCTTGTCACGTAGCCATCAGCCCACTCAAAGTTGTCCATCAGCGACCAGGCAAAGTATCCCTTGACGTTCACTCCGTCTAGCGTCGCGGCGGTGAACATGGCGCGGATATACTCGTTGTAGTAGTTGACGCGGAAATCATCCTCCAGAATCTTCTCCTTGGGCAGGTCGTTCTCCCCCTTGAGACTCGTGCCGTTCTCGGTGACGTAGATCTTGGGGTAGTTGTAACGCTTGCTGATCCACACGAGGAAATCGCGGAAGCCAGCGGGACAAGGACGAAGCCACGAGGATTCCGTCTCTGGGCCGATGCACTGGCCCTCCTTGTTGTAGAACAAGACATCGACGTTGCCAACAGTGTCGTCCGCGGTGGCAGGCGAGGTGCGGTGTCGGATGTAGTTGGACGTGTAGTGGTTCATGCCGTAGAAGTCGTTGGAGCCAAGGACAAAGGCCTTCTCCTCGGGCGTAAACTCTGGCAGGCGGTCGCCCAGCTGCTTGCGCATAGAGGCAGGGTAGTCGCCCAGGTAGATGGGATCCGCATACCACGCCGTGAAGAACTCCAATCGCCTCTCGGCGGCCTCTCTGTCGAGGGGATCAGACGAGTCCCAGGGATAGGTAAAGTCGCCATTGAGGACGATGCCGATCTGGCCATCGTTGAGGTCCTTGAACTCGTCGCGGTACACCTTGACAGCACGGCCGTGGGCGACAAGAAGGTTGTGGCCAACGATCCAAGGCTCGGTGGTGCTCTGGCGGCCAGGGGCAAAAGTGCCAGAGCCGTAACCGGGGATGGCAGAGCACAGCGGCTCGTTGAAGGTGATCCAGTTCCTCACCTTGGGCAATGCCTTGAACATGACGCGCGCATAGTTTTCGAAATCCAGCGGGAACTCGGTGCGGTTCAACAAGCCACCATATCGCTGATGCAGCTCCTCGGGCAGATCCCAGTGGAACAGCGTGATGAAGGGCGTGATGCCCGCCTCCAGCAGGTCGTCGACAAACTGTGCATAATGGTCGATTCCCAGCTGATTCACAGGGTCGTCGCGGCCGCCCTTGGGGATGATTCGGGACCAGGAGATGGAGAAGCGGTACGACTTTGCTCCAAGCGACTTGAGTAGCGCAATATCTTCGGCGGTGCGGTTGTACGAGTCGCAGGCCGTGACGCCGGAGGTTCCATCGGCAATCTTGCCGGGGATGGCGCAAAAGGTGTCCCAGATGCTGGGGCCTCGGCCGTCTTTGTCGATGGCGCCTTCAATCTGGTAGCTGTTGGAGGGTTTGTGTGTAAGTTGTATGTTGCAGGGATGAATGAGGTGAGACGAGACAAGACAAGATGAAGACTTACGCAGCCGTCGCAAAACCCCACTGAAAGTCCTTGGGCAACATTGTCACAACTTTGTTTCTCTCTTTCTTCAGCTGTAAAGATATAAAAAATACTATACTATATAGTAATCAAGAGATGAATAAGACACACTTCACTCACTCACTCACAACACCACTTGCAAGTTCATGCAAAGCTAGAAACGGCGAGAAATAGCGTTTGGTCCCCCGGATATATATACACACTAACGATCCCCCCCCTCACACCTTGACGTCGGAAAATAAACATGGAGAAATACAAAGCCCGCATCATGCGAGACGCTGCATTTTCCCGGAAACTTTGGATGGCGCTGCGTCTTGTCTGGGTACCTGCGCATTTAGCCAACCGCTTGCTTGGCCGTGGGTATTTTATCCAACGATGGAGGCCGTGAGAAAAAGCAAGGGTCTGGTCTGGTCTGGTCTGGTCTGGTGCCTGTTTAACATGGATTAGTTTGCTGGATAGACCCCGTATAAACCCCGTATTACCTTTGGTAGTCTATGGGGCCCCGTAGTCTAAAATGCAGTGCAAGATATGGACTGTACAGCGAGAGAACAGAGTTGAGAGGCCAACCAACAAAAAGCAAAATAGGCGGGGATACCGAAAAAAATGGTCACCTCGCAACGTAGCCTTGCAACGGCAGCTAGCCATCTTGACCGACGACAAACAAGTCACAAGGCAGGGCTAGTCGGCCTCAATGGGGAAGCTGGCGCCGCGGAGGATGGCGATCCGGCGGGCTCCAAGCAGCCTAGGCCGGTGGGTGATTGTCCGAAGTGGTGGCAGCGGGCCGACAAAAGAAATGTGGTGAGTTTTGAAGCTATGTGCTTTGCTAGTGGTGATATTGATTGGGGGGGGAAGGATTTCGATGGGGTGAGAACGGACAGAGATGCCCATCGGGGAACTCGGGATAGTGATAGTCAAGTCACTTGATGGATGATCTGGCTATTTGTGATGGATACATTGCTCACAGGCCCCGACGGATAGATTCAGCCGACAGCCCACGTGGGAATGTTGCATGTTCAAGCACAAGTGTAAGCAACCTGCATTCCGGCTACGGTGGCATAATTCGTTCGTCCTGCAAACTATTGAAAAGTATTGACCCTACTGGTCCTCCGTATATTATATGCATAACGGGCGGCATCTTGCTAGGCTACATATACCTACATAGGTAGGTCGATAGATGGTGGGTAAATAAACCACGGCTGCTCAGTACTACAAAGACTTGCCTCATCCCATTCGTGTCTATATAGCCTCTGTCTTGTCGCCGACATGAGATACGCCTAAAGGTGAAACACCCCGGCCGGCCACTGTCCGAGCCAAAAACAAAAGAACAAAACAATAAACGCCTTACCGAGAAAGAAAAAAAAGAAGGGAGCAGCCGTAAGCGACAGCTCATATACACGCAACAGGCCGGGCTATGCCATGCCATGCCCTAAACCAGGTCCCATCGCTTTTCCCTTATCAACCGCCTATACAACAGACTTTGTACCGAGCATAAATCCTATCCAGACTAATGATCTCTGAGCTTCCTTTTGCCCAGCTGCTGCGTCGACACTGCCCCGGCAGGCTCATCCTCTTCCACTTCCATTTCTCCGCCGCCATTCTCCGAATACTCGACAATGTCCCATTCGATGCTCGTCTGCCCATCGCGCGATCGCGTAGCGCCATAGCTCCTGCGCATGCTTCCTAGCCGCGAGCCCTCAATCAGCCCGTCGAACCACGGCACGCCAAACGACTGCTGGAGGGCGGTTCTTCTCGTCGGCACCGCTGGGGTAGTTTCAGTTCTAGGCGGCGACTCTTCGTCTTCGGGAATCAGGCCCATGTCCTCCAAGTCTCGAATGTCTTCCCGAAGCAGACTTCCCAGGGTGAGGTTGATGTACTCGGCCTCGCTGCGAGGCTCCTCGGACCAATACGACAAGGGCGTCCCGCAGAAGCCGCAGAAATGCCGTTTGGAGTAGTCTTGGCTTGGATGCGAGTAGACCTTGCGGATCATGGTGTGCGTTTCATCTGGGAAGAAGGCGTACGTAGAGCTGTGGTACCATGATAGCGGCACACGAATGTACGCTGCTAGAGGTGTTGCGAGAGGGATCTCTGCGCGCGGTTGCACCAGGATTGTCAGCTTCGGGATTCAAAACAAGTAAACAAACAACAAACCACCCGGACTATCAATCGACCCCATGGAATTCCAATTCGTAGCGAATCGAACCCCGTAAAAGCAAAACTTTGTAGCAATCAATTAACCACTGCAAACCAGGCCAAATACTTACGATGCTGTGGCTCAGTGTTAAACAGGACCTGAGCGTCCTTGATGCCATTCTCTGGGATGACGATGATGTAACGATTCCGGCCGCATTGGCACCCGCCCCGCAGTGGCCGCGACCCGCTCATGATGAATTGAGGCCTGCAAACAGAGGAAAGAAGTTGAAAATAGATTGCAAATGAAGATGATCAATAAAAGGCGTTTGAAGGGCAGTTGACCGCCGTTGTCGAGAAGGTGGAGTGAATGCAGAAATAAATAATCGCGGGCGGGATGAAGCAAAAACAACAGCAGCAGCCTTTGGTCGATGGGATGACGGATGGATGAATGAATTGAATCGATGGATGCTGTGATTGGGGGGTTTTAGGTGTCTGTGCGCTAAAAAGCTTGGGTGCAGAAGCTCTCGATGGTGCTGGATCGTTCCACTGCGCCGTTGGAATTTCTAGAACCAACAGACTGGACCCCACTGGAGCTCGATTTCCAGAGAGGCAATGATTGTCCAGGGAGTTGAATCGATCGGGGTTGCTCTTTACATGCAACGTATAGCCAATAGTGAAGGATGGATTGAAGTAAGTAAGGATGATGTAGAAGTGAAATGATGTCAATTCATCAATGCAGCTCGCAGGAATGCTTTAATGCACACAGTTAGGTAACAGCTGATAGAGGCAACGAGGTAGCTTGTGGCTCAAAGCTAAAGATCCATTGCAGAACTATCAGCCACACCTTATGTTAGTAAGACAGACATGATTCAGAGTTGCCACCTTGAAAGAAAACAAGCAATCACTCGTTCAATGTCTGTTCACCCCATCACAGCTCCAACATGGACATCACGACAACAGCCTCTTCTTCGTGGCTCAACAGCCAAAAACAATATCCGCTCCGGCAAAAAGCGTAGTCGAGCCGGGAGTCGAACCCGGGTCTGTCGCGCGCTCCGCATCCTCGATTCGAACATGTGAAGCGACTGTACTAACCGTTATACGACTCGACCTTTTCGCGTCGAAGGGCTTTCAGTATCCAGACTATAAAGCTAGCAGTCGTATGTTGATGGTTCCCAACAGCATATCGGACATACCACTTGTAAATACCAGGTACCATATCTAGAAGTAGAATACGATGGTGAGGACCAAGAATTGTGCTTTTGAACAGGTTAGATGCAACTTAGATTCTTGCCGAAAATTCTAGATCAATCAGCATCCAAACAGGCAGAGTTTAGGTACATATCTATTCTGCATACATGTATCCAGTGCTTTCCAAGCACATGAATTCCGGTCGTTAACCAAGACGTCTATCTTCTTAATTCATCTTAATCCATCTTAATCCACCAAAATGATAAACAAGTCAAGACGCTCTACAATCCAAACAAAGTCCCAAAACCCTCGCTATTTGCCCATTGCCTCCTCTTTTACTCCTTACGCCCAGTCTTGGCCCATTGCCGAAGGTCATTCTTCTTAATCTTGCCCGTGCTCGTCTTGGGCAGCTCCTTGACCACCTCGACTTCTCTGGGCACCATGAACTTGCTAATGTTGCTCTGGTGCTTGGCCCAGTTGATCACATCTTCCCCAAGCAGGCTCTTACCCTCCTTGACTGTGACATATGCCTTGGGTCGCTCACCCCAGTGAGAGTCTGGAACCGATACCACACCGGCTTCGAGAATGTCGGGATGCTCAACCAGCATGCTCTCCAGAGCCACCGAGGAGATGTTCTCACCACCAGAGATGATTATATCCTTGGCACGGTCCAGGATTTGAGCACTTCCGTCTGGATGCCATACTGCTAAATCACCCGAGTGCAGGCCGCCTCCCTCGAAGAGCTTTCGTGTGGCCTCGGGATCTTTGTAGTATTCCTTGGCACAAATGTTTCCAAAGAAGACGATTTCGCCAATCTCTTGCCCGTTCTTTTCCACGTCTACCAGGACTCCGCCGGGCTGATCTTGCTTGACAATCCGGATGGGAAGACTGGTGATGAAGCCGTGTCCCTGGCGAGCCATTTTGGCGTACTTCTCCTGCGGTGGAAGATCATCCCATTCTGGCATGACGTAGCATTTTGTGAGAGGCCCATAAGTCTCTGTCATTCCATAAACATGAACAGGAATGAGATTAAGGTTGGTCTACAAAATCCAGGTTAGCCACTATTTAATGACTTGCAAAAATTTCCGGTATACTTGCCATTTGCTCAAAGAGATGGCCACTTGGCGGGCTAGCTGCAACCGTTACTCGGACTTCGTGGGGGAGTCTTTCGGCCTCCTTTGCTGCTACCAAGAGAGTGTTGACTGTGGGAGCCGCGTTGAAATGAGTAATGCCTTGCTCTTTCAAGAGCTTCCAGATGAGTGGGTAGTCAATCTTTCGCAGGCAGACATTCAAGCCGCGCACCGCCACAACAGCCCATGGGAAAGTCCATCCAATGGCGTGGAACCTGGTGAAGAAATCATCGTTAGCAATCTATATTCAATGACGGTAGCATCTGCAGCAAGTGGGATTGCTTACATAGGTAGCGTCCACAGGTACTTGCAACGGCCTTGATTAAGTCCAGACTCAATGATGTTGCCCATAGCAGCAAGATATGAACCTCGGTTAGTGAAGACGACTCCTTTGGGCCGGGAGGTGGTGCCAGAGGTAAAAGGAATGGCAATCATATCATCCTCATTGGTAGCATGCGCATGGAGACCAGCCCATCCTGCATTGCCCGTAGCGCGATCATAGTTGAGTCCCTCCAACACGGCTTCGTCGAAAGGTCCGCAGAGCTGGCCTTCTGTGGCGTCGGTATCCTGAATCCAAGATTTGTCAGTTGGCCTTCAAACACAATCCCAGCGAAGTAATCAATCGTACCGAATCAATAATTAAAGGAACCTTGGGGTGTTTCTCCTTGAACTGATCCAACATATGGACAAACTCGTGATCGACAATGATGCTGTCGACCTCTGCAAACTCAAAGATGTAGGCAATGTCGTCCGGCTTCAGCCTGTAGTTCGCGGGCGCAATCACTGCACCAGCCGCCGGGATGCCGTAGATGGCCTCAAGAAACGCCGGCGTGTTGGGCGCGAGAATGCCAACGCGCTTGAAGCCGTGCTTTTTCAGATAATAGGCCAGGCCTCTGGCGCGATCGGCGAATTCCTGGTAGGTGCGGTGCAAGATGGCGCCGTTGGAGGTGATGTGATAGATTGCCTCGGCATTCGGCTCAATGGATGCAGCGCGCTCGAGGAAGAATGTTGGCGACAGATGGTGAATGTGAGGAGGCGGAGTTTGGTGAGGAATGAGATGGCCGAGAATTGAGCGGATGCGAGACGGTGGCCCGGACATGATGGCGATGGTGAAGGGAGACGGAGAGAGGCCCCGACCTCGGATCAAGAGAGATTAGAATAAAAAGAGTAGATTGCAAAATAGAGAGAGCGAGAAACAAGGAGAGAAACGCGGAGGAGAAGTAGGGAATGCAAAGGAACAAGAAACCGGTGTATGGCCGTGGCAATGGGGTGGTTTTCTTAAAGAAAAGAAGAAGAGAAGAGGCAACAGAGATCCCAGCTCGAGCCTCTTTAAGACAGTCGCAGCTTGCCCTCGGTTTAAAGCGCGGCTCAGTTGTGTTGCGATGCGACTCGCGGGACGGCACGGCTAATACATTGACTACTATCGAGGGACCAGGCTTGTTCGTGGAGCCGTGGGGGGAAATCTGGGGACTCCTCCGCATTTCTTCGGCATCTTTGGGCTTGGGCACGTTAGTATACGGAGTAGATACGGAGTGCGGAACGGAGTAGATGATGATTTAGTGTTGCCGAGGTATTGGATCACACACAGTTGAGCCATTGACTAGCATTTTCTTTCTTCAATCCCTTCATTTTCATCTACTAATATCCTGGATAAGGTATACTCTATCCCGTAGTCGTACCAAGGTAATAGAGCACTAATATTACGGAGTAAGGTAGTACAGTGTGCGTGCACGAGGCAATCGGGTGTAATACAGCCCGGCTCGAGATGAGAGAGAATGACGACGGTGCTAATTGAGTGTTTGCGTACAGTGGCTTTTGGAGATTTTAGCGGCCAATCTTGCGCTGATCCTTTACTGCTTGGATGCAAACGAAAATCCATTATGGATACAACCCAAGGTATCAGTCTTGCTTCTTCTTTTTCTCCTTTTTTTTCCTCCCTTCTCTTGAGACATTGTCTCTTCTATCCCTCAGCAAGAGATAAGAGGACAGAAGATAAATTGAGCATGCTGTAAGCATAAGCATCAGCATTACCACTGCAGTGACAATGTGACAATGCTGCCTGCGGCATATCGATAAGCCCGATAACAACAAGTGGGGCGCCCGCCCGCTACTGTAACTGATACAGCTTTTGGTGGCGCGCCGGATCTGAGCTTCAAGACTCCAACTCCAAAATCATCTCAAAGCTTCGTCATCCCATTCGTCCCAAGTACAACTTCGTCTGTGTTGCATTGCATCTCGTCGCGGCCTTGTTTTGCATCTTTCCAGGCACCAAATACCGGCATCTTCCCTCTTCCTTCCACCGCAGAGCCGGTCCATCTGCAGCCCCTCGTTCACACCCTGTCGGCCGCTCTTCAGCCATCGTAACCTTATCTACGAATCCACCGCCCAACTACTCCAACTCGACAGCTTCTCCTCTCCCGGCCTCTCCCCATTGCATCCCTTATGCTAGGGCATCTACATTACGCTACTTTCTGTACAGCTGGTGCTACTCTAGACATATCAAGTATGTATAGTTCATCTGTGGTACACTTGTGAAACCCCATCGAGCCCCTGGGTACCTCAACCGCTACTTCATCCCACAGCTCTCTCCTTCACTCTCCACAACAGCCATCACTTGATAACCTTATCTTTATACATTCGTTTTTACTTTCTTTGAATACACCCCTCTAAGCTGCCAAAGACTTACACCATTGTGCTATCAGGACTTCATTACTCGTATAGAGGCTCATGGCTTCTCAGCAATCCACCGACACTCCCCCCGCAGCTCGACCAAGCCCAGACAGACTCTCCTCCTATTCACATCAAACAAGCACGACTTCTACAGCCAGCCGTGAAACCCCCAAGAGAGCACATACTTTCCACTCACCGTCGCCTTCCGAGAAGCATGGAGATGCCGGAGCCAACGCCGGGGCTCCCGACACATTCGACACTGCCGAGAATTCCGACAATGATGAGCCTCCTGAGATCACGCGAGCATCCATTGAGCTTGACGATCTCCCAATCGAGCTAATTACCTTGACCGATAGGTGAGGAGATGGATGCAGCGCTCGAGTTCACCCTATTACCTGTCTGACCGACTTCTGTAGCTTCGTCGAATCACTCTCTGCCAAAGTTCATTCCACTCCACCGAATATCGCCAAGCTATCCCAGCTTTTTCAAGAATTCTATACTACAGCATCTTCTCATATTGGCACTCATATTAGCGCCCTCGCCTCGCGCCAGAGCCGTGAGATCTTCCAACCTCCACCGCCATCATCCTCCGTCGCTAGCCGCTTTCGATCAAAAGCAGCCTCGCTAGGCTCAAAAGACAAGTCAAAGGCAGAGATTGAACAGCAGATGATTACACCCGAAGAGCTAGCAAATCGAAAGAAGGCAAGGAAAGCTCTAGAGGCGAAACGAAGCTTGCTCGAGGAGGCCGTCGAAAGGAGGTTATGCGAGGGTATATACGACCGGATTTATCGCCACAGGAGTACGCAAGATGAGGCTCAGGATGCAAAGCTTAGATCCAAGACCGCCGCCTTGTCCCTCGTTGGCATTGGCCCTTCAGATCTCGGGATAGACTTGGCTGAAGTGGAACCGCAAACCGAAAAATCAACGGCCGAAAGGACAGAGGTTATCCGTGGCCAGCTTGAGTCTGCCAGGAAAGACTTGGTTCGAATGGGCGAGTCAAGATATCCTCTTGGCAAACTAAATCGCCTCAAGGCCGCGCATAAGAGCATCGTCGATACACTTGCCCAGTTTCATCCTTCAGCCTCTGCGGATGAAATCATGCCAATGCTTATTTACACACTCATCACGCTCCCCCCTGAGCATCTCAACGTTATCAGCGACCTCAACTTCATCCAAAGCTTTCGATGGGAGCAAAAGCTGACCGGTGAAGAGGCTTACTGCCTTACAAATCTCGAGGCTGCCATCAGCTTCCTCCAAACAGTTGATCTTGCCACATTGAGAGAAGACGAGCGTCCATCGGGGCCGGTAAAGACTCCAGGGCAACCTGTAACTCCTAGAGTAGAAACATTTCCACCAGCATACTCTCAGGGACTTACAACTTCGCCGCAGAGTACATCTGCAGTCAACACTGAAAATGCCACCGCTCCAAAGCCCGAATCATCGCCCAGCCTCAAGCCGGCTTCGACCGTCAAGAACCGGAGACTGAGCGACCTGATTAACACACCCACCCAGGCATTTGGTGCCGCCAGTGATGCCGTTTTTACCACAGCCGATCAAGGACTCAAAACCATCTCAAACAGCCTGGGTGAGAGTTACAGCTTCCTCCTCGGCAAGCTTAAGGAGCGTCAAGAGGACCCCAAGGAGCCCATTGCCGTCCCAAAGACCCTAGACGACGCTCGCAAGCTCGTTAGCACTCCACCCCCTGAAGATGAAGACGCTACCATCTCCCTAGCAGCGGCAGCGACAGATTCAGATCAAACCAAACCCCAGAATGGACGGGATGATCGTGTTTTAAGCATAATTGGCGGCCGTCGCGATCATAGCACAGACAGCGCCCGCAGTGGTCGCAGCGCAAGCTCCTCTAAAAAGGTGCTCTTTGCTGCTGCAGAAGACGCAAAAGCCGGAGCCGCCTCTCCTGCACCAGCTCAGCCAGCCATGCTGGACCAAATGCGAAACTTGGGCAACACGTTCAACCCCATGGCCCGACTCTCCGGCATCAGCCTAGTCCGAGGCTTTGGTCGAAGTGTGTCCACCCCCGTGGTCACTCCTCCCAAGGACGCAAAGGACGCCACCAAGGATAGCAAAGACTCGAAAGACGCAAAGGACGGCGTGAAGCCAACTGATGGAGGAGATTTAGCAACTGTAAGCTTTTAGCAGCCAACCCACTCCACTGTTCTCACTTGTTATGCAACGAACACTAACACGAATCGCGAGAAGGCATTCCCGGACATCGCGGGCATCCTACCACCGAAAGAAATCCCCAAAATCAGCCCTCCCAATAAACGGTTCATGGAACTTCAGAATCCGGGCGATCTGAGGCTCAGTGAGGTATTAGATCTGCTAAAGGACTATCGTCGCCTTGCTGGCGCCTTGAAGAACATGGGCGCCTTTGAGGATAAGTAAATAAATGGGCAGCGTAGAGACGGAACGGAATCTTCGTAATCTCATCTACACCAACTTCTTAAACATTTTTCGACACATTCTGGATAGAATTTCTCGTCATTTCATTCTTTGCCTTTAACTTAATAGCTGCAAGTAGATGGAAAGGTGGCGGAGCATGTGGCTTCATTCATTACACGGCAACACGGATAGAGAGCATCAGGTCTTACAGGCGTCAATAACGAGATGATAAACTGACTGATCTTGGCAAAGTCCCATATATTTCTTCTTTGCAATCATAAATACATTATGCGATCGACCGCTATGACACGAAAGTCTTGGCAACCAAGTGGTGCTCCAACCCGCAAAAGCGACTCCGGGTACAATCCAATCATGAACCAGGCGCAGTAAGCCAACCAACTCCACGAGGGCTTCTGTTGTCGCCACCCACAGCCAACTCGGGGATTCCACTTGCTCTACGCAAGCCCTCTTTGGAATCTTGTTTCATGTGGAAAATGCAAAACAACGTAATAAATATATACAGCAGTAACAGAACCGCTCCTAGGCGATTAAGAAACGAAGTTGATCGAATCCGTCTTATTTCCATGGATTCTTCTAAAAAGCAGAAGATTCTATCCGCCTTGGCTTGTGTGGGAAGTCATTGCTCGACAATTGGTGCAATTCGTCATCTTCCTCTATTGAGGGGTGTAAGTGAGCGCCCGCGGGTTCTGGCAAAGCGCCAGTCACGTCCGCAGACATGCTCCTCTGGTGTCCCTCCACCGATCTTCCCCTTGGTCGCAAGAATGGATCTGGAGGAACGACCGGTCCCGGGTGGAGCAATTGTGTTATCAGGCTGCCGTTAGCCCTGTCACGACTCCTGCTCCGGCTTCGTCCCGTAGTCGCCTGTCGCTGCAGAGCTGAGGTAGCGCCAGTAGATACTGCAGTATTTGTCCGGGCGAGGGCGGCTTCGGAGTCCTCCTGTTCCTTTTTCAAGCGGGCTTCGCTCGGAAGAATGACAGCACGATCAAGGCCATATGGCAGACCACGATGGCGACCACGGATTTGCATGGCCACGATGATCAGCTTGCCAATGACGGAAAATTGTGAACAGAGAGAAGCATTGACACCCGGTACGCCAATACTCAAGCCCACGGTTCCGTAGGCACTGACGATCTCAAAAAGAACAGCAAACAAGTCGAACCGACCTCCAACAATCTTGCCGCCTTCGGTGATGGCGAGAAGAAAGAAGCCCAAAAAGACATACCACAAGTCGAAAGAAAGTTGACGTCGCAAATGTGTCCCCACATAATCGAGAGCGCTTGCTTCTTCAGCGTCCTCGTCGTGATCACGATACACGCCCAGAGACTTCTCCTCGTAGACGTTGGTTCGTCGGATAGAAATGGCGATGGGAAACACGGATATATACATCATTATCATATATAGAACCGGCATAGCGGGGTGAAGTTCTGACATGCTGACTGCCGAGAAGCCAGCGGTTCGGGTTGAGGCAGCTTGGAACAGGCCAATAACAACGCGGTTCCTAAGCGGGAGAGCAGTAATTGGTTCGGCTCCGAGCTGGAGAAAGTCGTTAGCATCAGTCGCTAAGGCAGAAAAAAGTGGACGAGAAGGTAAAGAGAGACTTGGGGGAGAAGGCTGAAAATGAGCGGAAAGGGAAGGGGGAACCTACATCGAGGACAATAAAGAATACCAGGTCAATAACGTTAAGCAAAATGAGAATCCAGAACAGCCACCAATTGGCATTGGATGGAAAGAGCAAAGTAAAGCACCGACGAGGATGGTCGAGCAAAAATCTGAACTCTTCCCAAACGCCAGTGCCTCGAGGCGTAAGCTTAGAAGCGACCCAGATCATAAAACGCAACATGACGGGGAAACCAGTGTTTCCAATAATGATGAAGAACCACATGGCCATCAAGACCCACTCGGAAGTCGCAAATGAATTCATGCTGTCGGGAGTCAGGGTGAATCCCACATCCATAAAGGCCATGTTGGACGTCCAAAACGCCCACCATGTCCTACCAATATCGTCGGCAGCAAGAATGTTTCCGTAATGCTGGTTGTGGAGAATGTAGGGAAGCAAACAGACGACACCCAGAATATGGTAGATCCAAAAGTAAAATATCAACACCAAGGCTAAAGTTCTCAGTGCTCGGTATTCGATACCACCGAGCTCCTCTCGCTGTTCCAGGGTCAGGCCGAGGAAGTTTGAGTTACGTCCCATGGTGGGTGTATAACTAAGATAAGGCATGTCATCTACTTTCTCCCGTGTCAAGACAGAGCGAATAGTGTCCATCGTTTTGGTTCGTACAGGGCGTGGGTGCGGGGTCCTTGATCTGTTGTGTCTGGGTTCCTCGCCGTCTTCGTGTAGTTTGTCTTGTGATCTGTTGAAAAAGCGCGGCCTTCGGAACCTTAGGCTATCAACGGCATTACCAGCAGCTGCAGCATCATCTTTGAGCTCGTCCCGCTTATGATGCTCAGGCTCAGCGATGGTAATAGTTGGCTGTCGGCCGTGGATGCCGCTAGGCTCGTCGTTACGAAACTCAATAGTCCTCTGACGAGCAACTGGCCGATCCTCATCCTCTTGTTGATCATCTTCTTCAAGACGGCGAGGTCCTAGACCCCTCTCAGTCTCCCGCGGCCCGGGAATGCGAAGAACCTCATTGTCCTGGTTTCGCTGCCTCTCAAGGATGGCAATATGTTCGGCATTGGGGCGTCGTTGAGGAAATTTGGTAGGGTCGCTTCCCAAGCCATCACTCCTCTTAACAGTATCGGCAAATGTGATGGCGGTTGAGAGGTAAGGGTGGTTTTCAGATTGAGGACCAGGCGCAGAGCCATTTTCACCCGAACTTGCGTGAGATGTGTCCGTTTGACGAGGTTGTTCTAGGGGGTCAATATCATCAAGAGAAACGCTCTTGTGCAAGTCTTCAGACACTGTAGTCGTATCACTTGCATCGCTGTTCGCAACCGGTTTAGGCTCGGCCTCTTCTATCTTATCCAGAAGAATGCCATCATTGGTGATTCTGTTTGCCCTCTCACCCCGCGGCACAATAGTAATATGTCTTCCATTCACGCCGAGGCCATTCTCGGCCTGGCTCAAATCATTTCGTGCTTTGGATTTGGATTTGCTGAGAGTTCGGCGGCGCAATCGGGCTTCCTGGACCCAGTGCTGGAAGCGTTTCTCAAACCAGTAAAGCCTGAGGAACACAACGCATGTATGCAGCGTGATGGGATTTGAGAATAAAGAAAAGGTGTAAATCCATGCCAGCTGGAATCCATTAAGGTTGTTTAGATCAACGGGATTGAGTCCAGCTTGTGTATTTGCACCACTACCAAACATGAGAGCATCAATAAAATGAAGCTCTCCTTTGCCGCCGGCATAGATGAGAATGGCAGATAGTAATGTTGCAAAAATAATCCAAAAATCTAAGTCGCGCGTCAGTCAGTATGGAAACGCTCTAGGCGATGTAAAGGTGATGAAATGGGTAAGTGAAGTACTCACAGTGGACGGTGATAAAGTTAAAATGTGGTGTTTTTGATACAAAAGCGGGCTTAGCACCCTTGATCTGCGCCGCTATAAAGGCGCGAGTCTCGTCAAACATTTTATCCAAGAGAGGAGCAGAGGCTCCAGGTATTGCAAGGGGTAGATGCAGGCGGCACCCAAGGAGCAAAACGAGGTTTTATCTCAAATACGCCAGGCGGACGCGACGCAAGAGTATAATAAGATTATGAAATTAGTACAAGGAGGTGCGAGCGCGAAGATGATGTCGCTGGCAAGACAAATTTTCCTTTGACAGAAAAATCTCGATCGTCGGGGTTCGGATTGCGTTTCTTTAGGCGTGAGTCCAATCGAAGGACCTCACAGTCAACAAAACGCAAAAAGGCATGATCGAGAGCAATGCAGGCGGCGAGATGCGATTATCGTGAGGAGACCATGTCTGGTCAGGGGGGGAAAGCTCGTGGTCCAGGGGAAGCTGACTTTCAGACGCTCTGAAAGGGAAGCAGAAAGAGTCAAAAAGAGGAGTACCGATAGTGGTATGCGGATGCAGGAGTCGACACTATCGCTGAGATGGGTGAAGAAAAGCGACAAAGGATAGCGCGTGCTGATTGACACTTTACGAGCCAGTAGCGGGAGGGGGAGCAAGGAGGCCTGGACCTGATATCGAGCTTATCAGGAGTGCAGGTAACACCGCTGACTGATTTATGCTTGCAAGGTAACCGTGGTTTATGGTAGCCAGAGAAGGAAAAAAAAAGACAAGGATGGCGCTGATACTGCTGGGGAGATTGGCGAGGAGGAAGATCGTAATTGGCGAGTCCTCTTGCGAATTGGCCGGGCGTGCCTGCAACCTATCGACTGGTTTGCAGACGCTTTGATCAATGGCGCAAGTTGGAATTGGAGGGGTTGTCGTCAAGGCGCAATTGCAGATAGCTGAGCAGAATCGAGCTCAGGAAAAGACGGTGAAGCAATTAAGAAAAGGACGAGAACGGTGGCGTATAAGTATTGCTGTAAACGTCGGGACCAAAGCAGGGTTCCGGGATCCCCTTCTCGTTGTCGTGGCCCGTGGGCTGATGTGATGCGCAGGCCAGTGGTTGCAAGGCACCCTCTCTCTGGATTGCGTGTGGCCCTTGAACAGCCGGACTTGTGGTACTTGTAGTGTCACCACCACCCGAATATGCAGCGTGGACGGAGCTCAGATGCAGGGTTACGGTGCAAGCAACGGCCAATGCAATTATCCCGGCCTCGTTGAGTCCCGCGGCTGCGGCAAGATGCCAAGCCCCTTTGGCGGCGATTGGTGGCACGGAAGACGGAGGGCCAAGAATGGAGCACAGCCAGACGGTGCGAGACGCGCCACCGTCTAAGAGGGTCGAGATGGTTCCGTTTCGAGGCGCTGTTTGGCAGTGTTTCGGTTCGATAGCAGGGGGATGAAGGAGGAGAGATTGGGAGAGATTGGGAGAGAAACGAGGGATTGAAGTCAAAGCCTCTCTCACCAGGAAAGGGAAGGGGGGCAAAAGAAAATCGACGACGTGCGCCTCGTGCGACTTGTTACTGCCGACTTTTCAGCGTCTTCCGTTCCTTCTCTCAGTCAAACGGCCTATTCCGGGAGAGGCTTAGCAGAAAGCTTAGCCCAGGTCTTTCGCTGACCCAGAACGCAAGAACGAGGCCCCACATACGTCAGTGCATGGGGCACTGGTTGCCTGGGTACCTGTAGCTGCTAAGAGGAGGCTAGACGACTACTGTGGGATGCCACCAAGGGGGCTGGTACCTCGATAACAGAAGTACGAGCACTCTTCAATTTCCATCTTGATGGACAGTACAGAGGACGGAGCTGCTGCCTTCTCTCAGCTCATGCTCCGTCTGTTTGGTACCTCCTATTACGTGGGCCATGCCCTTGTCATGAGGTATCGAGTATCAATAGGAGGCTGCCCACGTAAGTCTACAGCATTGACAGCAGATTTGGTAGTACTGTTTAACAAGAAACCCATCAATTTTGTTCAATTGATGTATCAGTTATACGCAGTATCTCCAATGGCCATCTGCTGATACCACCGCTAGTCTTGATGGCAATTGGACATTTGATCCGCCACGCATGCTCCAGCTCCTCGGAATAGCCCCCTAAACATCAGCAAGGTCAGCCAACGCCGAACAGCGAATCCTCCCGCTATAATGGAGTTTGACTCGTTCGCAGCGCCTCTCCCCGACCAATTAATCCCCCGTAGCGCCCGACGGCCATGCCGCAAAGCCGGGGTGCAGAGAAGCAAAAAAACGCCTCAAATGAAGATCCATGAAACATCAGCATCGATCATTTAGGGTCATAATATGCAGTAAAAAATTCATTTCAGAATTCATGACCCATTGCTAGCACTAGTATTTGCTTCCCCGCATAAAAAAGAAGCATCCCCAAAATCACTATCAACCAATTAAGCCATGTTGAGGATATCACCATCATCTATCTGCCTCTACTAACACCACAAAGTGGGCAGCGTTGGGCAGCATCTAAATGATGTCACTGCTCCCCGTCCTTTGGGATCCTCATGCACCATCGCCGATCCCCCAAATCAAAGCCGGGCGAGCATGTCATTTGCGGCACTTTTATTCACTTTTCATTCTTCCATTGGCCTCTCTTGTTGTCCCTCCCCGGCCGGATGCAACCTCCGATTCATGCGCCGTGCTTTGCAACAGAACTAAATAAAACAAATGACCCCAGTTTGTGTAAGATAACGCAACGCACGGCATCAGAATGCAAACGCAAGATTCATTAGCACTGCCCTCCGTGCGCGCCCGGCGTTACACCAAGACAATAGCATTTCCCATTCAATTCGACCCGGCCAAGTTCTAGAACGAAATCAGCATCCCGTAGTGTTTGTACAACCCACCCCCACGAGACAGCATACCGGCCACCAACACACATGTTGCACCAAGTTAATATCAATATACCGTTGCAAAGCCTCTCACAGCACCATGCATGTCTTGCAAGCATCCCGCCGCCCGCACACCGACCATGCATCTGTTGTCCGTCATGTGCATACAAAAAGCACACGTCGTTCATTCCAATCTCATGACGTCTAGTAATGATGAGAATCTAGAATCAGAATCCAGCCCATGTTCCCCAATGAAATGCCAGACCCAACAATTCCCCGGGGTACTCGATATGGCTTGTTCATTCTGATATAGCCACGTGCAACTGGGGTGATGGATGAACACGGTGATTTGTCGAGAGACCTTTCGTGGCCTGATTCTGACGAAAGAGTCTAACGCAGAGATGAAGAGAAGATAACCATGTTTCATTTACCATTTTTTGCATGATAGCAAAACTCCCATAGTGAAACCTTGTTAATACATACAAAGCGGCGGCTAAATGCTCCAAACTGCGTTCGCTTATACGCATCTGGCACACAATGAGGCACCAGCCTCTTGCTGCCCAAGCTGAATGCCAGCAGTAGGTCGGCCTTTCAAACGCAGGTGTGTCATCACAGCGTATACTGGTTGGCAGCTACACCAATCGAGAAGCAACAAACAGATGCCGTACTGCGATACGGTGATGGGCTGACCAAAAGTACATGCACCTACGCAAGGAATTCTATACGCTTGACATGACTTATTACGCTCAGGGTCACTCAGAACAGGATGCATAAGCTACAGGTGCAAACAAAAAGTACCTCAAGATGAGGAATACATGAATAGAATACCTGATCACTACTGTGTACAGGCTGTAAGCCTCATGCGTATGCAGATTCAATCTTTACAATCCGGTCGTGATGGACCGCCTCCATTGCCTTTGAATATAGACTTCTACCACTGGTTGTTACGGGAGACCGGCATCGAGGCACTGACCTTGTGTTGTGCAAACTTCGTCAAAAGGAATGGTAAACGCGGCTCAAGCGGCTCGCTCTCAATTACATTGGTACGTTACGAGAAAAGAGAAATCCCGTATGAATAGCGGGTGTCGGGGGAATATTTGACTGCTGTTTTGTATATATGGCATTCTTGTTGTTGCTCTGGTGCCGTCTTTGCTCCATGCGCGCCAATTGCAGCGAGTACCGCTTCATCTTTAGCGGTTGGATTCGGTGCATCAACCACCAAAGTACCCAAGTCTTAGGAAAACCTGTATTCTCAGGGCGAATATCTGCATGAAAATCATATCCATCATCAACCCAATCTCGATTACAATACAATGTCTGTCAAAAATGGAATACAAGACTCAACAGGGATCATGTAAGACGACCAATATCCCAACACCTCACCACCATCAGTTATCACCTTCAATTCTCCTTTCAAAGTAACATAACACGAATAATTTCCCCACATACCACAAATAGGCAAGGCAAATTATCACTTCTCTTATCATAATTCACGCCGCTTAACGCCCGCCTCCTTCGTGATGCGAGGAGGCGTAGTGGCCCATCTCGCATCCGCAGCCAATGAAACAACCCTGTGCCTCTCCTCTCTGCTTGGGCTCCTGGATGCAACTCCCCAGGCGAGCTTTGGGCACCCAGCGTCGAACTTCTGCACATTGCTGACCCAATGCCCTTCCATTCGCCATATGCAAGTCCCCTCCATGCCAATCAACATACGATAGCTGTCACGAGACGCTCACACAAAGCTGTACTTACTAGTCGTGCATACAGTCTAAAAATACGAGTCAAGTCTGGTGGAAATAGTAAAAATGATAATAGTAATAATATTGTATGGGTATGGTTATTCTTTTATAGTGTATAACTCCATGCATCCGTTGCAGGAGGTAGAATCTTATCCACCATTGATGAAAAATCCGAGATTAACGCCGTTCACCAAGAAGGCTGCTTTTGTGCTTTTCAGCAACACCTTCATATATGTCATAACACCTCGCATTAAATCAAACCTTGGTTAGTAGTATCTGATCATCCAATCTGTATGGTTGTGAATAACGAATAATTATGAAACGAGAGAAAAGGGAAGGGGGAAGAGGAAGAAACTTGTCACCAAGGTCAAACATCTAACCCAAGGCAGCTCGCCTGGCATTTTCTCGCCCAATCTTCTTAAAGAATGCGCTGCTCTCCTTCTTCCCTTTTCCTTTCTTGAAAGCACCATTCATCTTCTTGTTCTGCTCAATGTAAGCCATATCTTGTCCACCACTGAGCTCACCCAGTGTACCGGCTGTTCGGCGGGCAGCTCCCTTCTTCTTCTTTCGGCCCATTGTACCACTGTGAAACAAATCATCCGTGATGTCTTCATCGTCCATCGTCTCATTCTCTACCAGCACCTTTTGTAGCAGTTCACGACGCTCAGTCGCCGTTGCAAAAGCTAGCCCAGGGGTCTTTTCAATGTTTGCCAACTGGGTAATCACCTTGAATGCGTAGCCCTGATCAACCAAAAAGGCCTGTCTCTTCGAGGAAAAGTACATTTCCTGCGTATCTTTAGAAACGAGCGAGTAGAAGAACGCATTGAAACCCTCATCATTTCTGCGCTTGGCTCGAAGGATACGACCCAGTCTCTGGGCCTCTTGACGTCGGGAACCATAATGCGATGAGATTTGGATCAGGCATGTGGCCTCGGGCAAGTCCAGAGATGTGTCTCCAATCTTTGAGAGGAATAGCGTATTGACTTGCGGGTTGTGCTGAAAGTTTTCCAACACTTGTAGACGTTCCGCCTGGCCAGTACCACCATAGATGAATGCCTTGCCCAACTTCAACGCATATGCTTTCAACGCGTATACGTTATCCGAGAAGACAATGATCTTGTCACCCCTGGATTCGTGATAGTTGATCAGATACTGACAGGCCTGGAACTTGCGCGGGTTCATGATGTAGAGCAAATTCTTCTTGCGAGATGGCGCCCGAAGATACTCGTCATAGAACTCGGTGGGCATGGGACACCAAACTTCGGCGCATTGCACTCGAGCGATGTGGCCCTGCTTGGACAGCTCCATCCAGTTGGCCTCGAATAGCTTTGGGCCAATGAGGAAATTGAGATCAGAGATTTTGTCGTCCTCTCGGAGCAATGTGGCCGTTAAACCCAGCTTAGAGTGCGTCTTGATGGAAGACGTGACTTTTCGGAAGATGTTGGCGGGCACGACGTGCACCTCGTCCAAAAGCATCAAACCCCATTCTCGCCCGGTAAGAAACCTCATCATTTTTTCCGCATCGTACGATCGAGCTCTAGACTGGGTAACCATGGAATAAGTTGTGACGATGATACCGGTGCTTCCTGTGAAGACGCTATTTTTGGAGTCCGACGTGAAGGCGACAATATCGTCTGGATTAATGTTGGACCACTTCAAAAACTCGTTTCGCCATTGCACCACGGACATGGAACTCGTGCATAGCACGATGACACCCTTCTTGATAGTGCACGCTGCGGTAATACCAACCAGCGTCTTTCCAGCACCGCAGGGCAAGACGATCAAGCCACTCTTGGCACGGCCGTTACCAAACATTTTGCTGAGACTCTTTTCCTGGTACGGTCGGATCTGGGTGCCGGGTTTGAGATCGATATCCAGTGTCGCGTTGACTTCATCTCGTCTGAAGTCGTACTCTTCGAGAACCGGGAATCCTAGGTTGAGACATTCCTTCTGAACCGTCTCGACATCTTTATCGGCAATCTCGAACGAGTGCGTCACCTCCTGGTCATCGTCATCTTCCTCGCCGAGTCGAGCAAGCACGTCGCCTCCCTGCATGGCTGGTTGGCCGTCTTGCGCTTGCTCGCCATTTGCTGGCTGCAAACCGTTCGCCTGCTTGGCACCCGCAGCATTCTTCGTGCCAGGAATGACGAGGTTACCGAGCTTGGGCGCAGCGGATGTCGTGATTTCTGCTGTTCCTTGCACGCGGAGAGGGCCAATCCTGGGGTTCTTGAGCAGCATCTGCAGCATGTTGGGATCTGGACTCTCGACGTAGTACTTGGTATTCTTCAGGACGAGCTTGACCTTTCCGTAGCTCTGAGTGCAGCTCTCGATAAAGGATCGGATCTCGTCCGGCAGAGGCGTCTTGAGAAAGCGATCGAGTGTATTTATTATGTCATGAGGCGATAAGCCAACGGAAACCGCGGCGTAGAGACTATGCGTTGTGAGGGCATATTCATGCATGAACGTCGGGCGCGACAAGGGCTCGGCAATGGTAATGAGGAAGTCTTGGGCCTGCTCCGCCAGTGGATTGAAGCTCTCGAGAATGATTCTGCCCTTCTGAGGGTCAATCCAAAGCGGCCGGTTCTGGTGATCTTTCTTGAGATCGAGGTACGAGAAATCATTGCTACCAAAGATGTGCGGGAGAGGCTCCCGGATGTGATGCTTCTTCTGGTACCGCCCCAGTGAGAAGCGATCTATATTCTTGTCGATGTCCTGCTCCAGCTCCTCGTCCAGCGGCGCATCGTCCTCCTCCGCCACCTCATCGCCACTATCGATGCTGCGGGGAGTCGTGCCTCCAGGCGTCGACATGCGCGAGGACCGGCCAGCCTTGAGTCCTCCCTGCACGGCGCTGCTGCCTGCTTTTCTCTTGATAGGAGGCATCGTGATTCTGATTCTGCTACGAAAGAAAGAGACTGCGAAACGCAATCGCTAGCTTGGATGGGGAGACGAGACGAGCGTGTCGCCGCCGTAGATAGAAGGAGAAGTGGCGAGAACAAGCAAGCCGACGACTGGGGAAGAAGAAGAAGAAAGAAAGATTAATCAGAGTTCACGGTCAGACGAATAGATGACCGTCACTGCAGGCGGATGCTGACTAACCGAGCACCAAAGCCAAAGAACGCGCCACCGAGAGGGAAGAACTGTTCAGGCGGCCCCGACTAAGTAAATTGCGGAAGACAGAACAGTCCAGGGGCCAGTGCACTAAAAGGCACCCCACCAATAGCAGCTGCAGAGGGCGGCGTCTGGGAGACAAAACCCAAGACCAAGAGATTCTGCAGCAGCTCCAGAAATATTACCACACTCGTTACCAAGGACAGGAAAAAGGAGGAATCCTATATCTTGTCCATCTCGGCTGCTTCTTGTTCTACATACAGCCATATACCCAAGAGGGACGAACCCAGCTTCATCAACATCTCCAACCTCCTACCCAACGACTCAACTCAACCATGTGGTACGCACGAAACAACCACCACAAACCCAACATCCAGCAACCCAGCTAACCAAACCCTCCCAGCAAACACATTCTCAACGCCCAAGTCGCCATCCGGTCCCCCTGCTGTACGTCCCCCTTCAAACAACAATCCCCATCTCTTTCAACCACTAACATCAAACCTCAAAAAAAAAAAAAGGCCGGAAATGGTTCGACTGCGCCGAATGCCACTCCGAACAAGAAACCCACCCCCTCAAGCAAAGCATGGAAATGACATTCGCCTGCAAAAAGTGCAAAAAGGTCTTCCGCAAGGACACAGAGGAGTTCGACGAGAGCGACGAGTACTGCCCGCACTGCGACAACCACTACGTCCTCGAGGCAAAGACACCCAAGGCCGCCCTGACCATCGAGGGCGATGACATTCGGATGGACAACAGGCTGCTCAAGGACGAGAGGGTCCGGCAGGAAGGTCGGAGGACCATCTTCGATCCGACGCCGGAAGCTGACAAGCTTGGCTAAGCACTCTGTTCAAAGAGGGGGAGAGGGGAGCATGGGCTGTGTATATACTAATTATACGGTCGTTGTTTGGAAAGCACCTGTTTCGGCGTTCCATGGCATCACATTAATTGGAGTTCTTTTCTTTCTTCGTTCATCAGCCGAGGTAGCAATTGTATTATGGCGTCCCTCTTTAAATCTTGCATATCATGTTGATACAATAGCATCTGCGCTCTAAGTTTGCATTCCAAATAAATACCATTTCCATTTATTCTCTATTCAGCAGCAGAGTCATCGCCGCTCCTCGTCAGGATGGCAGCGCTTCCGGTGCCCGGTGTTCGCCCCGTCTTCTTCTTGGCAGCCTCCTCCTGCTTCTCCTGCTCAATCTCCTTGACGTAGCCCTCAATCTCGTCCGTCGGCAGCAGCTCCATATGTGCGCCGGGGGCCATGAGCGCGATCTCAATGTTCTTCGCACCAGTCTGTACCACCTCAAGGAGGGACTTTATCGCTAGCCGAATGGTGGTCTCCCGGTCCATGTCTTCCTTGTAGTTTCGCTCCAGGAACTCTCGAACCGTCTTGCTGGAACGGCCGATGGCATTTGCTTTCCTGTAGTGGTCAAGAGTCAGCCATCATGCATTCGATGAAACACATACGAGAACCTTACCAGGCTGAGTAGATACCAGAGGGCTCGGTCTGGTACAATCTAGGCACCTCGCTTCCATTGTCAAATCCAACCACCAAGGTGCTAATACCAAACGGTCGGACACCTCCAGCCTGTGTATAGCGCTGCTGCACACCGGCAACATATTTTGTAATGTACTCGATCGTGACGGGGTCCTCCACCGACAGACGGTGCGATTGGGCTTCTAACCGTGCCTTGTCGACAAGGATTCGGGCATCTGCGTTCAGGCCGGCAAAGGCCAGGGCGACGTGGTGGTCCAGGACCTGGATCTTGGAGGGCGTGATTCTTGTGTCCTGCAGCTTCATCGCAGACCTCTTCTCACATCCCAGCACCACGACTTCCTTGCCTTTGACGCCGACAGCGCATGTTCCTATTCCCGAGAAAGTGTCAGTCGAAGGTGGGGGGTTAGACAGCTTCCGGGATTCATCCAAAACGGACCTCTCTTCACAGCTTCGCCGGCATATTCAACCTGGAAAACGTGTCCGTCGGGGCTAGGCTAAATGTCAGATGGACGAGGCGCGATAGTAGACACGGCTGCAGCGGGCACAAACCTGAAGACTAGAACACACACAGCAAATGTCAGCAACTTGAGGATGTATCGATATCAGCCAGCGAATGCGTAATAACTTACCGGACAGAGCTCTGTCGTAACCAGACGCCATGGCCGCTGATTATTGCAAAGGTAAAAAGTCACGCAATGATTAATTGTTCGAGGCCACCCGAGTGCAGTCTGGCGGGCAATGCTGTGGGCAAGAGGAAGTTGTTGTTGTTGTTTGTTTCTGGCACTTTGACGTCGATAATTGGGGGGGTCGATATGCTGGTTCTAGCGGAGCTTCGTCAGAGTGGCAGCCTACCTTGCCTGTGGCGGTACTTGGAAAGGCTGGAGCTGGCTGGAGCTTCCCTGTGGCAGCCGCGCTGGGGGGGACGGAGAAACGTGATGGCGGGGCCGGGTCCAAGGTACGTACTCTATGTTCCAAAGAGCGTGATCACATGACACCAATTCTCAGCGGCAAAGTACTTTGTACCTCGAGCAGCTCGACTTACACGCGCATTGGGACATAACATGCTGAATCGAATCGAATCAGCAACAAGACTCAACCGATGCACTTATATAGAAGAATACGATCAAAGGAATTAAATTCAAACTACAAAACGAACAGTTGAACCCAAAAAATTAGTCAAATTTTTATCATTGTCATTTCCAACGCCATGGGCCTCTACCATTGCATCTCTCCATCTTTCCCTCAAACCCAATCAAACATTGAAGGAAACTTATTCGCAATACCGCGAAATCACGGCATTCACCCACTCACCACTCACATCACCTTCAACCCCCCATTTTACACCATCTTTGCCTCATTCTATCTAGATAATCAAGATGCAGTTCGTATTCAATGCGTGTAATACCGATGCATGCACCCCTTACTCACCTATCAAATCATCCAGAACCAACAGTACCAAATCATCTCATACACTGTACATCTACAGCAACGCTCACCCAAAATCCCCTCCCCACACTGTATCCCTTAACACAGCTATTCTTAGCCACCACATCACAGGCATGACCAATACTCGTGCATACACCCAAAAGAAGTTTGGGCCATGTATAATATTCAAGCTATAGAAAGTTGATGCAATCTTCCTTTTTCTCTTTTTTCCCCTCAAAAAAACTTCCCCTTCCTGAAGGAGGTGAGATGAATATTCCCCCGCTTGATTTCCCCCCCCCCCCCCCCCCCCCAAAAAAAATGTTTCCTTCTTTCGCTGCTTGCTGGTCCTTCCAACGGCAGTCCAGCTGCCTCCCTTATATGAACAAATCTCTATCGATTCTATCTGGTTAAAAAGTTTCAAATGTCGCTATACAAGTTATTCTACACTGTAATGTTCATCGTTCGTTCTTGGCCTCGTTGTCGTCGGTTTTGGTTGCACCCTCTCGTCAACTTATATTGGTTGACATATGTATGCGTACTGATTATTCATTAGAATTTGGCCACTTCAGACCATTTGTGGGCTTGCAAAACACTCGTCACGGCCTGCGCCTTTGCCCACAGCCGCTTCTTGAAGCCGTCCAGCCACAGAATCTCAAGCACGCCATCCTGTGACGCGGCGTTGACGTCTCGGTAAAAGTCCATGGCAACCGTCATCGGCCCCAGGAGCAAGTCCGGCTGGACGGTCGAATTGAGCGCTGAATCCAGTCCCCTGCAGATGTTGGCGGCCAGCTCTCGTCCGTCTTGGTAATGCGCTGGGTCGATTTGCAGGTTGGGCGGCAGTTCCGGCCACATATTGGGATAGGCGTCAACAACCGGCTGGAAAATGGCCATGTGAATGTGTTCGATGCAGCGGTGGAATGGAATCATGGCCATCCAGTAATAGACGAACATCAAGCCAGTGACTCCATCCTTGAAGGTATATGCATTCGCAAAGGGGATGGCGCCGCCAGGGCTCCTGAGCTCCTCGGCCCAGAATGGGTACGGGTGCTCTTCCGTTCCTCTGTAGGCCTCCTGCAGCCATTGGCGGAACTGCGCTTCGACAACCAGACAATGATGCAAAAGCTCCTGGGCTTGTGTTCGGCGGGCAAGCGTTGCCTGGAGGTGGATGATTCGATCCATCTGCTCGAAGATGGCGGGAAGCTGAAGTATGATGTCAAACAGCTGGTCGAGGGCAGACTTTGGATGTTGGTCCCATGGTATCGTGGTCCATTCCGGTGCTCTCAAAAAGGTATCTCGTCTGCTCAGGAGAGCAATGCTCATCTATTTCGTCCAGCAATTAGCAATCGGAGAAAGGGGGAGGGGGAGAATCCGGACAAGCCAGCCAGAGGGAAATCATCGACCGAGAACCTACAGCTACAGGGCGATATACCCTCACGAAGAAATGGTGATTCGGGAAGGAGGCGAAATAGTGCGGACCAAGTCTAGTCATCTGTTCGGCCGTGAGCCTCCATGATGCGCCGGACGAATCGTGCTGTGTAAGTCATCTCCGAATTAGCTTCGACCGGACTTGAAGAGCGAACCTCGTCCGAGGAAATCCCGCGGATGATTTGCAATTGCAAAAACAAAACACCACGACGAGGAAACAGAAAATGCAGAAACAAAAGCAAAACCCACCTCGAATAGAAACGCGCAGTAGCTCTCTGTCGAGTCATGCTCAGAATTAGTGGCCTTTTGGCGCACAAAACATTGCGCATTCATACCGAAGGCATCGTCCGCCACCGGCAGCAACTCAGCCGCCGCGTAGGGAGGAAACTGTATAGCACTCAAAAGTCCCGCGGCGGATCCATCACCGCCGCCTTCACCACCGACAGCCCCCTCGAGTCTCGCCACGCTTTGCAAATTCGTCTGGAGCGCGGTGACGAGGGCTGGGAAACCGGTTCCCCCTTGGCCCCCGGGTGTCAATCGAACGTAGTCGTCCCACGCAGAGGTAAGTGGTGCCAGGGGTTGGAAGAGTTGAGAACCGCTGAAGATGCTGCTGCTGCTGCTGCCAGGCTCGTCTGAAGCCTTGACGCTGGGGCTAGGGCTGGCCTTTGGCTTCTTGGAAGGTGTCGTCTTCTTTGGATGCGAAGCTACACGGCCTTTGGTCTCTGGCGTACCAGTGATGAAAACTCGTTCTCTCTCATAGCCCTCGCAAGTTCTGCCGCTGCTGATGCAGTTCTGGCAGAATGGACGCTCATTGCTGCACTATTTTCTCGACATGTTAGTTGCTGCCCGTGTTATATCTTCCTCTTTGCATGTGTGTCTGCCTCTCTCTTTTTCTCGTTTCTCTTCATCATAATGTCTCATTTTCCATCGAGAAAGGTGTATAAGTAAAGGGGGGGAGGGAAGTAGAAGAACAAACCTTGACTCGACGCCTGCGGCAGGTCTCGCACCCCTTATACTTGCCCGGAACACCAACCATGATGTCGATCTTCGGACTCACGCGTATATATATATATATATAGATATATATTTATAATTGTGTGTGCGAATATGTGCGTGTGTGCGTGTGTGACCTTGAAACGTATGTATGTATGAGAAGTTCGTGTATGCGCGAGCGCGTAAGTGTGTGTGTGGTCTCTTGTGGGGGGGAAGGCCGGCGAATTTGTTCCTCAGCCTTTTCCAGAAAGAAAGTGGAAGAAACAAAAAAAGAAAAATGTCCGGTTCGTTCGTTCGCGAAAGGCTGTCTGGTTTGGTTTGGTCGGTGTCTATTGCAACCCGGCCCGCAGTCTTGCTTCTCTTTGCCACCGCTTATCCTCTTTGCATCATCGTTGGGTCTGTTTTATATTTGTAAAAGAGGGAGGAAGAGGACGCCGTTGGACTATAGGCCTCCTGGACGAGGACCAAGCATGGGACTGGGTACGCGGGAGCTATTCCGGCTAACAAGGTTGTGTAGGTAGGTTAGGTAGATGGGGGACAGGTGTGTAAGGGTCGGGACATTAATGATACGGAGGTGAGGTAAGGGAACAAGGTCCAAGGCCGGAAACCAGAACCACATGGCAGCAAAACGTCCCATACTGGAGAGGGGGGGAGGAAGAGAGGGAAAATTTAGAAATGGTGAATCTCCACACGAAAGATGTCCAATCTCGAGCTGTGAATGGCCTTTCACCTCTGGTCACTGCTGGTCTTGGGACATATTGCCAGGCACACAACTCCGCCTTTTGGCATGGGCCCTTTGGCTGTGGATTGGTGGCATCCCACGTAAAGGCCCGGCAACCACCGAAGCAAAAACGTACGAACGGCGACCAGGCGTCCGGCGAATGGGAAGGCTGAGATGGCCTCTCGGCCTCAGCCCCACGGACGACATGAGATGCAAGGCTTACCACATTGCCGGTCGGTTCAGGGGCTCCGAGGCCTCTTGTTGGCTCTCGGTCTAGCTTTGAGTCTCTCGTCTGTGTGTCTTGTCACTTTTGGTCCGCTTCTTCTGCCCCCATCCCCCCCCAGCTAAGCAAGCAGGGCAACTTCCGCTGCAAATGCAGCCTTCGTCCGCCCGGCATGACGCTAGACTGGCAGCCCTTCTGCTTGTGCTGCAGACTGCAGTCCCACCATCTTCTTTCTGGCACTAAGTTTCGTAGGGCTGACGCGGAGGGCCAGCTCTGCTCCTGGTTGGCTGGCCCACCGAGACGGCTGAGCTTGGTCGCCCAAGTCGTCTTGTGTCAGCGATCAGATGTTTGGACAAGGCGCGCGCTGCCATTGGCCGGCTCGCTGAAATGACAGGAATATGACCTATGAGAAAACCTGTGGCCTCCTGGACCTCTTTGGGTCTCTGTGGCTCCCTCAAGCTATCCCAACCTATCCGTCGCTCACCCTGTCCGGCAATCTGATAGGTTGTCCGGGGGGTCCCCAGCCGCGAAAACCCCAAGGAACCATCCGGAGCCCAACAGCCTCGTCCCAGCCGTGCTGCGTGGGTGCCTGTAAGTTGATTACGATGATCAAGTCTTGCTAGCACAGTATTGCCCACTTTCGTAGACCGCCGCGCCGGGGATAACAACAAGACACAGTAGCAAGAAAAATAGGGGACTTTGCAAAATACTACTATCATGGTGCTTCTGCCTTCTCCTTGCCCGCCGTCTCTGCCGTGCACACAAACCGGTGTCGGCCGATACGGAGCCAAATCGGGAAATGGCACCAGGCTCAAAAGAGTTACAAGATGTGACGAATCTGCCTAAGGGGATCCAGGGGAGGGGATGGCCCTTGACAGGCCCTCCCACTTCCAAGCGGTCCGCATCTGCCATGACTTACATACATGCAAAAGGCCCAAAAAGGGAGCCTTGGGGGTTTTTTTTTAGGATGGACCGACCGCAAAAATGTACTTGTGCTGGTTTGGTATTGGTATTACTCGTGCTATCGCATCCCCGCCGCCACCTCGGACGAATACTGTATGTACCCCCCAGTCATCAAATGTACTTGTACGGATTCATAATGCCATTCTGTCATGAGCCATTGTCAGTGTCAGCCCTACGGCGTAGCAGTGCATAAGTTGGGAGAGATTGCTCAGGTCAGGTTGGATTGGGAAGAGGGTGCATGAGAGCGCGCGCGCCGCGGCATCTCTACAGCCACGACAAGCCCTCCCGCGCGGGACTCAAGAGACATGTGATATGCCATGTTGCCAGCCGCAAGCAATCAGATCATGCAAAAGACAGAAACGAAAGAGGGTCGTATCGTATGGGGAAACACGAGGAAAATCATGAAACAAAAGCAGGTTGAAACAAGGCGCAAAAGCAAGGGTAAGAAACAAGCGACAGGCGACAACTGAGAATGGGGAACAAACGAGGTGTGGGCTTGGCTTACCGGATCATAGAGCTTCTTAATCTGCTTCATCAGGCCAATCACAGTCTCGTTCCGGCTGTACTGCACGTACTTCTTCTTGGCCAGCCCCAGCCCATGCTCGGCGCTGATGCTACCATTACGCTTCTCGATCCATTCGTACACAAAGGGCTCTAGAGCCTCCTCGACCTTGGCGTCATACCGTCTTACGGCCACATTGAGATGCAGGTTAGAGTCACCCATATGGCCGTAGCCCACAACTGCGCTTACCGGGTGCTCCTCGGTTTCGCCGATTAGGCCAGCCTCCCCCATGCGCGCCTTGACATCCTCGACAAGCGAGTACATCTCGGCCAGTGGGATCGAGACATCATACTTGTACACCCCGCCGCCGTGGCCAATGCACTCGGTGATGCTCTCGCGCCAGCTCCACAGTGCCTTGGCCTGCCCCTCGCCTTGGGCCACGACGCCATCGACCACGATTTCCTTGGTCAGCACGTCCTCGAGGAACTTTTCTAGCTTCTCGTAGTCATGGTCGCCGTTGGAGCCGCTGGTCTCGATAAGACAGTAGAAGGGGTGTTCGCCCTCAAGAGGCCTCTCTTCACCCTTGATCTTGTGAACAATCTGCTGGGTCCGAGAATCCATCAGCTCAAAGGCAGAAAGGATCTCCCCCAACTGCTTCTTGGCCTCCCGGAACGCAAGCTGTGCCTTCTCATACGACTCCAAGCCAAAGTAGGCCACGTTGACGGCGGCAGAGCGCTGCGGGCACTGGATGACCAGCTTGGTGATGATACCAATGGTTCCCTCACCACCGATGAACAGCTGCTTCAGGTCGTAGCCCGTGTTGTTCTTGCGCAGAGCACACAGGTCGTTCATGACCGTGCCATCTGGCAGCACGGCCTCCATGCCCAAGACGTTTCCGTGCAAGCTGCCGTAGCGCAACAGCCTCAGGCCTCCAGCATTGGTGGCAACTGTACCACCCACATGGCACGATCCCTTAGCTCCTAGGTCGAGGGGAAAGATGTATCCCCTTTCAGCGAGGTACTGATCGGCCACCTCCAAAATGCATCCAGCATCCAACACAAGTGAGCCGCTGACCTCGTCGAAGGAATGGATCTGGTTCATGCGGCTCATGTTGATGATGATCTCGTCGAAAATAGGCACAGAGCCCCCAACAAGTCCCGTGTTGCCTCCCTGCGGCACCACCGCCAGCTTCCTTTCGTTGCAGTACTTGAGGATCTGGCTGACATCCTCGGTCGATCCTGGCTTGAGCACGAGACGGCCTTGACCTCGGTACTTGTGCATCCAATCCTCGTTGAAGGGCTTGAGATCGTCCTCTGCGCTGCCAGTGGTGCCATCGATCACGGCCTGCTCGCCTCCAAGCAGGTCTTTGAAGTAAGCTACATCATCCGCCGTCAGTGACGCATATTTGGCGTCTCTCGTCAGTCCCGGATACGTCTCGGACGTGAGCTTGGCAAGGTGCTGGACCGCCTGTGATTGAGACAACAATCTCGGGACCGAAGTCGCAAAGCATCGAGCTGGCGAAATTGCATGGCAGGGCGCAAGTCTGGCACCGCCAATTGCGCCCATTCGCCGGCCGGGCGATTGCAGCACTCGCACGAGCCTCGATCGTGTCACCATTTTCAGTCAGAGGGTGAGAATCCTGCTGTTGTGAGGCCAACCAATGTCGGAGGGTGGAAAAAAAAGACGGAGTGAGATCAGAGGGGCATAGGTTGAAGCTTCCTTTGCTTAGCACCTTCGATCGGCTGGCGATTCCCGGGTAGGCAAGAGCCGGAGCTACCTATTTTTCTCTTTAGTACTCCGTATGGACGTAGACAATGAGCCAAGCAAAAGCGCCTCATTGATGCTTAAGCGCCATAAGGCCACTTTCAGGCGTCACTTTTCTTTTTTTCTGCCACTAAGACGCCCTTGGTTAAATGCCCAATTGCCTATCGGGCAGTTACAATTCGGTGCTTTTGAGGGCCCTGAAGTCATTAGTGGGCCTCTGCCTCCGAGTCCGGCCTCGGAGAATTGATGCCGGGTAAGAAGCTTGGTCAACTGTAATACGAGCAAAGGAACCAGGTATACTCGTAAAAGGCAAATACGAGTCTTCTTCGTAATTGATAAATAGGAGGCCAAGTGCCAATTAGTTTGGTTATCTACCGTCGTAGTACTATTAATTCAACGTGGGGAATACACTATAGAATTGTGTCCAATTTTTATCCGCACATCACACCATTACCATCCAAAAAGGAAAAACAAAATAAGCAATGCATGCATGCATCGAGGGGACCGAGAAAAACACCGCTGCCTCTCCAACCAAGTATCCAGACAACATAGGAGACAGGGACTCCGTATAATGGGCATATGTGCGCGACAAGGAGTAAAAGGGGGGAAAGTATACAAAGAAATATACGGAGGCCGTGGGCCATGTATCATTCTGCTCGTCGGTGGGACTCTTTAAGCATGCACGCCGTTGACCTTGGAATCTCTTCGGGGTCGATCACCGCTGTTAGTGCTATCCTGGAGCACACCGGGTGGTATATCGTCGTCCGCATCCTCGCCACCCATCATCTTCTCCATGAAGGAGATGTAGTCATACTGCGCTTTACCCCGATCTCTTGACATATCCGGGCCGCTGTGTGGCGGCATCATGTTGAGGAGCGTATCAATGACCTCTTCAGGGACAAGACTGTGGCGCAGATCCATTTCCGTGACGTATGGTTTTCCATCCGCAACCTCTCGGAACGACTGAAAAACTTGCTCGGCAGTGTTTTGGTCCTCGGTGACATCGACCATGAAACGAATAAACTGCTCGAATGTGACATATTCCTTGCCCCCAGACGTATCGACAAAGTAGTCGTGCATCTCCTCTTCAGAGAAAACCAGTCCCAGCGAGGCCAGGGCCGCACTGAATTCGAGCTCCTGCAACGAATTTGAAGCGTCGCGGTCGAAATGACGGAACACACTCTCGAACTCTTCCAGTTGGATGGGCGTCAAGTTGGTCATGTTGCGGGCAACCATTTGGTTTTCCAAAAAGGCCAGCTTTTTCTGGACGGACGATCTGACCAAGGTTAACTCGTAGGCCAATTCGTCATATGTGTATGTAGTGAAGTCGTTCTCCTCAATGTTTGCTTCCTCACACATGGCATCTACTTCTGCAATGGTGCTGAGATATCGATCGAGGGGTGCCAAATTGTCGCTGAGTTTTTTGACGTGGTGTAACTGATCTTCAATATCGCCATCCAAGCCTGAAATGGCAAGTTGCATGGTGTTCAGAGCCATTGCGAAATCGTTGGCTTTATCAGCGAACGACTTTCGCAGGGCGTTTTTGATACTGCGACGTTGTTAGCTAGCTACCTCCACTGTATACAGAACAGGATATTCACATACTCTCGAATGGTCTCATTAATGAGCTGTGCGCGAGCCATCTCGCTCTTTGTGAGGCTCTTCCAGTCTCTCTCAATGACCTCTTGACTGACCTCGAACGGAGGTTCGTAGGGCCGTAACCGGTACGTGCTGAGCTTCGTCTTGATATTTCCCAACAACGTGGCCAGCTCGCTCTTCTCAGCAACCCACTCTCGCTTCTTACCCCTCTTGTACTCTGAGAACTGAGCGGCCTGGGCCTTTGCATCAACATAGGTGCCTTCAAACTTGGCCGTGTGCCACTGGTCGACCTGGCCTCGGATGTTCTTGAGGAGCTCCCGCATTCGTCTCTCGTAGGCATTTTGCATCTCCCACGCGCCCTGCATGTTGTTGAAAAACTTTTCAACACGTCGTCCTGCATTTTCGACCTTTTCCATCTGGGAGAAGGCATGGAACCAGTAGGCAATGTATGTCATCAAACTTCGCTCATCAGGCTTCGCCACGTCGCACACATCTTCCACATCCAACAGCTTGGGAATGCCAATCTCCTCTTGGGCAATGTCAAAGGCCAGCTGCATGTTGCCGCGGTGGTCCGACTTGTCCAGGGTATCAAAGTCAATCAAATCCGGGCGGTGAATATCGAGCAAAGCGCAAAAGGCAAGGCCGTTGTTCCAGCTGCTACTAAAGTCGCGAACTTCGACCTCGTCATAGCATGCAGTTTTTCGTTGACACCACAGGAGCAGACCCTCCTTGGCAGACATGCCCTCCTCGTTGATATCACTGATGGTAAAGCGCAGAATCAGGGTCCAGATAAGACCGAGAACAATCTTGCGGTTGCCATCGACGACATCTTCAGCACCAATGTTTGTCATCTGGATACCCCTCGACCTGATGAAGTCCAAAGACAGGTTGGCATTTTCAAACTTCTGGACTCGGAGCTTCGGCCGGGAGGCATATCGACCGAGGGATTCGTGAGACAGGCATTCGAGCAAGTGAATCAACATAACCTAGTACACCATTGCTTCCGTGTTAATGGGAGACCTTCTTTGAGTTGACACGGGCCGAGGGAAAGAGAAGTAGGAGGAATGGTGAAAAAAAAAAAATGTGAAAATAGGAAAATGGCCAGCAACATCGTGGTGTGGATAGGGTCAACTTACACCATCGCTAAGATCCGGCACCAAGTCCTTGACCTCAAGATTTCTGGCTACAATCTTTGTGTTAAGCCTAGGGAAGTCTTTGTCAGCATGTTACACAAGGGGTTGGTTGAGAAACCTGTAATTCGAGTTTCCCCCTTCTTTTCCTTTGTGGAAGGCGGGCAGGCAGGTTGAAAGGAACATACCATTTGGTAAACGTCTTTTCCTGGACCGTGATCCATCTCTGCTGCTCTGAAAGAGTCATCCTGTTTAGAAATTGGTCATGGACACCTCGAATCGACGAAGAATCGACTAGTACGTCGGCAGCAGACTCCTTGGACTCCGCTAGGGCGAGATCAGAGTCGGCTTGACTCTGGGTTTCTGCCGGGCGAGGTTGTCTGGAAAACTTTGCTGGCTTGGGCGGTGGCTTTGGAGGACTGGAAAGCTTTGAGCGCGTTGGAGACTGGCTCAGGGCCTTGGTGCCCAATGACGAGCGACGCTTCTCTGACCGCTGGAGTGCAGCAGTACCGGTAATACTACGAGTCTCCTCCTTGTCCCGCCCACTCCGCTGGGGGTCCGAAGCGCAGCGTAGCCGGGGTAGAGATAGAGAGAGGGGCGTTTGCAGGCGCTCAACTGGCAGCGACACAGACACAGGGTCAGCCTCAGCCTTGGCGGCACTGACACTGACAGGCGATGCGAGTCTGGAGACGGCCGATGAGCTGACGGGAGAGCTAGGGGGCGTGCAGAGGCCCAGGGAGGTCAAGCAGGTGGACGAAGTAGTGGTGATGGTAGTGGTGGTAGCAGTTGTAAAAGCAGCAGCAGTTGTTGTAGTAGTGTTACAAGTATTTCTGGTACTGGTGAGATGCTGGAGCTGCAGCTGGAGCTGGACCGATGCAAATGAAGCGGCGAGCTTGGTGTCGATATTTAGACCAGAGGGGCGCTGGGGTTGTAAACAAAATTCCGGGAACTGGTCCGCCAGCTCGACGTTGCCGGGCTGCAGCTCCTCCAACAGGCCTGTGGCGCCCGTTGTGCCGGCGGTTACTTGTGTGCTAACGCCGCTAATAATACCAGCGCTGCTGCTGCACGAGCTGGTGCTAATACCGGTGCTGCCAGTGGGCGTAGGCGCCATCTTCTTGGGCGTCTTTAGCGGCCCTGTGGCGCTCTGGCGCAGGCTGTAATAGGCCATGGCGAAGGAGGTGAGCAGCAGCAGTAGCACTACTAGTGGCAGCGGTAAAAGACGGTCGTCGTCGTGGTACCGGTACATGTACAGGTACTTGGGATGGGGGGCAGAGTATCTTATCGATAGGACGGCCCAACGGGTGGCTTTATTTTAAATTCAGCCAAGAACTCCAAAGAGAGAATATCAACAGATGGATATTGTAGTATTAAGTAGTGGTATATATGACTTGATGCTTTTTTTTACTGTTTGATGCTTTTTTGTCTCTTTCTTGTTGTTCTACCGCCAGGGCCTCGACTGTTATTATACTCTTTGGAAAAGTACTTTGATGAGACGTATCAGAAACTTTTCTGGAGTTCCCTGCGGGCGAGCTTGACAGATGCTCCGTAACCACAGACGTGGCACCGTTGAAGCATCCTCGCCGTCTACGCGATTGGGTCCTCATGCGCGTCTCCACGCCGGCCGCATAAACTCTGCGCCAGGCCAGTCCAGACAGGTCCGCCAACGCTCGGATCGAGGCGAGAAGGATGGAGACAAAGTTCGCCTCGTCTAAGACCCAACGAGCGTCCAGCTGGCATCGCGTTCCAACCACCTGAATTTTTCTAAAAGAGCGAACCTACATGTACATGTACTCAAGCAACCCCAGAGCCGGCATGCTGCAGCTGCACCTCGATGCGTCGCGAAAACGGTGGATGGAACTCTGCCTAGTAACACGCAAGGCCAGCAAATCACCAGGCCTTCGTGGCGGGCGCCTCGTCTGTTCGCTTGGCTGCACGGATCCTCGTTTCTGATCCATCTCATCCACTCTGCCATCTCGTGATTGCGCGGCCGTCGTTCGATGCTGCAGAAACCGGTTCGGATCAGCTTTGCTGTCAATCGTGAGCATGGGCAATTCAACGTTGCCGCGTTACGCCTCAGCCGTGGTGATCAATAGCCATCAGTGGAACCTCGTGGCTCTCGGCAGTCTTCAATCCTACGATGATCCTGGACGCTCATAATTGACCGCTTCATCCGTATCACTCACAGGCAAAGGCCGAAACAGCCAGACAAAAGACACGCCTGGCAGTGGCAAAAGCGCGTCTACAAGGACTCAGCAAACACACCCCTATACCACGCAGAATGCCAACTCCTGGGGACGTGACAGGTCGTCTTTGATGCGATGCAGTCAAGGATATTTGCCGAAGCACCTTTTCCCTTCAATATTGAGCCACGTTGATGTTATCTGACGGAACTAACAGGATGCCAGTTGCCATGGAGGATCAAGAGCTGCATCCGTCGTACCGTACGGTCAACCGGTAGGCCCGTTGCCACTCTCGCTCGAGATGTCTCCCCGGTTTCTCCCATTGTTGTCGACTTGATGTGCCTCCGTTCTGCAACTACCAGGATGTCTGCCTTGATTTTCACCCCGGGTTGTTGCTGTTGACGGCTTACTTTCGCTTCATCGCTTTCAGCTGTTGGCAGGGTACGATGTGTGGAGGTCTTGGCAGATTCTTGACTTCTCATATCATGGAGTCTCCAGACATTTGTAAACCAATGCTGCCGCTTTAGATCTCCCACGTTGTGATAGGATTGGCTGCTATTTCACACTATTTGATCGTGCACATCTACACGAGCATTGATGGATGGCCGAAGAAAGCGTCGATATCCGACGGAGAGTATTGATGAGAGGGGGATTCCATGCCCTCAGAGAATCAGATTCGGTTTCCTTTGGGCTTTTATTCCTGCGTTCACGTAGATTGCGCTTGCAGATCGCTAAGGTGTAATATGTATATGTCTGATACCTTTCGGCTTGGCTCTCTTTGCCACGGCGTGTTGTCCCATCTTCGGTTGTTTGTGTAGAATTGTGAAATGCAGTATAAGTAATGTCCTTTCATACTTAAGTATGAGATACTACGTAAGTAGGTAGACGTAGCAAAAGAATCCCTGTACGGAGTATGGATAAGCAAGATCGACGTGGCACTCAATTTTATGATGTCAAAAGGAGCACAATACATGTTGATTTCAGATGGACTCAGCCATTTCACCTCACGCACTCCGGTGTATTTGCATTGCATATGTTTTACAGTACTGATGCAGGATGCCTCTATCTTTTATTCCATTGAATAAAACGAGAAGACAAAAAAAAGAAGAGAGAATAGAAATTGGAAACTACAAAAAAAGACAAAAAAAAAATGTTTAGCTTCTCTTTGATTGAGCGTGTCCTGCAGAATCCATTAGTATTTGGTTGACCTGAGCGGTGGTCCAGGGTAGTAGAAACTTACATCCTTAGTGCAGGGGCCATGCTAATCTTCTCTGTCTGTTGTTTGCACCGTTAGCGATTCGAACTTGCGACCTCTCTAAACGGGAGCGGGGATACAACGTACATCGTTATAAATTGACCAAATGCCCGAAGGCGATGTAAATTGCGATATTTTAGTATATAACCTACCACTCCAACGTACAAAATTCCAAATACCAAAGATTTTTTCCCCATGCCACGAAAAATGAGAAAAATGCCAGGAATTCTTCTGCGATGGCAAAGTCGCAAATGCGAAAACCCCATCATCCCTGCATTTTGCTTCCCTGCAACTTACCAGTGCACTTACCGCAGCAGCGCGACCTCTTCATACTGTCGGCTTTGGCAAATTTCGCGGAAGCACTGAGAAGAATCAAGTGGAGGAGAAAGAGGAGTTCAAAGAGGTTGCAAATTGCCTCTTCCTCTGCCTTAGTACTTTGTTAGGGCTTCCCACCCTTTTAGTGTTTTAACACTGGTCGCAGCCAATTGGCATCTCCGTAGTAGGCAGGTAGTAGATCGACCTGCGACTCTTATCGATAAAGACAAACCGCCATGACCGGCCTTAGATAACTTGCAGGTACTAACCTAGACAACTAGAATTGAGCGTCTGATTGAATTCTGTAAGGTCGTCTAAGTGCAAATAGCTTTGAATCCTTTGGCCTGATGCCTTGCGCGAGCACAAGTGAATTTCCCTTTTCCTTGTTTTGGTCGCTCATGTCTTGTTTATACGTAAAAGAGAAAGGTATCTTAATAAAAGAAAACTTGATGTCTTGTTACGTTTCCATTGGAACCATCCGTGTAATCAGTAGAATTGTACATTTTGCAGACCCTATCATACAACATGAACCATGACGCCTCGCCTCTCCTCCCTAAATCCCCCTTTACCTCACCTGTCTCCCTCCACCCTGCTTCGCCTTGGACCTCAGCGCATATCTCTCCTTCTTCCAGGCAGACACCAGGTTGTCCACGCTGCCCATGTCGTGCTTCGGCTTGCGCATAAACGTCAGCCGCGCTCTTCTGGCCCTCTTGGGCTTGCGCCATATGATGTCGATACCCGTAACCGTCGGACTGTAAATCTTGAACCACATCTCCACACCAACCTTCATCATCTGGCCTCGTAGCAAGATGGCCGTGTCTACGCCGCGCCTCCGCAGTTGGATGAATGCTCCTGAAAAGGGCTCTCCGGCCTTGGTCGTCACCATGAGCACGTCGCCGACTTTGGCACTGTCGGCGTGCTCTCGGGAAAAGAGCCTCGTCCTGGCGCCGGTCGGGTCGAGACGGGCAATCTCCTGCTGTTTCAAGGCGGGCATCGGATCGGGATGGGTGGCTCGCGGTGAAGGGACCTGAGGCCATATCTGGAACTTTGCGACCTTTTGCTGCTCCATGTCTAGAATACCAAAATCACCATTAGCAAGGCTGATTGCCATCAAGGTCCTGATTCCCAAACAAAGAGTGCCATACGCTGTCTCTGACTGAAGGCCGTTCTGGGGATGGAGGGGCTCGCAGCCTCTGTCGCCATGCACCGCTGCCACGATCTCTGGATTCTCGTCCTCCTCAAAGCCGCCTTCAGACAGCCCACCGGCTGCCTCGCAACAGCAGCATTCATTGTGATCGGAATTGGCGCCCGCCGGGAGAGAATATGGCCGGTTGTTTGCGCAGGATTCAACGTCGAGGTTTGGGGATCGAATGTTTCGCAAAAGCTCGAATGGGTCGAAAAGCAAAAGGCAATTCTCTGCCGTGATTGGCCCGGCGCCTCTTTTTCTCCGACCCACCCAACCATCTTGCGACTACGGCAATGGGCCTTTGCATGTACGAAGGAACTTTTTCCATTTCGTCGGCAATTGTTTCAAAAAGCCCACCAACATGGCGACAATGTCAAATCAGTCGCTGAGGGCGGCTGTCCGGTCGGTTGGACGACTAAATGGACGGAAAGCTCGGCCTACGGGTCTTGCGCTGAGGCAATTCAGCACCTCGCCAGCACATGGTATGCACTTGGAAGAACAACTAGTTCTATGCCTTGTATAAAAAGATTCTAACTGGAAGCACAAACAGGCGTCAGGGCTGTCTTCGCCGAGACGGAAAACATCGAAATGAACAAGATCCTCAACACCATCCAAGAAAACATCATCCTCCCCGCCTACCTCCCCGAAAAGCAGCGCAGGCTTGTCTTCGACCCCAAGATGAAGTCCTACCTCGAGCAAAACCCCATCATCATCGAGGTCGAGGGCCTCGAGCACAAATTCTCCTCCATTGACCACTTCACCGGCATCGAAAACTCAAAGACGATCCTCGCCGAGGCCCTTAACAGCATGCAGAGCCAGGACGACTGGGCCAACCTGGGAACCCTTCTGGCGGGGTACAAGAAGGCGGGGATACGGCTCAAGGCAAACCACTGGGGGAAGATTGTGCGCATGGCGGGCAAGAGCGGCAACATCCACGCCGTGATTGAGTGCGCGAAGCAGTCTGAGAAGACGGGCTTGCTGTTCACCAACCGAGAGACGGTGGTCCGGGTGCTCTCTTACATCAACGAAAAGGTCAGCGGCAGCAATTGGGACGAGGCCGAGACGAAGCAGGCGCAGAAGTGGGCGGACCAGGTCATCGATCTTGTCCAGCGCAAGGAACACACAGTCGAGGGCCAACCTACCCGAGAGAGACTACACTTTTCTCGCGTTGTGCGTGGAATGACTCTCTTCACGAGGGCATCCGCCATCAAGGTCAAGCAGGCAGCAGGCGAAGCCGTTGAGCAAGACATTTTGTTCCTCAAGGATGAGGTCGAATTGCTCAGCTCTCTGTGGAAAGACTCAGAAAATGCCAACCTGGAGGAAGTAGCCGAATTCGCAAAGCTCAACCCCACACTGGAGAGAAACTCCAGCCCCAAGGGCGTCAAGATTCCCACTGCCCTGAACGGAAGCGCATACGTGCAGGTTTTGGCACAGAACATCAAGGGTATTGCGCTCGCGCGGGAGATTGTTGGAGAGGAGGCTCAGGGCCTTGCGCCGGTGGAAGTTGCTTTGGCTGATCATCTGCGGCACTTTGTTCAGACCAGCAAGAGCCCGACAAAAGGCTGGGACCAGGAATACTCAAAAATCGTCGGACAAGCACCCAAGTGGTAGACTTCATTGTACAAAGTAACAGAGAAGGAAAAGGGGAGAGGAGTCAGGAAACAAATCAAGGACCACATCAAAAAGAGAAGAAAGAAAGGGATAAAGTCTACATATGTATGATATATACGTGTACAATATAAAACAAAAACATAAATTCAATGAGAAAGCTCACGGCAGCACAATGTACTTTTCTAAATGCTTCGGAATAGCCCCCAAGAGCTTCTTCTCCCCCAGCCACTTGCGCGAGAACAAGCGGTCCGCATACCGATACGCCCCATCGCACAGCATCGTCACCACGACGTGGCCCCGGCCCAGCTTCTCGGCGACCTCCTTGGCGGCGACGACGTTGAGCGCCGAGCTGGCGCCCAGGTACAGGCCTTCCTCATCCAGGCAGCGGTACACCATCTCGATGCTCTTCTCGTCCGAGATGGTTAGTGAGCCGTCTAGGAGGTCAATGTCCGGCGAGAGGTTGTCCGTGACGCGGCCCTGGCCGATGCCCTCGGTGATGCTCGAGCCCGTGCGCTCAATCAGCTTGCCGCCCGACGAGATGTACGAGTGCAGCACGCTTCCTGGAGGGTCGGCAAGGAAGCTCTTCACTCGACCACCAGAGATATCCTTGAGATAGCGCGTAGTGCCAGACAGCGTGCCTGCAGTACCAGTGGCACAAGTAAATGCGTCCACCTTGCCATTCGTCTGCGTCCAAATCTCCGGCCCCGTCGTCTCAATATGCGCCCGTCGATTCGCCGTATTATCAAACTGATTCGTCCAAACAGCATTCTCCAGCGCCTCAGCATGCCTCTTCGCCTGATGATTATAATTCTGCGGGTTATCAAAGGCCACGGCGGGAACGGGATACACCTCGGCGCCCAGCAGCCGCAGCAAATCAATCTTGCCCTGCGACTGCGTGTTGGGCATGTAGATGACCAGCTTGTAGCCTCGCGAGCGGCAGACGTGCGCCAGGCCGATGCCCGTGTTGCCGGCGGTGCCCTCGACGACGGTGCCGCCGGGCTTGAGCAGGCCGCGCTCCTCGGCGTCCTTGACCACGTACAGGGCGGCGCGGTCCTTGACGGAGCCGCCGGGGTTCATGAACTCGGCCTTGCCCAGGACCTCGCAGCCGGTTTCCTCGGAGAGGCGGTTGAGGCGGATCAGAGGCGTGTTTCCAATGGCTGCGTGTGCGATGGTTAGCATGAACATGTATCAATGACGACAACAACAGCAGCATCATCAAATCTCATCTCATCTCATCTTATATCTCATATCTCATACCTCCAGTCAACCCCCGTGCCACGCCCTGCGCCTTGGACACGGCCAGAGTATATGCGCTCGGCTCAGCAGCCTTGGCCGCCGCAACCGCCAGACGCCGCGTCGTGTGTCGGAACATGGCGTAGTGAATGCTGTGCCTTTTCAGCCTCCCGCGAATAGCTTCAATTGATGATCAAGAGAGAGTTGCAAGCTTGTTGTAAAGCCTCAGAATTCACGTCCATACGCCTCTCTCTCTCTCTTTCCCCAGAAAGCTGGCGCCGAGGGCCCGTGGTGGGGCATTTCCCCGATGGCCCGATCACGTCATTTTGCGCTGCAATTAGATGCCGTTAGCGGAGAGCTTTAGAGGAACATGAATGTTTATTTTCATATCACTTGCCAATGATTCCATTTCCATGTCTGTCATGTTGCCGAAAGTTATCCGACTACACCGACCGTTTGTAGGATGATTGGTATATTGGGTATAAGCGTAAATCTCATCTTGTGAGAGGCTTGATGATCATCTTTATATAAATGGTAATTACTAATAGAGCTCAGAAGCTCATGCAAACAAATATGCTTCATATCCTTCAAAGCACCCAATGCTCGAGGTACCTGGCCAGCCACATGCACCATCTTCCTGCGCTAATATACCTTGCTCCCTCGATTACACCGTCCAAAGCTCACGCCACATGTCACCTCCTCATGACTGCTGTGGCATCTTCACATACGGCGCTGGGAACAGGCCCTTGGCGCCCATATACGTCCCAAAGAACCAGTCACCATTGATATCCCGTATCTCTTGTAGCTCGGCCCCTCGGGGAAACATGAGCTCATCCTCAGCGCCAGACTTGGGATACCATGACCACATTGCATGGGCCACCTGGCCAGAGCCGCCGTCTGGTGGAAAAGTGCGCGCATATGATATCTCGCCAAAGCTCTCTGGAGCTGTCGCCGACACTTCTGTGGCGACAAGGCGCTCTACCTTTTTTTCCCCATCATTCCATGACCACTTTTGAAAATCCGGATGCGCAATATTCTCGAGAGGTTCTGTGCGGAGGGCTCTCCCACCGACGAGGTCCCTTTCCACATATCGCCACTGTCCAAGTTTGCCCTCGATGAATCCAACAACGACCATTCTGTGACCACTGGGGCACCTCCTCCATCCTGATGAGCCGTTTTCTTCGCTAACATCTCCCTTGGATTCCAAGTTGCCGTAACAGGAAGTACAAATGTCGTAGTCTCCAGGAGTAGCGTCCTGCACAGCCGAGCTTGAGCAACTGAAACAGTGATATCTCGTTGAAGATGGCGGAATGACATCCTTGCAAATGTCGCACTTTGCGTTGAATATTAGTGGTTTAAATGGTCCGATCCCAGGTAGCTGTGCTCCTGTTATGACCGTCGCTGTAGAGGGTCGGCCGCCCGACCTGGGACTGCGAGGCTCGTAAGAAGACTTGAACGTTCCCTCATGAGCCAATGGCAGAAGCCTATGGTTACATGACTTGCCCTGATTCACACAGTTGTTGCAGAACCCCCAGTCGCCCTCATTGCAGAAGTCGCAGCGCCAGAAGCAATCATTGGTCCACGCAAAGCACCCTGAGCAAAATGTACCAGTCTCCAGTCTCGACCTTGGATCGTCAGTCGTCAATTTCTTCTTACCGTCCGCACTAACAGTTGTTGACGCTGGCTGCTTATAGCGACCAGCGTTCAGCATGTGAGGCATGGGTATCGATTCGTCAGCTTGTTTGCGCTTCTCCCACTTCTTCCAAGCTCCGTAGCCAAATCCAAACCAGTAGAGGCAGCCTTTGCCTGATCGATAGCAGTCAATGCACATGTTCCAGTGGCCATCAGTGCACGCCTTGCAATTATAATGCACGTCGTATTGAATATTAGGCTTTTTGCATCTTGAACAACTAATCGAAGGCTCTTCATAAAGCTGCTGAGATCGTGGTGGTTGGTGTAGCGACGTCGCCGCCGTTGGGCTTTGGATAGGGCTAGATACCAGAGAATCAGGAGGGCTAACCACCACTTCAGTTAGTCGGCTCGATTTTGAATTTCGCGCCGCTGTTATTTCCATCAATTCGGAGTTGATTGAATTTGGAGTCGAAGAAGCTGATGGATAGCTCTGCGCGCGGCTCGCAAAGGATGCAATTTTCCCGTTGCCAATTGCTGGTCTATCGGTTGGTCTATCGGCCGGTTGAGCAGCAGCAGGGACAGTGGTCGAGCTAGAGCTTCTGCCGATTCTAAGAGCAGGTACTGACGCCGTAGGATCAAATTCATTCGGATCCCTTCTCAAGACTAAATCATTTTGAGAGTGGGCAGCGGGCCTCGTGTCCATAGCAGACAGAGACGAGCCTACCGGCAGCGTTGGGTGATGACCGCCGCTAGTTGTTCGTCTTCTTGCTCTCCTTTCCGGCTCCCGAACTCCGAGGTTTGCTGATGGTGAAACTGGCGGCCTATTCCTGTCTCCAACTTCGCTTGTCGATCGTGAATGCGCCCGATGTCGGCTTTGGGGTCGGGCACTATCTGGCCGGAGCCTGGAATCCCTTGACGTAGATGTAGCATTATCGTTCGCACGAGTCTCGGCTCTCCTTTCTGACTCTTGCCTCGAGCGGCCTCTTTGGCGCCTTCTATACGCTTCCGTGATGCGCTGACTGAGCTCGTCGTCTCGGCTCAAGTCGATGTTGTCAAGGTCAAGGCCATCTAAAAGACCCTCTTCCTGGATTTGCCGCGCAAACTCTTCGATTTCCCTCTCGATATCCCGCTCGCTCATCTCGGACCCGATTAAAGACCTTAGTGACGACTGGTGCTCGACTTGACGTTGCCGGGACTCGCTTCTTCTGCTCCGAGATTGCGAGTCGCCCTCTACAGCCAGATGTTCGGTATTGCTTTGCCCATTTCCCCCTCTCCCATCTCTTGCCCGTTGTGAACGGCCATCCGATCTATAATCTGAGCCTGATCGAGCCCGCCCATCGCTGCTCCGGCCTTCTGCGTGTCTCCTCGCCGACCTCGCCTGCGGGGTATCTGGCACGGCTGCGGCAACTGCCTCTCGTAGACTCATCTCTCTAACCTCGTCGATGAGCCTCCTGTCTTCCTCCTCCGCGCGCTTCTCCTCAGCCGTCCGTTCTCGGGTCTTGACTTTGGGCAGAACCTGGTCGCCTGGCTTGTACTTTTCCTCCATCTCCTGCTTGTCGGCCTCTGACCGCGCCTTGGCCGGGTTGGCGGCGGTGTACATGTCAAGGAGAGTCGCAACGGTGGCATTATGTCGTGTGTCCCGCACTGAGCTTCGACATGATGGGCATGTGAAGATGATTGCGTCTGGAGGTGGCGGGGTAGGTGCGCGGCCGACCTTTTCAGCCTGGAAGCGAAACCATTCTTTGAGGCAGGCTCCGCAGTATGTGTGAAGGCAGTCGAGCAGAGTGAGCGGCTGGTAGAGGAGCTCAGTGCATATCTAGAAGAGGTGCGTTAGTCGGGCTGGCACTGGTATCTTCAAAGATATGAATCCAAGCATCAAGCATTCAGCATGGAGGGACCAAGTGGCGGGGCCCATACCGAACACGTCAACTCCTTGCCCAGGTCGAAGCTCGGCTTGCGAGACTCCATTCATATTTTGGTTTTTGTGGCGGATGGGGAGATGCCCGGATTATCTCGACGGCGCATATGGACGCAAATAGTTTGTGCGAGAGGAGTCGCGATTCATCGTGAAAAGAGCAGATTTGGAGCGGTGGTCACTGGCCACTCAGGGCAAGACGGGCGGTGGGTACGTACTGCAGATGCCTCGTCACTGGAGGGCGGGATACGAGGTAGAGAGAGGTGCTAATTTGGGTGAGGTGCAGGTAGAGGCGTGCAAATTAGGATCAGCTCAGCAATTAGATGAGCATCGTCAGCTGAGAAGATTGTGGTTGTGAAAATAGACTGTGAATAGCTTCAGAACAGAAGACGATATGCTTAAAACGCCATACTGTGTGTAGTATTCTTGTATTTTCCAAGCTCCATCCAAGACAAACGCCATAGTACATTACCCATAGTGTCCCGTCACATTGCGGAAGCCAACTGCTAGGTGCGAATTAGCTCCCCAGAGTGCCTGGTGCAGCTTATTACCACTTTGGGCCGTCACCTTGATACTTCTTCTTACCAACTAAGGTATGGATGGATCTTGATTATAGCATCTCGCATGGCTTCCCTCTTCTGATACTCTCCGATATAAATTCCATCTCTACAACCAACCAACCCAATCTTCTAAGGACATAATAATTCCGATAGGACGCCTCATGCAGCGCCTAGGTCTAATTCCGGACCGAATCCTATCTCCGCCACATACGTGGGCTATTAACAGAATCCTAGCATACATGTACTCGTAAAGGGTGTAAAGGGTGCATGTAGACCAGTTAGTAAGGTCGAACACTTAGTTGTAAGGATTGGGGATGGCATACTTAAATAGAGCCAGTGACGCAATTCACATTCTCAGACATTCAATATACTCACGTTAACATCACTCAGTCTTAGAAGCAATCATTCACCATGAAAGTGATCGTTGTTGGATCCAGCGGGTTCGTGGGCACAGAGCTCATTCGACAGGCCATCACCAGTCCTGCTGTGACCTCAGTCGTGGCCCTTGCCCGCCGCGAAACGCCAGTCCCAGAGAGCCTTAAAGACTCTAGTGACGCAGCGAAATTAACATCTGTCGTGTGCGATGACTTTTTGAACTATTCAGACAACGTTAAGCAGCATCTATCCAACGCTGATGCCTGCATCTGGTGAGACTTGATCCATGAACATTTGAGTGAGCTGATGGCCTAACACTTGTTTGCCGTATAGGCTAATGGCGGTTACCCCGAGAAATTCCAGCAAGATGCCTTGGGATGAAGTTCGCAAGATCTGCTCGGACTATACCATTGCTGGTCTCGAAGAGTTATCCAAGGCTCCTCGGAATAACACGACAAAGCCTCTACGTTTTGTATATGTTAGTGGCGCCAACGCTGAGCGCGACCAGTCCAAGAAACCATGGGTGTTGGGCGATTATTGTCTCATGAGGGTAAGTATCATATCTCGTCTCACTGAGTGAACATTGGAAGAAATAAGCAGTGCAACGTTGATCGTTAAACTGATTCATCATAGGGGGAGGTGGAAACTCGCGTCTTAGACTTTGCTAAGAATTCCAACAATGCTATTGAAGCTTACATAGTCAAGCCAGGCCTCATTCGCGATCCTCAGCAGGGAAATATTGTCACCAACACCTTCCACAATGTCCTCACTAGCGTCATCAGCCTCCCCATCGTTTCTTTACACGATGTGGCGGCGACGTTACTCAGCCAGGCGACAGAAGGAATTGAGAAGGAAACGCTGGAATGTGACGACATCACGAGAATTGGAGGAAGTAAACAGAGTCCCGAGAAATGAATACAGCGCATATTTAGGCTGCATAAATAAATAGTCATCCAGGTTTTGTAGTAATCAATGTTTCTATCATTTTTATCTTGTCTGTGCCCTTTCAGCGTACATGCTTGTATCATCCCAGTGATATATCTTTACTGTCCTCCACATTGGCTATCCAACCGCTTAGGAATGAGTCCACTCGGGCTTCTTCTTTTCGGCAAAAGCCTTCATGCCAATCTTCTGGTCTTGGCTGCCAAACAGGCTGTGGAAAACACGTCTCTCAAACTCAACTCCGTCACGCAGGCCAAGGTCCTGGCTCTTGTTGACAACCTCCTTGCAGGCTTGGACAGCAACCTTTGAGTATCCAGCAATAGTCTCAGCGAGCTTCAGTGTCTCCTCCATCAGGGCCTCGTATGTGGGGAAGGTTCTAGCAGCAAGGCCCCATTTCTCAGCCTCAGCACCGCTGAAGGACTTGCCCGTCAGGATCAGCTCCATGGCCTTGGACTTGCCAATGGCGTGAGTGAGTCGCTGGCTACCACCGGCGCCGGGAATGGTTCCCAGCTTGACTTCGGGCTGGCCAAAGTTGGCGGTCTCGGTGCAGTAAAGGAGATCACACATCATGGCAAGCTCGCAGCCACCGCCAAGTGCATGGCCAGAGACGGCAGCGATGATGGGCTTCTTCACCTGAGTGGTCAGCAGGGACCAGGACTCGATGAATGCCTTGGTGTAAGCCTCTGAAAATGTGAGAGGGGCCATCTCCTTGATATCGGCTCCGGCGGCAAAGGCCTTTTGTGAGCCGGTAAGAATGATAACCGAGGTCTCATCGGAGGCGTTGAAGTCGTTGAGAGCTTCGTTGAGCTCCTTGATAAGAGGGGTGCAGAGTGCATTGAGTGCCTTTGGTCGGTTCAAAGTCACTAAAAATGAAAGAATAAGAAAATATTGATTAGCCACTTCACTTATCTCTACGTAGAATTACGCTGCACCTGCTGGTACTCACCTTGTCCAACGCCAGGCTTCGGGGTTGAAGTCAAGATATATTCATAAGACTTGGAGCTATAGGCCCGTGCAATTCGAGGCAGCGTGGACCGCTGGAAAGGCACTTTGGCGACTGCGGGCCTCGCAAAACGAAAAGTATTCATGATGAGTGTGTTTTGTGTTTTGAATTGTGTCTATGTTTGATCAAGAGAGAAGCTTCCAATGGACAAAATGAGATGAGATGAAGATGCCGGCTCTGGATGGGTAAATGCTGGAAAGCATCGGCTCTAAGCCGAGGATAAACTGCCTGTGCTGTACCATATCTCGGAGCTCCAGTGACGACACGGCGAGAGGGGTGCTGACTAAGGCAGACACATACTAAAAATCGTACGCAAAGAGTGGCGCATTTATTCTCTGCAAGACAATCCTACTGTATTCTACAAAGAATAGTGCAAAAGTACGGCATGACATTCTCTCATTAAACCGGCAATTAAAGAAGAAACTCTCTTTCCAACTCCCCGTATTGAGAGAAGTAAAGCAGGAAAAGACAGTTTATAAAGAATAATCAGATGCATGACTCGGTGGGAGACCATCTAGTCTATACGATACCTTACCGAAAGATGCAGATGGTATCGGTGGGCTTAAGTAAATTCTCCGTAATGTCCAAGTATGGACAATCTTTGGGATCTTGATAGAATGCGCCTCTTGATTGTTGGGAATAACGTTGGGAATAAGGAGCTTCGAGTACCAACAGCCAGGCAGACGATCCAAAAAGCCAAGATGATCGAGCTCGGTATCGGCCAGACAATCCCAGAAGCTAAAATTGACATTGACTAACACGAAAGAGGGGAGAAGGCTGAAGAGAAGAATCATTGCAATGGTGGCACGCAGTGTTGTAGTCAAGTATCCTTTGGGGATACCCTTTCAGTCTTCTGCTGAAGATGAAAATAAATAAATTTGGTTAATTATTTTGGGTTGAAACTTTTGACGCCGCGATGCATGCAAATAGTTGTACGGAGTCCTTGAACCGACAAATGCCCACGTATCCGTATACATTGCCTCTACAGGTAACTATCAGCCTGACCCTTTCCTTTACGTCAATTAGATGTTCTCATTGAAGAGCTTTCCTTTGCCTACTCCAGCAAGGAACGTATAGGGCTCAAGCTACATGTACCGAGGTAGTCCGGTCGCAACTGATCAGTCGGCAATAGGATGAGATGTTTCAATCCCGTGCTTACATGCGCCAACCAGTGGAGAGTTTCTGACAGCTAAACTTGGAGCTTACAAGACGCTCAATTGCATTCTTGCCTCATCTTTATGGTATCTTCATCTCGCCGACGATTAAATAATCATTATATGTGTGTCGCTTGTTTTGTTTATAATGAGCTGAAGTCGAGGGCATTGACCATTCATTATACTCTTCGCATCGCTGGGGAGATGAGTTGTGGCGGTCGAAGCTCCAAAGATGATGAGTCGACAAACTTCCCGTGAATAAGATTATGGCGTCTTACGCCATGGTTTCTCCCAGTGTTGCTATGTGGTGCAAATCTCAGCCTCCAGTCCCGTTAACTTAAGCCCACATGAGCCAAAGATGGTGGCTTCACGCCAATCATATTCATGTTGTTTACATTCGATGACAGCGATAAGCCGTGGCTGTCGACCTATATAAACATACTGCTTACCATCCCTCTTTGCTTTCCCCCTTCCTCTTGTCTTCATATTCCCATCCAATTCTACGATCTAAATCACATACAGTCTGCTCGTCCTACCAGTCGCAAAATGGCGGCCATACTTCCCGTCGAAATTATACTCAGCATAGCCGCGTACCTCGACTGTCAAGAGCAGTACGCCCTTCTACGTGCTATCCCGTCGCTCGCAAGTCAATTCACGTACTCGCGGCATCTCCTGGCTACCACCGATGATAATGGCAACAACTTGGTGCATATACTAGCACAAAAGGGGGAGGAAACTTTGCTGAAGTTGCTATTCCCAGATAAAGATCTGGAAACAAGTCTTGTATCTGGTAACATCATTCCTCGGCTAAGGCAGATGCTTCTCACACGCTCTGTAAACAACGATGGTGCTACGCCTCTTCACCTGGCGGCATCAAATGGGCATTTGGGTATTGTCGACTGGATCTCCAAGAGACCAGACTTGGATCTGAATCGGCAGGACAAATCCGGATGTACGTGTGTGGAACGGGCGGCAAAAGCAGGGCACGCTGAAGTTGTCAGTTTGCTCCTGGATAATCCGAATATGACGGTCGACTGGAACTCCAACCAAAGGTCAAACCCCCTTTGTCTTGCGGCCGAGTATGGCCATGAAGCCACGGTAAGGGTGATACTCGAGCGTCACGGACACAGAATCAGCGTCAATTCCCAAGCCGCATATGGTATCACAGCTCTCACCTTTTCGGTGCTTCGTGGCCGTATGGCCATCACCGACCTGTTGATTCAGCAGAAAGGAGTCAACGTCAATGCGGAAGATCATTTGGGCAACAGCACATTGCACATGGCTGTCAGAAGCAAGAATCAGGCCGCCATGAAGGCGATCCTGGCACATCCCAATGTCAATCCCAATATGAGAGACTGGTATGGACACACCCCCTTACAGGAGGCCGTATGTATCGCGGACAAGACGATGGTTCAGCTCCTCCTTGAGCATCCAGCAACAGACGCCAATCTGGGCAACTGCAAGAAAACGACTCCTCTCATCAAAGCAGTACAAGTAAACCACGACTGGGCGGTCGAATTCTTACTGAAATGGCATGCCATTGAGCCTGACAAGAAGGATTACTGGGGAATGACTGCTCTCTCATGGGCCGCATTCTTGGGCCGCAAGAAGATGGTTGAAAGGCTGCTTGAACTAGAAGAGGTTGATCCTAATTCGCTGGACGAGGACGGCTTGACGCCTCTCGCCCTCTGCATGCAAATGGGGTGGCCGGACGTGGCCGAGGTTCTTCTCAAACACCCCGATGTCGATGTTAACGCGGAGGACGATTGGGGCTGGACGCCGCTCGCCCATGCCAAAAACGCCCCAAGAAGCAAGTCTGTTCCTTTAATGAGGCTTCTAACCCAGCACGGAGCAACCATGACGCTCCACGCAGAGATGATTGTCATGTACAACGCATTGGTCGATTCTGATATTGCCATAAGCTTAGTGGAATCGATAATCAAGTGCAAGAACATCGAGGCATATATGACAGAGCGTTTTGGGCGAGAAAAGACCGAATTGGCCATGATTGATGGCGAACGAGGCGTGCGAGCGCTTCTCTTCCGGGATACTCGGGCCGCGAGGATGAGAAGGGATGGGATAGAGGGGATGCTTTGCTTAGAAGGTTAGTCCTTTGAGTATCTGATACTGTCGCTATATTCTGCTACTATCCGCTGTTATAGATATATATATCCACTTTCTGCTACCATCGCTATATTCCTGTAGTATATGCTGCCCTCTTCTACTGTCTCTCCTTTTTGCTACTATGGCTACAATTCTCTGGTATCCGCTTCTGTAAATATATTTTTCTTATCATCTGCTATTGTTTTTATCTCCTTTTAGTATTTAATGATACCATTATTCTTAACCTTGAGCTACATGATGCTTCATAGTACCTACCTGCAGCAGTAAAATTGGTGTGCCAAAACGGCATTCCCTCTTCAGTGGGATCCAATGGATTTCTCCAGCTCTTTCTTTGGCATGTTCAATATGTTTTTTCCTGCCAACCTACAGCTCGCCCTCATCCATTTCATTTGGGTCAAACCTCATCTCGTTCAGGCACCCTTGCTGCAATTTTCTTCAGACATTAATGATTCAATCCGCTATATAACACACTTCCAAGTACGGAGGTACATCCAGATAGAAGAGAGTCGCGGCATCACTCCGTAAAGTGGGGCCGAAGCTCCAGCACTTAGAATACCGCGCTTAGCCTAAATCAGCACCGCAGCAATTGAAACCGATAACGATAAAGCAAAAAAGTCGAGCCTCACTCTTTTTCTTAGGTTCCTTCGTAGCAGCCAGCGCCATAATCGACATCCATTCCCCCCAACCACATACTTTGCAATGGCCGTCCTCGGAAAGCGCAAGGCTCCAGAGCCGACGGTATCAACAGAAGACGCACAAGAGATTTTTCGGCGACATTTTGAGGCGCAGTTTCTTCCGCTGCCGGAGGCGAAGCGCAAGGCGAAGGCTGTGGAGGAAGAGGATGGGAGTGAGGACGACAGCGACAGCGACAGTGGGAGTGAAGGAGGTGAATGGGATGGCTTATCAAACGAAGACGAGGATGATGACGAGGGTGAGGACGAAAGTGAGGATGACGAGGACGACGACGAAGAGGAGGAGGAAGATGATGGTAAGACGAGCAACGCATCTGCCGCTTTAGTATCTTCTTCTTACTGACTTGACCACCAGACTCTCCAGTTATCGAAGTAGTCGACCATTCCGCCTCTCAAGCTCCCACAACAAGCACAATGTCCAAACGCGAACTCAAAGCCTTCATGGTACATCCCCCCTCCCTCTCCACCACCCAAAACCACCACAATGCTAACAATTATATCTAACACAAACAGTCCTCCCGTCCCCCAGACCAATCTTCCTCCGCCAAACCAGCCGCCCAACCATCCTCCTCAAAATCTTCCTCCGCCGCCCTCCCCGAAGACGCACCCTCCCTCCTCGCACAGGACCTCGAGCTCCGCCGCCTCATCGCAGAATCCCACCTCCTCCAGACGAACAAGCCCCTCTCCCTCGCCGCCGCACTCTCCACAACATCCTCTCCCAACGCCCAGCCAAAGGCCTTTTCTTCAGGTCGCGTGCGCCAGAAGGCGCTCGATATGCGTATACAGGCGCTTGGTTCGAAGACTTCGATTCTTAAGCAGGAGAAGATGCCCATGCACATGCGCAAGGGCATTAATGCTGCTGCTGTCGAGAGAGAGGCTAAGCGCAGACGCGAGGCTAAGGAGACTGGCGTTATCTTGGAACGAGAGACGGGCAAGAAGAAGAGGAGAGATCGGAAGAGTGGTGGCGGCGGTGGTGGATTTGGTCCGGCTGTGGGTAGGCTCAAGGGTGCTGAGCTTAGAATAAGCGAGAGAGACGTCAAGAAGATTGAGGGGACGAGGGATACGTTTGGTAGGAGGGGAGGAAAACGATGAGGAGCAGAAGCGTTGATTTGGAAATACCCTGGTCACTTGATTGAGAGCGCAAAAGTAAATATTATATAATGTAGATTGACAGTTGTCCATATGGCACACATCATATCACATCACAAGTGAGAGCGTTCTCGCAAACTAAATAGAAACTGTTTTTCATGTCTATTGATCGAATCCTACACCTCAACACTAACACAAAGGAAAGCCTCCCAAGTGGTAATTCCTTCCACGAGAAGCCTTCCTTATAATCTGACATTGAAGAATAAATAGTATATAATATATATATATACAGATGGCGTCATTTTCACTCCTGTCACATGCAAGCCCCTTCTCTTCGTTTTTCGTCCAGAGCCAAAAAACCAGCAGATGCTACTCCGCTGGCGTCGGCCCTGAGCCAATGTGTATAAAGAGCAAATCTGTTGTTGCAGCCGTAAAGAAAAAAGGACAATCCGAGCATAAGACGCATAAAGAAAAGAGGTAAATAAAAGAAAGATGGAGAAGAAATGATATCAAGAAGGAAACAAAACATGAAATCCCCTAAACCGAGATCCATAGAACGTGAAATTGTATCATGACGCAAATAAATAGAGAAAAGAAATAGAGAAAAGATCATATGAAAAAAAGAACAGATTAAAACAAGGCGCGTTACATGGCACCGCCAGCATTGATAGGAGTAGGTTGGCTGATGGTCATGGGCATGCTCAGGGTCTGGAGGCTGTTGAAACTATGGCTGGAAGTCATAGTGGTCTGAGGAGCGATACCGCCGCTAGTAACGACGGCGTTGATCGAGCCAGGGGCAAAGGCCGATTCTGATGTTGGCGATGCCTCCTCGACAGATCCAAGATGCTCCTCGCCAGAAAACTCCTCCTCCTCCTCGGCAGAGAGATGTAATGAGCCCTCGCCACCATCCTCGCGGCTGTGGGTACGCTTGTGCCTGTAATAATTGGATTAGCAAACTGCTGTTTATAACTGAGGAGAAGAGGGGTGCACATACTGCGCCAGGTTATCTGATCGGGAGAAAGCTTTGCTGCAGTGAGGGCAGATGTAAGGCTTCTCTTGAGTGTGTGTTCGGACATGCCTAGGATCGTATGATTAGCTTTGCCATCTCGATGGTTATTTGCTTAGAGGGGGCTCTTACCTCTTGAGGTGCTCTAGTCTCTTGAAGAGTCGGCCACAGGTAGGAATTGGGCAAGAGTGAGACTTGTGAGGATAAGGACCCAGCTCCATTACAGTAGCTGATCGGGCACGTCGGACAATGCCGCCAGCCATCATGGAACGGTCACCAGAGAGGTCATCGCTGATGTGGGAAAAGTCATGCTGGAGAGCCATGGGGTGAACAGCGGGACTGCCATGTCTTGAGATGTCCATGAGATCCTTGTGCTGGGAGGGGTAAACCATGCTGGAAGGTGAGTTTCCAGTAGACTCTTCTCCCTCAGCGACGGGGCCCATGGAGACGGAGACTGACCGACGCAGATCCGAAGGCCTGTGAGGGGCAGACGGCGTTGACGTAGGTGCCATGGCAGACATTGAGGTGGGGATGGACGTGCGGCGTCTTCGCTGCTTATAGGTGGGAGATCCCTCGATAACGGAGTAAATGTTATTTGCGCCGTAAGAGCGAGGGAACTGCGGGCCAGCAAGGTGGGACGGCATCTGGACCATTCCGCCGAGGCCAGACATGGCGGAGAGGTGATCAGGGATGGCAGAGTAGAGTCCAGTCTCCTCGTTGGCAATGTAGGCGGGCTCGGCAGTCATGCCGAGAGCCTGCTGAGGAGGAGTGATGGGCTCAAAGGACAAACCCCGGTTGCTGTAATCCTCGTAGCCCGAAGACACAAAGGACGGAGCAGGCGAGTACTCCAGGCCGTAGGCGGGCATCGAGGAATGGCGGTGGTGGCTGTGCGTAATGGGGATTCCATTCTGGTTGTAGTGGACGCGAGTGAAGTCAGCCTCCCTCTTGACTACCGCAACCTGCTGGGGGACGGCGGGAGCCATGGTCATGGTGTCGTAGGGGACCATGGAGTCCATGGTCTCAGCCATAGGGGCCATGGTGTTGGGAATCATGCTCGGGGGAGGCATGGAGTCCATGGCCCTCATGACGGGAGAGGTGGACTGGCTGGGGTGAAAAGAAGACTGCTGAGCGCTGAAGGAGGACGAGTTGGCCTGCTGGCTTTTCGTGAGCTGCTCATAGAGCGACTGCGACGAATCGTACTGGAAGGACAACGCGGGCTCGCTAACAGCAACAGTGGTGGCTTCCTGGCCCATCTTCTCCCGCTTCAAGTCTCGCTCCAGAGCATCCAAGAAGAGGCGGTCGTGGGGCACACTGTACCAGTAGAAGACCTTTTGCTTCTTCTGGGTACGGATGCAGTTGTTTTTGTAGAGAAAGTCGAGGAAAGCGCTCTTTGGTTCCTCCAGGGAGGCATCAGTTCCTGACTTGAGATTTCGGAGATCGGAGAAGATTCCCTCCTCGAATTTTTTGGAGTTCTTGACGGGGCGGCCAAAGGCCTGGAATCTGAAGGAGAGGCATCGCACAATGTCAGTGCCGGAGATGTGGAAGAGGTTGTTCCACAGGATGCAAGAGACGTATTCACCCGTCGGCAGGAGAAAGCGTCGAATGTACTGATCCGGCTGCCAATCGACTGGGGCGGAGATGAGGAAATACTTGAGGTTGTCGACTTGCTGAAGGGCGACCTGGGCATCATGGGGAAGAGCCTGCTGAGCTTCGGTGCTCAACATGAACGTCTCAGGTTTCTGAGGCGCAATGGCCGGGTGTTGTGAATACATGATGCGCGAGTTGCGACGATGCGACTTGGTGAGTCAAGTGTGTTGGAGGACAGCGTCTGGGGAGACGGCGATCTGCGGTGGCCAATGCAATTGGCGATGGCGGATGATTGTCCTACGGGTGTGGCGGACACCGTGGCGGGCGGTAATTGGTGATTGCGCGCGGAGGCGGTGCGAGACCAGATTGTAGACAGAGAAAAGGAAATATCAAATGAAAGGCGCTGCCCGAGAGTCGCGGGAATTGATGATTCGACGCGACGATGGTGAGAGAGTGAGAGAGACCGAGAGAGACCAGCTCGAAACGACTGAAAGAGGTTGCACAGCAAGGGGGGAACGACCCGAACAACAGCGTCTAGCGAATGTATGGGCGCGTCCGAAAAAGCGAACCGTCAAGGCGAGGATGATTCCGTCGTGCGTTGGGGAGCAGAAACGGTGTCGATCGCAAGACGAATTAAATGCGTATAGAAACGAAGGGTCCAGGAGAGGAGCGCAGTCGGCAAAACCTCGCGGGTTATTGTTCTTTGAGGGATGATTGTTGAAGCGACGAGCGGATTGCGGCGATCTATGCGCGCGATTGAGGGACAGCCTGGCCCAGCGGGGAAAAGAATAAAAATGAAGAAAAGAGAGAGGCACAAGAAAGAGGAAATTCTGTGCGGCTCCGAAGAAGAAGGAGAAAAGCAGGAGGGAGAGGGTGGAGGCGGAGGAGAGAAGCGAAAGGGCAGAAAAACGTTGAAATAAGAAACACAGGGAAGAGATTTCAGAAGAAGGGGACTGTGAGGATGGACAACGGGGGATGGCACGTTTAATGGGGTGGAGTGGCGCGGGCCTTGCAAATGGGATGTGCGTCTTTGCGATGCCTGAGCCTGGGAGAGAGAGCCTGTGCCTGAGAGCCTGTGCCTGTCTGGTGCCTGTCTAGGTGGTGGTAGCTTCAATGAGATTAGATTGGACTGGACTGGATTGGATTGGTGTGCTGTAGGTGGACGGGACAAGTAACGAGTACCTGCTGCTGCGCGGGATGTTGTGCCTGTGCCTGGACGTACTGTATGTATACTGTACTGTACTCGTGGTGCCTGAACGAACGAAACCGAGTGAACTGGAGCCGAACCTGCTAAAGAAGCGCTGGCTGGAAGTGGGAGAGCCGTTATTAACAGTCAGCCCAGGCACGGAGTAGACGCGGCGTACTCTGTGGCGTGGCTGCGGGTGACAGTGTACCCCGTATCTACTTTGGCCGAAGCTGTGCTCCCTTTGGCGGAAGGAGAGGGGGAGGAGAGTGAGGGGCCACTAATAATACACGCGCAAGAAAATAATCAAAAAGCCGGAGCCCATAATAACAAAAAATAAAAATAAAAATAAAAAACAACGTGCAAGGGTCGGTGCGCACAGCCAGCTCGGCGCCAGCCAGGCATAAGCTAAGCCTGAAGAGGGCATGGGCGGTACGGGCAAGAGCGGCGGGGGCGCGACTTGCTGAGAGGGTGTGGGCCCTCTGGGAAACGAGCAATTGCTGTCATAGCGCATGAGCACCCACTGGGGCCAGGCCCTGGGCGGTGGTACCTTGGTGGTGCGTTCCCCTAGAGCGCCGCCTAATAATAACAGAGTGGAGGTGCAGTTGCAGTACAGTTTAGTTACCGGTGCTGGCTGAAGAGGCACAACACGGCACGACACGCCACCTAGAAGCCACAAGTACAGGTACGAGGTGCAGAGGCGAGTCTCGATAAGAGAACCGGGATAGGACAGGACAGGGCTAGTCTGGACTGGCCAGATTGTTCGCCTCGTCTAAGCTCTTTGGCTGCAAGCAAAGCAAAAAGCAAAAGCAAAGCAAAAGCACAGCAAAGCAAAGCAAAGCAATTGATGCAGTCTTGACGTGGAAGCTGCGTCGGTCAGTGCACGTTGGCGCCGCCATGGCGCTCAGGCTGAGGCTCCACAGCCAACCACTCCGTACAAAGTAATTGTTTGGGTGCCTGAGCGCTTTGCTGCAGAGCCCAATCACAGCCAAAGTACATGCATCAGCGCATATGCAGCGACAGCATCAGACCAGTCACTCGACGAAGAAGGCCGAAATGTGGACGAGGCCAAAGAACAAGCACTGGTGGAATTGCAGCCAAGGGGGGGCTACAGGGAGGGCCAAAACCGGGCCCCTTCATCTAGCCTCCACCAAAAGCCCAGTTCAGTTCCCTGCTCAACAGCTTTTTGCACGACAGTGTCAGAGAGTGGGCGTGCAGATAACGAGACAAAAATAGGACGGGCGTGTGTCGACCATCACCACTACACTACGAGTGCTCGTAATAAGCAAAGGGGGCTTTTGGGCGCTCTGCAGGTCAGTGAGTGGCATCCAGACATACGAGCGTTCATAATCCAATCCTTCAGCGTCACCTCAACTCTGGCAAGTCAATGCAACGCCTTGCTTTTGCTCTCATTTGACAAGCCCGGACCTTGCTGCTGCATCTTCTCCTTTCTCTATTCAAGGCTGCTCCCCTGCCCCCCAAAAGGGACTGACTCTGTCGTTACAGTGTGTACGGTGCTAAGGTAATGTACGAAGTAATTAACTCTGCGTGCACTAGCACACTCGCAACCACATGGCAACTTGGATACTTGTTGGACGAATAGCCTTTCGGGGCATGGCGCACAAGGCGGCTCAATGCCATTCATGCCGCAGAGCCAGCTCGTCGACCATGGCCAAAAGGAGAATGGAAATTAATGGCAACGAGAAAGAAGACCTGCATTAGCTTCTTCTGTTTGATTGTGTGGCTCTCGCAAGTCCGTTGCTATGCTGGGCGCTAGTCGTCCATACCCCTGGCCGGATGTGTCGACCGCATAAACATGCAATCTAGGGCTCATTTGGTCCCTTATTCATTACATGAAAGCCTCGGAGCACATGAACAGACTGGGAATGGAGAATACAGGTACAGCCGCATGCTTTTCGTGCCTCATTGCCGGCCCCGCAACGCGTCCATACCCGCTTAATCGAGAAACTCACTCCCTGAGAGAGAGCGACTCTCACTCGCAGCGCCGATCGAGGAGCAGTGTTTGGCGGCTCATGAGACGACCGCATCTCGTAGCCATGTCAGCAAGGATGTCCGATTGGGGCTCGTCGTGTCCTGGTCCTTGACGCAGGAACAAGTCAGCGTTACCAAAAGATTGCTCCCGCTCCCATTGCCGGTGTCTCGCCTCTCCGTGATCCGTCACTGCCGGCATGCGAACCAGGAACCCCCCAACGATGAATCCGATAAACAATGTTTTCGATTTGTCAATCCAAGGCGCCAGAGTTGGCCGACAAGATGGCATCGTGGATTCTTACAGTTGCTTCCAGGAAAGAAACGGCGATATGTTGTTGTTCGCCGTGGATCCAACTCATCCCGGAATGCCACCACTGCGTCTTCCCAGCCACAGAAACTCAGATTTCGGAGTCGATGCCATTCATCATAAAGGCCACAGTATGCAAAGTCAATCTTTGCCGACTTCTGTCTCATCCCGAGTCGTCCGCTATATGACAGCGATTAGTCTGCAAACTCGTTCATATTCGTAGAACCCCGGCATGCCGCCTGAGCAGAGCCGGCTAGATAGCGTCCGAATCGTCACCTGTAACGAGAAATGTCCATGTTTCGTCGACTGATGTGATCCGGTTTCCCCACAACACGCTCCAGTCGGGATGGCGATGCGTGTCCTCGTTCTTCACATCGGTGGTAACGATCAGATGCTATCTCCTTGGCAGCGCAAAATTGCCTCGACAGAAGAAGAAAAAAAGACTCTCCTGTCGCTTTGTCACATCCACCCCCCTGTCATATCCGAAACAGAATGGCTGGAGAGGGTTGTGGCCGTTGAATCCTGGAAGGGAGAAAAGACGAGAGAGCAAAGGCCGTTGATTTCATCCGATCCGAAGCACACCAGAGAGGAGAGTCAGAGCGCTGCATTCTCCGAGGTGGCTTGTGGCAATGAAACTCTGCTTCCAGCTTCCCTCCTTGGTATCGAAGCCAGGAACCTTTTCATTTTGGCCCAATACGAGCAACGCCCGTCTCTCTGTTCGCCTCACGATGCTGCTGTTTGTATGTACGAGCACCGTCGAGCATTAAAGTACACACGTGCCTAGGTACTGGTACTCCGTACACATGATTGCAGGTCCTCGCCTGTCAAACTTTTTTCCGCTGCCGACGGCCTTTGCCCACGCCAAGCTTTCTCTTCCCATCTTCCCAGAAGCAACTACAAGTCAATCGACGCAAAAGCCTTGCAAATGCAGCATCGCCCTGATCACAAGTTGGCCCAGGCGGCTGCACGAGAGGCTTCTCAACATGAAACGCGCCTGGAGCGACGCTTCGGCGGGGACAAGGCGTTGCTAGAGACACGCGCGGCGCTGATTGGCTGCCTCAGAGTATGTACGCCCCTAGATCCTGTCCCATGTCTTGCTTCACATATTCCCGCCGAATCATGGCTGAGCCCAACCCCTCATGCTATCATGCACGAGCATGGGTGCGTCGGTTGCTCGACAGCTTGGAATGCGACGTCGCTAAGCCTGATGCCGTGAGGTCGTGTTGACGATGAATGCAGGTGACCGCAACTAGACGGGCCATGACTCTGTACCCGGGCGCCTTGGATGGCGAGCCCACGGTCCGTCCTTTTTTCTCGACCGCATCTTGTCCGACAACGACAGCGAGCGGTAGAAGCTAAGAACCCACGGGCGTTGGAGCAACCGCAAGATGCAGCCGGGTGGCTTGCGGCTATGCCTGCTCACAGAGCTGAGCTGTCTGTGATACGAACTCGGCGCTTTGGAAGACGTCAGACAAGCACTACCCAAGTGAATGCTTTGCATCTATCTGCTCATAGATGCTTGTGCGTGTACTCCGTAAAGGCAGTATTAAGTTTGTACTGCTACAAACGACATCCACCAACACCCTTCGGCAAGTTCGTCTAATGCAAGTAAGCCAAGGCGATGATCCAGCACATCAGATCGTCCAGGCACAATCGCCATTGCCATGCACTTTTCCTCGCTTCGGTCTGGATCAATTGATCGACGAGGCTGGCGCACGGCGCACAAAGCGGAAGACTAACAAAGCGAAACCCAACTTGCTCCACAAGAGTCTGCGGCCGACGATATGTTGACAAAGAAGGCATCAAACTTTTGCTCTTCAACGCCGATGTGCCAAGACGACGTCTTTGAAAGATTTGACCACATACAGCCGCTACTAGTGACATTGTGAATGGAAAGATGACGAGATCCTGCAGCTATGGGGTCCTGCGATGTGATGACTTGTTTCCCCCCGGCCAAGGTAGCGGCCATCTGAAACATGAAGATACCTAGATGCGTGCGTGCTTGATCGTCCCGCCCGTCTGAACTGATAGCCCGGTACGCGCCGCGGCCATCTGAGACTCCGAGCCATTTTGTGATGGCGATGGCTATTTGTGAGAGGGAGCATGTAAGGGGCATGCGGGTCTTACATGCGGTGCGATACTGGCAGCATGATCAGGATGGGAAAACACCAGTCTTCACAAATCAGCATCATCATCACCTCTGCTCGGAGAGGCTCCTGGCGCTTCGGCTTGCAGCTAATATGCATCTATCGCACGGCACTGGCTGGATCATGACGTGAAATATATTAAACGTTTTTTTTTTTTTTGGAGTCCCGACATCAATCTATGGCGTGGCGAATTCATGGCCCGCAAATCGGCCTCTCAAAGAGTTGTTTGGCTTTGCTTGCTAGGCTTTTCATTGGTAGTAAACCCTCGACGGCACTCGCCAGATGCCGCTTGACGCCCAACAACTCAGGGCGCGGGCCAAATATAGATCAAGCTTAACGCTCTATCGGCCAACCAGGGACTCGAGAGCGTGTTCCCTTCAAAGTTTGTCCCAGCACACCAGCCGTAGTGCTCACGGAGCTTATACTGATTGGTTTGCTGCACGTTGCCCCTTGCATATTGTTATCATCCTCTTTTCTCTTTTCTCTGTGCTATATCTTGTAAACTCTGCATTACCGCTCAGAGTATCCCTTCTTGTTACCAAACGCGGTCTTGAGAATGGGCCTTGGGATAAAGATAGTAACGCGAGACATGGATGGGCCCGCGTCCCTCAGCCAAACCGACTGAGTGATGTGATTCAGCTGACCATGTTTTCTGCATGGAATTGATGTTGAGTGGCGTCAAGAAGGGCAAAAAAGGCCCTTCTTGAAGAACGCCACACGGGCTTCAGACGCTGAAACGGAGCCAAGAAGCGGAGGACTGGTGTCGGCTAGTCATTCATCGTCAACCCTGGCCTTTGATCCGGTACTGATTTTGGACCGCACAATTTGGTTTGGGCTACAGTACGAGTACGGAGAACATGCAAGCACGGAACTGATTTCCAAATTTCTCTTGGCCAGCAATTGGATCCAGTGGCTTCTCATGAAGTTGGCTACGAGAGGAGACTAGATCGGCGCCTTCTTTCGATATGTCAAGCTTCTTGGAGCCCAGGCCGGAGCTCGCATCGCACTTGGTAGGCGAGGCTGGGCACTAGGTCCGAATAGCTGTTGAACCTGAAACAGCGCATCAGCTCTCGAAAAGGCGAAACTCGTTCAAGAGGGTGCTACCGCCACCGCTGCTGCTACCGTTGCTAATACCAACTCAGCTCGATGACGGACCGCCTGCATGAGCTGTTACCTACCGATGTCCGCCGCACTGGCCTTCACCGGCCGATCGATTACGGGGTCAATTTCCCTCATTTGCTTCCCTGGCATGGCTGACTCGATCGCTATCTAATGCGAATAGAGTCTAGCAAAGCGATAGGCGTTGCGGTGGATCCTCAGCAAAGACGGCCATGAGCTCAGTTTTGAGCATTGTGCGGAGTATTTGTTCGAGACCCGGCTCTCTTTACACGACACGAAGTGTTAGTCTACATGATAACATGCAGACATCGACACCTAGGCCAGATACGGAGCAAAATTTCATTATACACGAGACTCAGGGCCCCCGTTTCATCCTCTTCTAGAAGGCGAGCGACGGACTAACAACAGCTAGGGCCATGCTGTTCGGACCCGAACTCTCCAAGGCAGTCCCGTTTCTGGAAATTTTTCAGCCTTCTTTGTTCGTATCACGTTTCGAAACGGAGGACTACCACTGCGTCTAGAAGATGGGAATACTGGCCATGCGTCCAGCTAGAGGGCTTCCATTTACCGAACAAAGAAATGAATGCGCCACACAAGAGTCTCGAGGCTGGGAACTGCGCTCTGGAAGCCAAGCTTAGCATAGAAGCTGAGTTGAGCCTTGACTCGTGAAGGCCGTCTATTGCGCTTGGCGTGGCTGATGTGTTTCCTTTGTCGAGTCTGGTCAATGCTGACCCATGGCCTTTTCATCCTGCCCGACGGGTTCAAAGTCCAGTGCTTCGTTATGATGCCCAGATGCGAGTGCTACCCTTCGGCCCCAGATCTCCCGCTGGCCGGGAACTGAATCCTGGCATTGTCTGCCATGGTTGCCATCGGCGATGGGGGCATGCGAGTCTTCGGCGTTGCATGTCGGCATAGCTGGGCATCGGTTTTCCGTGAAAGCCTGCTAACCAGCATTGCAATGGCCATTGTTCGCTTTGGCTTTCCTTTGCAATATCGCTACAGCACCCTGACTGCCCGGCACAAACCTTTACTTAGAAGCTCTGGCCCTCTAGGCATCCTTCGTATGCAGCTATGAAAAGCCATCACATCCCAGGTTCATCTCCGCTGCCGACCCCTGCAGACCATCACTTGCGTCTCTTTTCGCTAGGTATTTGCGCCATACTACTGCAACTCCGTACAGGCTTTCTGATGCCCGCTTCTCCCTCTTCGCCTGCGGAGCGCTCCCGTATAGTCCATAGTAATGCCGTTTAACCCCCCCCCCCCCTTCCCTCTGCATTGCAAGGTCGTGATGGCTTTGATGGGCTGTGACCCGATTGGCCGCATGGCAGAGTACAACATTCTGAAACCGGAACTTTTAGCCTTGAAACAGAGGGCATCCAGCTCCGTGGGCACCGTCTATTCCTATTTGGCTCGTTTTGGAATCCCTGTGACGGGGAGGTCGCATTGACATCGTCACATCGGCGCGCGGTGCCTCACGCTTCTCCTCCTCTGCCATTCAGCCGCTTCGGTCAACTACCAGAACAAAGTCTTAGGGGGGACGTCCGATGTCTGGGTTTCAGATAAAGCATTCGTTCGTCTTCGTCTCTAAGAATAGGAACAAAAGCTGGGCACGGAGTACGTACCAGTAGAGCTATCTGAGGGACGGTTTACGAAATAGGGCTGATAACATGATTTGGCGTATGGCTGATGAGCGCTGAGAATTGTGATTTGTCACACCCGGTTCCCCCGGCGATGGAGGCCTGCGGGTTACAAGCCATGAGAGATGTGAGAAAAGAGAGAGGGAACAAGCAATGACCCCCCGTGATGCGATTACAAGGTCACAGCCGCGGTAACTGGACGTCTGTTCCTTCGCCTTTGACAGGGAACCGGGGGTGGTTGAGTTGTCCGTGCTTTTGTTACCTGTAATTCCCGCGGTCCCAGGCGAAATTCAGACCAACTTGCGGGAGACAACAGGATCGCTGGGGAAATGGCCTGATTCTACCCAGGCCGTGGAAATTGCCCTGCAGATCCGGCTTCGTTTGGAGGATCTTGTAGGGTAGCTTCAATTTCGCATATGCACGTTGTAAGCGGCGTGCTTGGATGGTCCATGTATGATGGCGTTGCATTTACAAGCCCTGAATGCAGAGAGCTTGCCTTGCTTACGCAATGAAAAAAAAGGAAAGATGAAAAGCAAGGAACAGAGTCAATTCCGGCTTGTGACGATGAGGAATAACAACTCATGTGTTTGGCATGATGGCCAGAGGTCATGACATCGTGCTAATACGACCTCGCAAATCAGACCTCGAGATTCAACACTCGTACGCTTCTATAGGAAGGATGATGCTTGTAGATACTTGCAACTAACCAATGGACGTGTCATGTCATACAACTCACTAGGTACTCGTATAGTCAAGTATAGTGCTAGGCGGTTTGCAAAAAAAGCAAGGACCGCAAAATGAATATACGGCATACGAGTACATGAGAATACGATCAGCCTCTCTAGATGAGTCTAGTATAGTGCGTACGTGCGGATTATCTGTTTCTGTACTCGTATGCTGGTCCCTTCTCGATTCCCCGTGAGTGCCGACATAAAGCATGTGTAGGGATTCTGTACAGCCTCGTTGATCATCCCTGGCTTTTGTTACTCATCACAAGTCACATGAAAACCTCACCTATCAACATGTTGAAAAGGACTACCAACCTTGTCTACTATAGTGATAATAAAAACAAGGCGGGGAAAAAAAAGCAAGGCTGGACCGCGGATACAAAAGTCCCGAGAAAACAAGACGAGAAAACAACACCATCGTATACTCGTACCGTTCAAGAAGAGTAGAAAAAGAAAGGAAAAACAAGTTTTAAGCGAGAAAAAAAGAACATAATCCTTGGATATAACAACGGGATGTAGTAAGATGAAATAAAAACAAGCCGAGTTGCTCAAATCAATAAAAAGAAAAAAGCTAAAAAAGACGAGGAAAAGGCAAGAATATGAAGAAGTCTTTGGCTCCAACACATACAGACAGACAGACAGACAGATAAATGCAAGTTGAACTAATTACAACGTTTTCGTTTCGTTTTCTTTTCCGTCAAGAAAAAAACAAACAAACAAATAAACAGGAAAACCAACAACAGCTGCCTTGCCCTTGCATCAAACCAACCCCCTTACATCAAATTGTTTTTTTTTTTTTTTGCTTTTTCCCTCATTTGCTTTTTCCCTTCTCAGGAATGGCTCTTTTGCTTTCTTTTTTTCCAAGATCCTCCCGTTCCCGTCTTTCCCACGCCCCTTAGACTCCAGGCTCTCGATGAGACGACAACAACACACGCGCGCGCGCACACACAAAGCTTTTCTTAGAACAAAAGGGTAAACAAATCTGGATAAGTAAGGCCGTGATACTACTGCTGTACTAGACACGGATCTAGGATCGTG